TCATCATCAGAACATCATGAGGATGATAGCATCTGATATCGCCTGAGAACGGTACACAAACAAACGAAACATGGTGCTTCCGAGAACATTCACGCCTCGGAAACCGTACCTGGCACCTGCCACACGCCAAGGTCCAGGAATGCATCAAGCACGACGGTCAGCTGTGACTGCATGAACTAGTGCCCGGCCCAAGCCTTTCAGCAGCGAAGCGTTCCTTGTGTATCGAAAAGGCGTCAGGGCAGGCTGCAAGCTTGCAGCTGAGTGGAGAAACCTCCCTATTCCTGCCCAGTCTCCAGTAAGCTTCTTCTGAATCCTCCTCACTGCACAGGTCGAGCCGTATCAACCAGCCGAAAAGCACCAAAACATGCCGTCGAAGCAACCTGTCGCGAAGCGTAGGGACTCCGAATGCAGGAATACACTGCATGGCATGCGTGTTCATTGCTCCGGGGACCCCGCATCAATGTATGCTTAGCTAAGCGCACATCTTGCCAAGCAGCACTGCTTATGCTTGCCAATCCCAGAAAGCTTTCCCAGTCCGCCTGAGTGGCATTCATGAATCAAAGGTGGGCACGCACCTTGGCGAGTGCTGTCGCTGCAGCTTGCTGCCGCACTTGTAGCATCTCAAGCGTGGACGGTGCTAATATCTGCGGATCATTCGACGCTGCCCGAGTCGTCTAGGTTGCTACACGAGGCACCTCCAAGCAGCCGCATCCGCCGTGCCCGGGGCCGGCCTGCCAAGGCGAATCTGCACGAATCACTGCTCGGTGCTGGTCGCAAAACTTGGAGCAAAAGGACCGTGCGAGGCTCTGTGTCCGAAAACTTGGAACTCATCTTGCGTGTTGAGTCCGGAGTCTTGACTATGGTCGGAAACTCATCCGACAGTTGCGCAAGAGGAGCAAGTCTTGGGTATAGTCTTGCTGCGCGTCGTGTTGATCTGCCAACACCCTCATCAAAGTCGAACCATCGAATGAAACAACCCAGGTGACTGGGCGCATGAAATCAAGAAATGCGAGCAGAGCAGTCGGATGTTGGTTGAAACTCGGATGAGCTGGCCGGTGGCCGGGCCTCCGCCACAGGGCGGCATAGACTCTGCATGGCTGCTCATCAAGAGAGCGCTGAGGCTGGGTCTCGCTGATTTCGGGGCTCGTGTGGGGTTCAAGGAGGTGCGGGGACCAGCTCGCGTTCAGGGCTGGCCGAAACTCTAGAGTTGGAAGGCTTTGCAGAGCACTAGGCCCTCAAGCTGTCGCTGAGCTGGGGCGTGCAAGTTCTGGGTGGGGTGCAGTGGGAATGGGTTAGGGCTGCAGTACTCAAGCTCCAGCAGTTCTTGAGCTGAGGCGAGCGGAAGCCATCAGGCAAACAGGCAGCGACGAAGCTCTAACGGTTCAGTTGCAAGCTGCGGGCTCCCAGCCCAAAAGAGGTGGGGCAATCTGCTTCGTGTTGAGGGGCTTTCCAATAGGAATTTGCTGCCGTGAACACCCCGAGAACTGTAGCGTTTTATAGTATATCATAGTATGCGCTAATATCTTGTAGTACAATAGTATGTCTTTGTCCAATTTCGTATATTGTAACATACAATCATCGTATACCATAGTACATTACGTAGAGCATCTTGTAGTACACTCAAGTATGCCTTCCCCAGCCACCAAACCCAAAGCCTGGAACCTAGTGAGAGTGGGTGAGTGAGTGAGTGAGCGGATGAGTGGGTGGATGAGTGAGTGAGTGAGCGAGTATGCGAGCGAGCGAGTGAGTGGGTGCATCACGTTTGCCAGTGCTTGTATTTGGTTGATGTATACCGCACGGAGCCGTCACCTCCTCCCCTGCGCAACAGATTGCCACGATTCTTCAAGCCCAACACCCGTCCCCGCTCTGCAGTGCTTGAATGCGTACAGACAACACTAACAACAGCTTGACAGACAAACAGAGGGCCTTGGTCGAAAACTGTATACCAGGAGGGCTGCACATAGGAAATGTCGTGCTTTCCACTGAACCTCCTATGGATTGTGACCCCAAAATGGTCTTCAGCGAGCGGTACTTCTTAAGCTGCTCGCTGAGCCACGACGACTAGGATACGGATGCACCTGCCCCTGCATGCACAAATGCCCGTGCCAGATGCGCGATGCCAACCTAACCGTGCTTCCGAACCTTCGGCACCTGCCTTGACAAAAAACAAACCCGCACCCAGCGGCTCAAACAGACATGCACGAGTGCCACACCCAGAACATTATCCACATAGGACATCATGCAGACGCACAAAATGGCTCTGTCATCCCGTTGCTGCTGGGCCCCTGGCGGGCTGGAGACAAGGTTTTGGCAATGCCATGCTTTGCCCAACTGCGCAGTGATGGCCCCATAGACGGCAGTCCACTGATCCTCCGATACGTCGGTATACTGGACAACTTCAGCGACCTGGGCGCATGGAACTTTGTTGTAGGAATCTCCGCTGTACCAATTCCACTTTGCTGCGGCTTGCCTAAACTGCATGCCCTTCTTCACAACGACACACAGTAAACCAGTCATCTCTGTAGAGCAGTTCAAGGTACTCCGATGGTTTGCTGAAAGTCCAAAGCACCAGCCCGTCTGTGGAGTTGTGTCTTCTCCAATACCGCTTTCGACGTGGGAAAATCATACTGTCAGAATACAGCGGACCGTTTCTGCGCGAGTATCCGCGCCTGAGAAGCAGTGCAACCCTCTGACAGTTTGTGTGAGCACGAGAGGGGAGAGAGAAACGTCTACAGTCCACAGATGCAGACAGCTCCGACTGAGGCTAAGGCCAATGGGTGGCGTTGTCCCTGGAGCAGATGTAGAAGTCGAAGCTTGGAAAGCTCCACGTCTCGTCGCCCGCTGCGGCGTGGGAGATCCGGAACGTTCTCGCCTTCTGCACCTGGATATGCAGGGCCACCCCGCGCTTCGACAAGAACTCCGCAGCTCGGTCGACAGCCTCCAGCCGATCCAACAGCATCGATGCTTGCCCAGCGCTCTCCTCGTTGCTCAAGCCGTTTCGACCAAGGAATGAACCTCTGGTCTTGCGAGTTCCAATCGAGACTCAAGCCGCATGGCCACTGCCAGCAACAAAATCTCGACGCCTCCCTCCACTATCGCCATCTCTACATCGTCGTCCCAAGGAATGATCGACAAGTGTCTCATGGACCCCAGCAGACCTCCGCCATTTAGAACGTAGGCGATTCCTAATATCTCACAGACAGCATGTGCAACATCCATCAGGTCCAGAAGCTGTTTGTGCTGATCGTGTCGCAACGCCGTGGAATAGTCGCTCGGCAGCTCGCTTCCTGCCTTCCCCCAGACTGGAAGCGAAGTCTCCGTTCGCAAGGCCAACACGCGCAGCTAGCCACCACAGGAATGTGAATGTGAAGCACTCCGCGTACTCAATGGTTGCAGACTTCGACGCCAGAAGTGCCGCAGGCAACGCTTGCCCAACACACAAATCAACTGGATGAAGGCTTTCTGTGCATGCTGACAACTTCTTCAGAAGCCTAAATAAATGCGATTGTGCCAGGTGCCTGATTATCGAGCTAAACTGGGAGAACGCATTGCATCACAAAGGGTTCAAGGTGTTCGGACACGCGATACATCAACAGCTGCAGGGGCCGCGAACCACAAGTATCGCCAGAAAGACTCATAACCATGCAAAGAGGTAGACAAAATGTACCGCCTTTATGCGCATCTGCTTTAATCACCTGGATGGGCTGTTGGGGCAGGAATTGAAACACGACACTGGCACCAACCCCACACCAGCAGTCCTGCGCCACCGGGTGATCCGGTGTAGCAAGAGCAATCACTGCAATGAAGCGCTTGACGTCTTCCCACGCGGCCATGAAATCCTCGCGTCCGGCATAATCGAGCTTCGAAACTCGCTCGTGATGTTCCTGGAACCTGCTTCCCGGCTCACGGGGAAACGATAACACGAACATCATTTGGCTGTGTCTGGGCCAGTATCGGGACCAGACAAACCAGCCTCACCTGGTCCAAAGACTCGCTGCGTAAGTGCAGGGGTACAGAAACACGGGCGACGGAGGCAGTAAGCATCTTCATCCGGGCGCGACATGCCATTTAGTTTCAGTAATTTGAATAATTTGAAACGGCCGGGGATTTAAATTATTTACGCGCTACTGTGGACTGCTTCGGCTTGACCCGGATTATTTAAATTGTCTAAATATTTTGCATTATTTAAATTATTTCGACAAGCAACAATTAAAAGAATTTAAATAATTTAATTAGCCGGTTAATTACATTATTTAATTTATATTAATTGTTGGTTAACGAAGGAATTTACATAATTTAAATAAATTAAATCGCCGGGTGGCCGCGTGCCGCGACAAGCCATTTAACTTAACTAATTTAAATAAGTTAAACGGCCGGGGATTTACATTATTTAAATTATTCAATCATTCACTTGATCACCGGCAAGTGGGTCTATTTAGAAGCGTTGCTTTTTGATTTTAATTACGGTTTAAGACATGTAACCCTATTGGAAACACAGTACAGCAGCTTCTAAATAGACCCAGTTTTGCTCACACACGGGGGTGGGGGTGGGGGTGGGTGGGTGCGTGTGTGTGTTTGTAAGTGTAAGTGAAAACCTGTTGCTAAGGATTTTGGATTTTGCAGGTAACAACGTGGACTTGCAAGCAGCAGGGGGGCAAGGGCTCCAGTGATAAGCCTTGCCCAACGAGATCACCACTGTGTACGTGCTTTCGGATTAGCCAGTGAGCCCCCTGTGGCACTGGAGTAACCAACACTGGAGTGAGTGCGATTGCGTAGAGTCAGTGCGATTGCTTGGTTTAGTCAGGTCTGTAGTCCCGCGCAATGTTATCAAATCTCAGATTGGAGACCTGCACATGCGCGTGTGTGTGTGTGTGTGCGTGTCCTTATGCAAATCTCGCTCCCGCCACAGTGTCGGCACCGTTGGTCGTCCCAGCGCCAGTATGTTATGTCCAGTCAGTGTGGTTCTGACCAGCCTCTTTGAAACATCTTCATCGTGGACGTGGTCGTCGTGGCCCTCCTGGTAACATCGGGGTGTGCATCGTGCGTTGTCTTGCCGTCTTGCGCTGCTTGGAAGTCTACGGCCGGCAAAATAGCTTTGTCAACATTATGTTGGAAGCGCACAAACAACACCCCTACTGTATCGGGATGCCTCGGCTCCACTACTTTTTGATCCTGCGGCGGGGTTCGCTGCTTTGATCTGCTACTCGGCGGACTCCACGAAGCACCAGCACCTTGCGATTTCGAGCCGCGCGCGCGCGCGTGCGCGAAAGACCGAGCGTAAGCTTCTCGGCAGGGAGCCTCTTTGAGGTGCGGTGCCACTCCTGGCCAGTCCTGGTCCTGCAGGTGCCTGGCACCAAGCTCTCAAGCTCGGGGAAAGCTCTTGCTGCTTGCTTCTGTGAGCCTCCGGAGGTTTCCTCGCGCAAGGCAGCAAGCTAACTTGTTGCTATGGTCTCGCCACAGCTGAGCTGAAAGGCCGAGGAGATCACCCGGTGAGGATGGCGGTGAACTTGCGCTTCACGGGGCCCAGATCCTTGCCAACCTGCGGAGCAAGTCAGCGCCAACCTGCAAAAGGCTTGCCGGGTGTTTGCTTGCCTCCCGGACAAAGCATCTTTTCGTATCGACCTATCCCAGTGTAGACATCTGGCAACAGGCAAAGCGCAAGAGGTGGGGGAGCAAAGCCTCCAGCAAGAAGCGTGCATTGCGTGGTGCTGCGTACATCATGGGCCCCACAGGCGCCTTGAAACACGTGAGGTATTGAAACATAAATCTGCGAGCTTCAGTAGGTATCCGGCTGGTGCGATGCATGAGTATTTCTCCTCCTGCGGTTTTCAGCTCGCGCGAACATTCATGGCAAACAAGCAAAGTAAGGCCTCCTTGCCCAGATCGACGCCGATCTCTTCAACCTGCAATCCCATCTCGGAGTCTTCGCAGAGCTCTCTGACAGGCGGACGCGTGCAGTCACCACGTTCTGCTCACCTCGTGATCCTCGGGGATGATGAGGAGGACACGGTGTGCCTTTCCGTGGCATTGCTATGCATTGCACGTGACCGAGCCCAGGCCAAACCGAGCCTCCAGAGGAGCGCAGTAAATTTTGTCATCAGGTCCGAGGGCAGCGCACGCATACTTCGCCTTCCCCCACATCTCAGTCTCTTGGGGTTGAGGCCCTTTCTAAAATGCCCCTTCGACTACGCAGTCACAGCCTCTCCATTGCCGATTGCAGGACCGATGAGGCGATTGCCCTCGGATGCACTAGACTCTTGTCACTCTCGTCTTGCACGGCTTGCCTTGTCAACTCAGCAAAAGCTGCAAGACCAGCTACTTTGCCAGATGTACTGATCTCCAGCACCTGGTCTGCATACAGTGGCGGTGCCTAGGCTTTGCCAGAGGCACGCGTGCACGGCCAAAACAAGCAAGCTCTCCCAGGCAGCGACATAGAGCAGACGATTGGCGCCCTGGCAAATACCTGTGTTGGAAGCTGCGAACAACAGTTTAACAGTTGCGTGGAGTTCTCGGGCCACTGCAGCAATACTTGCGGGGTCCCACTCCAAGATCTGGTGCAACAAGACCTTGTCATGTTCGTGAATCCAGACGAAGCAGGTAAATACTCGAACTGAGAGTTGGGCTCACGTTCCCTGTGCCGTCAATGCGCAAGATCTGCATTACCAACAAGCGCATGCCACCATGCCACGGGGTGCTTTCTGACGGGACTGTCGGGTGGTGGCATGCCTTGCGCGCGTTGTAGGGAGGTGCGAAGATGCTGCCGTCGCCAGCGACGATCGCGGAACAGTACTTGCCTTGCAGGTCGCCGGAAGCGAAACGCTGCGAGCGAGCTGCGAGCGAGCTGCGAGCTGCTGCTTCGTTTTGGGCCCTGCACCCGGCGTGGGCCCCAAGTCCGGTCCGACCTGACGAGTTGCGCGGGCTGCACAGTGGGGCCCCATGCTCCATGCTTCCGTGGGGGAGGAACTTGTACATGTATACTGCATATTGTAAACACTTCACCCAGGCGCCCATGCTCGCACCCGCACCCTTGCATGCACAAGCGCGCAGCGGTCGGCCGCCGACTGGTGAACAACTTTGACATGCGGGGTTATCCGGTCGCTTGAGTTTTGCCACTTCTGTGCACTGATACCGCCTAGGCTCACCCATCTTCCCAGCTGTAAACCTTTCCTCTGCTAAGCTGGCCGGCCTCAGCGTCCTCGGGTCTGGGGAAGAAGCCCAAGCTTTCCCAAGCTTTCGCTAATTGCTTGTGCCGTGATATCACGTGACCTTGCCCTCTCCTACCCAGACTCATTTTGTGACGGCCTTGCGAGTTGCACCACCACGGACAGGATCAATCTCCATCACCTAGGGACGGCCGATTCCAGGCAACTTGTCTGAAAGCTTCTGAAAGTGCAGCACCAACCCCGAGGAGTTGGCGTGACGCGCATCCCACGGAATGGCGTAGATCTTGAGAGTCTCAGCATGCCGCTGCTGCAATGCTGCAGCAATGCCGGTAGCTGACTGGCTCTCACACTTGCGAGCTGAGCCGGCGACGATTGGGGAAGCAATCGTTACCCACCACTCGCCCTCTGCGGACGTGGCGAGCCACAAGGCACAGCGTGAGCATGTTCTTTCCTCTGGGTGCAACAGGTGCCTGCTCAGATTTTACTAGGCGTGGTCCGACCTCGCCGACAGTGCCTTGCCCAGGCACAGAATCATTTGATGTGTGTGCGAGGCCTGCACTTCGGGCAAGAACGCTACAACGTATCGTCTTTCGGCCAGCTGCCTGTGTAAGGATCAATCTGGAGTACCTAAGGCCACAGGTCTGAAAGGCATGCGGCATGCTTCTTTACCAGCACGTGTCACGTGGCACAACACAAAACTACAAAACTTCTCAGGATTGCACCCTTTGAGCAAGGAAAGGTGCTGCGTAGATTCGGCCGTTCCAGTCGTAAGAACTGGCCTCGGGCACTTGCTTTACTTGCTTGTGGCTCTTCCACGCCGTTTGTTCGTAAGGACGGTGCAGCTGTTGCGTACTTGGTCACCAAATCCGGACTTACCTTCTCACCCACCTGCAAAAAAAGATGCTATACGTGCGGCTGTCATGCACGTTTGACTGTCTTAATTCTTCTGTCTCGTCTCTCCCACGTATGTGTGAACACAGATTTCGACGTCAGCTCTTAAAGCAGCATCTCAGCAGGGCCGCCTCAGTGATTGTGTCTTCGTCAATGTTCACCAGCAGCACGTGTGCAGCATCATAGGGGACCTGGCAATGTGCAAACAAAAACAAATACGCACCGCCCGTGGAGGAGTGACAGAGTCAACATTCCGGAGTCTCTTTGTGCTTGTCGCGTCGCAGAGCAAAAAGCAGCTCCCACGCTCGCTCGTCGCAGAGTGTCTCAGGCAAAGGCGCAGAAGAACTCGCCAGGTGTCACCAGCGACCTGCAGATGCTGATGTACTTGCAGCCCACCTCAGCTGTCCAGGCAGAGAGCGGCCGCCCCAGCTTACATGAGCCCTGCCTTGCCGAAATTGGGCCCAACCCAGCCCCAGCGCACTTGACGGCTTCCTTCTCGCACCTGCGGGTTTTCAAGCGCCCAAAGTCTGCAGCACTTAGTCGCAGAGTCAGTCGCCGCCTGGATTTCGACACACTGCTCTGCATTTCGGGGGATGCAGTACAGCCTGGCAGTGACAGCAACTCCGAACCTTTGAAATCAAGAGGTCGGTATTTGTGCTTCTGTGTCCCAGGCTTGCAGATCGCCCCGGCACCTGGAATCGTCCGACCAGGGTTTGCGTCAGCCCCCTCTAAATAACCATTGCACGTGCCGGCGACACCTTCGGCCAGCTTCTCTTCGCGGGCTGACGAGCACATAATGAAAAGACGTGGCTCAAGAGTCTCGTAAGTAATCCAGCAAGATGGAGCCTGCCAGCTGTTCCTTGACTGCCTGATGTTCCGCATACTTCTTGGGCAGAAGCTGGGCCTCAAACAGGCATGGAAACATGGACGCAAGCTACATCGTATGTCCTTCCACCATCCCTCCACGCCTCTTGCTCCTCCTCCAGCTCCGCCATAATTGACAAAGGCACGAGAAGCTGTTCTTTCCGAGGTGAACCTATGCAATTCGCATGACTGCGTGCCAAGGACACGGGATGCCACATCAGCTTGTACTGCCTGTGGCGACGGCTGGGCTTCATGAACCATCTGGCTTACATCTCTCTAGGCGGTGTGCGAAGAAAACTCAAGGTGTGTTGTGGCTCACCGGATTGAAGCCCCTGCAACTCCTGCTGGACTCCTGCTTCTGCTTGAGGCTGCGTTGTCAACAAGCCAACGGTCGAAAACGCATGGAAACACTGTCCGCACCCGCTAGTGCCACTGGAAGTCATGTGCTTCTTGACCAGCTTCGTTTGATTCTCGCAGTCACGGCCGGGAAACATCGACACATGCACATGTGCAGACCTGTGAAGATGAGGCAGGAACAGGAACCTTTCGATGTGCAAAGCAGTCTGTTCAACGCCGCTTTTCTTACTTAGGAAACCTTGGCTGTGTTGGTCCGGTTGCACAGCCGGTTGCCTGGAGGTACGGACCATTTCAACCTCAGACGTCTTTGCCGAGGCAACCGTGTCGGAGAATCCAATTCTGCAAGAGGGAAAAGCTGCGTACACAGTCGTCGGGACTGCAGCATGCCAAAGAGTCACCAACATGCTGTAGAACACAGGAAGGCTGGGATAGATAGCTGAAGGGGCGGGGGCTTAACTCTTCGGGCAATTCAAAGCATTTTCGCTTTGAGAATGGAAAAGGATCAAGCCTCCGGCTTGCAGCGCTTCACTTGTTTGCACCACGGGCGAAGGAGAGGTATGCTGTCCAAACAAAGGAGACAACCTCAGGAGCGGTCTGAGCGGCGGTCTGAGCTCTGCTTTGTGAAACCATCAGTGCCGTGCGGCGTCAGTGCGACACACCGCTGGGACTCGGGCATGCCGCACCGGGAGTCGCAACCAGAGAGGCACGGAGAAGCAGACGAGATCTGCGGGGCCCCAAACTCGGAAGACGTCGAAGACATCCTGCGACGAGCAAAAGCCATGTTGGAAGGAAGAGCCAAGAACAGCCTGGAACAGTCCTTGTTCCAGTTTCGGGTGTAGCTTCCTCAAGCGAAGTGGGGTGGAAGCCGGGCTGAGCAGGCGTTGAGACTGCGTTGAAACTGCCGAGTCTCCAATGCCGCCCTTCACCCACTCGCTTGCATCCCAAGCGGTGCTGAAGACTCCAGCTTTGAAGACATAGAAGGTCGGCAAGTACACGAAGGTCCTTAGCCGAGGCTCAAGCATACGAGCGGAGAGAGCCGCAGCCGCTCTGTGCTGCCTTCTGCCTGCTGCTCTGCCCTGGGAGCCTCGCAGCATTCCCAGGTCCAAGGCCTCGCAGAGATGTGTAAAAGAGTGCAGAAGAGAACGCGCGGGGCAGCAGCTCGCAGCAGCTAGCGGCCGAGGCGGGAGCGGTCTGCCCGGCGAGCGCCAGGAGCCCCGGGCCGTCGCGGAGCTTCGCCGCCCAGGGCTGCTCCGTGAACTTCTCCTCAGCTACGCAAGCAAGGCTGCACGGCTGCGCACGGCTCAGGCCGCGAGGCGCTGCCGCTCCCCCTTCCCCTTCCCCTCCACGCCGACTTTGAAACGATACCAGCTGAGCTGCGACGCCGGGGAACATCCGCTTGAAAACGTTGACCTTGGGAGACGGCACGGGTTCTCCAAGGTACCGCTCGGAAAGAGCCACTGCTTGGCTGTGGACCTGATACCAATACCTCGGACAAGCGCTGCCAAGCAAAGGTTCAGAGGCTTGCAGCAAGCAACCTCACACAAAAAAAAGGCATGGACTTCTAACACGTGTCTTCCTTCTCTTTGCTCACTTCGGTCGTTCTGAGAAAATTGGCCCAAGTGGCTGAAAGGCTCCCAAATAGACAGCGCCGAACAAGCAGAAGACCTTAGACAGTGAGATGTCTGGTGCCTATTCAGGGCCTTGCATCAATGGGCCCTGCTAAAGTCGCCAAGACTGTATAGGTTTCGGTTTCGACATGTAGAAGCCCTGTGGTATGAGATGTCGAGAATAGGAATCTCACAATCATGCTGGTCATGGATTGAGAGCTCTTGGCAAGCCAAGCCGCCATATTGCGTTTCCAGTCAACTTCATTCAAGGGCTTCTGCTCGATCACACACTGGGCCACCAAATCGGCAGCTGAAGTCTTCATCGTAGCAATAAGCAGGTTGTTCCTGATCAAGAGCTTCGGTAAAGCAGTAGTCGTGTCACAAGGCATCACGGGCGTCACTGCCAAGGTGCGTGAAGGGAAAAGACTTGGCAAACGCTACATAGGACCAGCGTGCTTCTCCTGCCTGCAGGTTACAGATGCTGGGAAATGCGCTGTGAGCTGCCAGCTGCCCGCTGGGACCCGCTCCTCGGCTGCCTCTGTGGCTTTGAAGCGAAAGGTGTCACAGCTTCGTCTGCAGCTGTTCCACTGCAGCCCTTGGAACAAACGGAACAACGGAAGAGCAAACAGCTGGTGCAGCAACATGCACGATGCGAAATGCAAAATTCCGGCGGTCAGGCGGCGGTTCGCGTTGCCCAAGCTGAAGGCTGCCGGCCGCGGAAAAGGCGCCCGTCGCGCGAGCAGGCGCGCTGCCTGCCTTGGCCACCCCAAAAAGCCGTAGAAGATGGCTTGAGGGCTGCTTTGCAGGTCTTGACATCGTGATTGGAATGCAGAACAAACAGCTCTCTGAGGCCGCAGCATGGCTTTTTTTAAAAGCCCCGGCGGCCGGCGGGCGGGCGAAGGCGAAAACTCTTTGAGCCGAGCTTTGGGAGCTGTGGCTGTGGCTGACCCCATCTTCCCATCTTTCTTTCCCACGCCTTTGACAAAAGGGTTTTCCTTTTCTCACCGGATGGTTTTGGAGCGCGTTGCAGAGCTGAAGGGCGGTGTGAAACAGGGAACAGAGAGCGAGGGAGGACCATCTCGACAAGGTCTCGTCCTGATGCCGCTAGAGCACATCTATCTGCACTCCCCGGCTCAGAGACGTGGGCGAAGTGGTCGAAGATCTGATGTGTACACCGTCCAAGCCAGTAGTCCATGTCTCACCACGGGTGCAGGTACTCGCAGTCCATGACGCTTCACTTGGACCACTTCCAGGTCCAAGTCAAGCACATGAAGACTTAGGTTGCGTAAGCATGGAATCGGCGGAAGCATAGCCATCCGCCTAGGCGACGGAACAACGCAGCTAGCCGCAGCACTCTCTGACAAAGCTGTGCATTCTACAGAGGCCCGCACACTCAGCTCGGCAACGAAAGATCGAGAAGTGACCTTCGCGGTGGCTCTGGCATGCCCACCAGCCGTTATAGGGCACATGTACGTTGACGAAGCCGAGCAGCACCAACAGATGGCGGCAACACGAAGCAACCTCAACAAGAGCTCTTCCCCTGCGAGCCTCGAGAGCGAAGCCCCCTTCACCTGGGTTCCGAACATGACGTGTGTATGCGCCACATGCGCCACCGGCCCTGAGGGAACACCTCGCTTGCACCATCTGGCAGAGGAACCACCCGTTCCTGGGCAGCCAATGCACGCTTGCCATTTCGCGGGAGGTTTTGCTGGTTCCATTCTAGAGTCTACGTTTCGAACGAATGCAATGCTTGCTTCCTGAGCTGAAGGAACTTACCTCCACTCATGTGGCGGACATAGAAGCGAAAGACTGGCTGTGCTGTGCATGCTGTGCCCCTTGCTCCCGCGAGTAGCAACTGCCGTCGTCGACAGTGACTGTCAAGCAAGCTGGTAACCGTGTGCTAGCCATGGGCCATGAACGTTGCTCCAATCTCTGTCAACAGAACCCAACGAAGCATCCAAACCTGAGTCCACAATCCCCCCAACCCAGGATAGCCTTAGCTCTCATCAAAAACATTCTGAACTCACAAAGCTCCGAAGCCGCTGCTTGAGGCGGGCACGGCCACAGCGAAGAACTTCCGACGCGCTGTGTCGCCCGGTGGTAGCTCTATGGCTGGCCTCCAGAGGTTTGGAATCCTCTGTTGAGTCCACTGGCTGAATTGGGGATAGATAGGGGGCTTGGGCCTTTTGCGAACTCCTGATTGAAACTAATCGAGCTGGCTTCGTGATCTCTAAGACTCTAAGACGTGCTCCGCAGTGCTGAGTTCAAGGCGGCAGGTACGAGGTGCCCTGGACCGCAAAGAGCACTTTCGAGAATTCAACCTGCCAAGAATGGCATAATGACATAATGTTGGGCTTATGCAGCACGGTGGAGGATGAGCTTCGACTAGGTGTCTCACGCGCGGGCCTCACGAGCCCAAAAGCGAAACCCATTGTGAGTCGAGGATTCACACCTGGTGGTAGGGCCTGGTAGGGGTTTCTTTTTCGGCTAAAACCTGCTTTCGAGACAGAGAAGCAAGCAGCACGCAGTTGTGTTTAGAGACCTTCTTTCTTACCCTCCCCGACAAGCTCGCGATGGGCGACATGGAATCGGAAAAGACGAAACCATGTGCCAAAGCCTAACTACCCGAGAAGTAGACCTGAGTATTCTTCGCTTTTAACAGAGCTGTGAGCTGCAAACAGGAAGGAGAACTGTGTGTGGTTCTTTTGCTTATCTATGTCTCGAGATCCCACATCTATAACCGGTGTAGTTCACGAGGTTGCATGCCCAGGGAAGAGCCTTTGACGAGCAGAAGCAGGACACGGAGGCAAGCCGTGCGGTCCGAACCAAGCAGAAAAGAACGGCCTCCAACAAGTCTGGGGCAGCCGCTTCCAAACTCACCGACCTTGCCGACGAGGTTATCAATCTCTTTGATGCTGCAAAGGCCGAGCGCGGAACACAGCATGCTCTGGACCAACGTAGGCTCCGATCGGTTTTGCTGCCTGGCATGCGGATGCACGTGCAGTTTTCTGCCCCGGGTGCGGATCCGAGAGCCTGTGGCATTGCTTCGGAGCTTCGATCTTGGTGATTTCTGGGCAACATTTCTGCTCGACTGGAACTGAGCAAAGAGACCAGTCTCTCGGTCTCCCCCTTACTGAGGGGGCATCTGCTGGTTGAACGCGCGACCTTCCCGCCTTGGGAACCTCGGATCTGAGAACGACGTCGCGCCGCCGGTCGCGCGCCGGTCGCGCCGGTCGCGCACGCGCCACAGCCCCGCGGGGAGAGGGCCAGCGCCAGGGCCGCCAGCAGAACCGGCAGCAGCGCTGAGCCTCAGAAAACGTCTCACGCTGGGATCGCACCGTCGCCCTGATGGCCCTTGAGGCCCGGCACCTCGCCGACGCAGAGCGGGGAGAGAACTTCGAGGCTTTGGCTTTGGCCGTGGCCTCGGGTGTGGCTCTCTGTGAGGTGAGAGGCGGCCCTCGGCCCTCTCCGCCTCGGCCTCGGCCCTCTCGGCCCTCTCCTCCTTCTCCCCTTGCAAGCGCTTCCGGATGCGCTGCCAGCGCGCGCGGCCTGCGGCCCGAGGCGAGGCGGTGCGAGGCTGCTCTGAGCCTCTGGCCCATGAAAAGAGCCCACGTGCGGCACCCGGCCCGGGGACAGAGGCTGAGGCCGAGGAGCAAGTCGGCGGAAGGAGACTAGAAACTCAAGAACTAGTAGCGAACGGCTCAAAAAAGAGACGATCAAGTTTGAGCAAAAAGCAAATCACTTTCATGAAGCATAACACTAGAGGAAATTGGAGCATGCCAGTCGAGAAACTTCGAGAAACAAGAGAAAGGGTGCAACAGACAAAGAAGACAATTCTGCAAAAAGGAAGGGGGTCTCAAACACAAGGACGGACTGTTTTGTCAAGGAGGCGACTTTGCGAAACAGGAGCAGAACATTTGGAGCAACAGGAGGCAGCTGCGTGTAAGAACGGACTGGAGAAGTTGCCAATGAGCAGATTTTCAGGAAGCGAGCAAACCCGTCCAAGGGGACTAGACCATTCGAGTTGGCAAAGACTCGAGCCACACCACACTGAGCAACTTGACAGTCGAACTGGACTGGCTAAATTTGAGAATATGCTCAAGCTGCCCGAATCTTAGGAAAGAGGAACAAACCGGCCAAAACGGGACTAGAATTTCTCAGATGCAGGAGTTCACAGGAGCAGGCTTGACAAAAAGGGCAATTTGAGGCAGAGGAGCAAACACCAATCGAAAGGAACTAGAAATTGGGGAAACAGGAGTGGGCCGCTCGGAAAAGACCGGAACACTTGAGAGGAGAAACTGAGAAGCAGGAGCAAGCAGCTCGATCGAAAGAGAGAGAGAGAGAGAGAGGCCTTAAAACGAGTTGCAAACTAGTTGAATTGAAGCGGACTAGAAGATTTGAGAAGCAGGAGCAGACAGCGCAAAAGAGACCAGAGACTTTGACAAATAGTATCGGAATATCAGATGAAAACAACGAGGAAGCTAACCGAAAGGATTGAGAAACAGAAGCAGCGACGACAAACAGTGCAGAGTAAAGGGGCCAACCAGTCGAAAGAGATTGGATACACGGAAAATCAAGAGAGAGCCCTCGAAAGAGACCAACCCCTTTCGAACGATCTGCCGCCTCTTTTCTACGGTTCAGCCGTTGTGCTCCTCTTTCTGAAACTCTCCTCTTTGTCAACCTCGCTTGTCTCTGTTGAGCGGCTAGCTCCTCTTTCTGAAACTTCTAGTCCCCTAGTTGACTCGTTCTTAACGTCGCTTTTTCCAATTCTCTAGTCTCTTTCGAAGGGTGTGGGGCAGATCTTTCTCAAACTTGGGCCCTTTTCCGACGCCGTGCAGCGCTGTGCTCTGCTCGCCGCCGACCGCCGGCTGCTCACCGGCGCACGTGGGCGCTGCCGCGCCGAAGAGAGTCAGAGCCTTTCTTGCGCTCTCGCGCGCACACAGCTGGCATCTGCCTCTGGGTTACGTCTCCAAGGAGGAAACCCATCTCCGGTCTCCTGGCCGGTTTGGGGCCTTCGGGAGAAGGCTGGTGGCCGGCGGCTGGCTGAAGCTATGCTGAAAAGAACCTCGAGACTTCAGGGACGAAAGCTAGGGCCAGGGCACCAGAGGTGGCAGCCAGCTGAGATTTTTCAGGCAGCGACAGCTATGTTCACTCCTCTGATCATGAGGCTTAACTTATAGTTTGTCACCTACAGAAACCACACACGACCGGAACGTGCTGTGCCCAACTCTTTCACATCTTGCCCTCTTTTTACCGAAATGTCCGACATCTTGTAAGGGGGGGAGGCCGGGGGACCTCCCCGCCCTCGCAGGAGCTTGAGCTTGAGCTTAGATCCCTGGCAAACCTGACCACAAACTTTCAAAAATTGACCCAAGAACAGAGTAAGCAAAAACTCCCGCAAGCTGCGGAAAGAGGCCCCTGTGCCCCTTGTGGGGAGGCCTTCCGCGAGGCTGGCTTGCTTTGGCTCAGGCCCACGATCGACGACCTGTTTCGCGGAAATGGCGAAGCGTCTTCAACAGCTTTACTTCCTCACAAGCCCTCGGCGGCAGCGCGGGCCTTGGGAGCTGCAGGAACCCAAGCTTTCCTCCCAGCGACCCAAAACATCGCCGAGAGCTCTCTGTGAAGCAGTGCACTGCACTTTGGCCACAGCTGAACGGAGCCTCGCGGAGCTTGGAAGCCTCGGCCGAGGCGAAGCCAAAAGTGAGGCAAACCGCGGCCGCAGCCGGTCCCTAGCGTTCCCCGAAGGCCCGGGCGCTCCGGGCGCCGACTGCGCTCCCTTCGCCTTGGCCTTCGCGTTTACCTGGCACCGGCCACCGGCCGCTCACACCATGGCTCTGGGAGCTTTGGAGATTTCCGCTCTCCCCCTCTTCCCCTGCCTCCTTCTTCGAGACTTGCGGCGTGTGCGTCTCTCCTCGCTTCAGGCATCGTCAGGCTGCTCGGCCCTCCCGCCCCTCAAGTCGTCTCGGGGCTGCGACCAAAAGCTGCACCAGACCTCCGCAGCCGGTCTCCGGTCTGGGATCTCTAATGGCCCTAATCATTTTCTTTTGGTGATGCTTTCTTTCTCTGACGGCTGCATCTATGTACAAAGTGCTTTAAAGCTCAGAAACCCGCAAGGCACGTTCAAACGAACTGAACTTCCTTCTGGTGCTCTGCACCATTCCGGTAATGATATGGAGCGGGTGCACCATTGGCCACGTCTCCGGCACAGCGGAAGCCGAGCGTCCCAGCACGCTCGTAGCTGTCACCTGAACCATGGACCCCGCACATTCTCTGCTTCTCTGCGGACTTGCTGCCTGGGGAGCACTGCAGCTTGCTGCAGCTTAGATGCTCATGAGGAAATACTTCGAATGCTTGTTCAGCCTCAGAAAGCGGGCGGCACAGGTCGGCACACTGCAGCTCGGCTCACGTGCAAGACGAAGCCGGGCACTCCACTCGCGAGCAGGAGGGAAATACCTGAGTACTCTGAGCACTTGACAAAGAAGCACTTGACCCCTCGGAAAGCACGGCTGTTGCATGTTTTTCATGCAACTTTGAGATGTGCCACGTTGCCAGTTCACGGACTGATGCAGGGAGGGAAAGGCTTCCGAGACTTGCGGGTTGTAACGGCTGGACCCCCGCAGCAGGACGGCCCTGGTGTGCTCATCCCGGAAGGAGTCCGTGTATTGCCACACGTTTCCAATCAAGTCGTGCACGCCGAAGACGGAGGTGCCCTTCTGGTGTTTCCGAATGATTTCGGGATCGTGACCTGCAGCGTTCGTGCTCCTCAAGTGACAAAAGTCGTTTCCCGGCCCCCGGCCCGGAGCCTGGAGGGGGGACGGCAGCAGGATCCCAGTGATCACCCCAAGGATATTTTCTTCCATCTGGCCCCTGAGCAGCGACTTGCCACTCATAACCTCGAGGGCCGGGGACGGGTCCCAGACGGGTGCAATGGCAACGCTTCTTGGCTTCGGGAGCCAAGGAGCTGTGAGGCAACCTCTTCCCGTAAAAGAGGCAGTACCTCCAGGCTGTGCTTGGCTTTTTGTGGTCGGGTGAAACACTCACTCTGCGGAGGGTCTCAGTCTCTCCCCTGTGCCCCGTGCCATCCCGTGCCTCTCTGCTTCTTCGAAGCCAATGTTCACAACCGGTTTCTGCTCATCGCCTGCGCTCTGACACGACATGTCCGTGACTCTGACTGCATCAGCTCCTCGCACAGTCGCTTGCGATTGCCAGTCTCTCGGTGCCTGGTTTCGGCCCGCCAGTCTGCCAGTGCTTCAAGAAATTGAAGTTGTCAGCAGGACTATATCCTCAATGGCATTCACTTCAGCTGAGACTTTCTCGCCTCTCACGTGTGCAAAGAAACCTCGCGCCGGCACGGCTCATGTCAAGGGTCCACTGGCATTTAAGTACCGGAGATAGTCAGCGTTCGTGACCTGTCACGGAAGCGCATATCCAAAATTGAATAGTTGGCTAAGGCACGCTGCATCAGCTGAGCTGCCAGATCGCGATCAATCAGAAAAGGGCCAAGATCAAGCGACTTTCCGTGATTACGCTCTGGTCGGTCTTCCCAGGGGAACTGCACATCGACTCCTGGATCTCCATCATATCATGCACTTCTGTCAAAGCCCTGCATGAGCACTATGACTGAGCTCTTGTCCAAAGTACTCCAGCTGCACAACGCCGCACTGGCAGCTTGGACCCCCGTGCTCCACACATTTGGACTTGCAGCCTCAGGGCTCACAGGGGGCTCTTTTTGCTTCTCCCACAGACCTCTCCAGACCTCTCTTCTGGTCGTCTGAGTGGCAGATATCGTTGGGATCATCTGCTGGATCGCATCCGCCCTCAAACTCCGTGCCGCTGCTCGAAAAGTTGAACTTCATGCGGGGGAGCCTCGGCAAAACAAAGGACGGAAAGCTGCGGGAGTAGCATGGACGGAACGGCAGTCGCAAGGCGAATCTGGTACAATCGACAAGCAAAGATCTTCATTTTCCCAGCGCTTTGGACCTGGGCAGGGCCTCGAAACCGGAGTCGCTGAATCCCACGATGCACTCAGACATCCCACCCCATTGTGTCTTTGAAGCATCTGCTCAAGAGATCTCCGTGTTCCAGCGGCTGGCAGTCTGTGGCCTTTTGGAGATCATAGGCTGACGGATGTGATGGCAGTCGTCCTCCCTCTGCGTCGCAGCTGGCATTTTCGTGTACACGATCCTCAGCTCTCATTGGCTGTTGTAAACGGCTACTCCGACATGGTGAAGTGCAAACAAGTCTCTGCCAAAGCTTGGTTCTGCGTGCTTCGAAAGAGGCGGCGCAACAGTCGAGGTAGTACTCCTTACTCGGCTCTTGGTGGCTCAGCCGTGGCTCCGATTGAAAAGTGCAGACAAGCATCCCACATCCGGCGAAAGCGAAGCTCGAACTCTTCGAGCCCCCTCCAATTGTCCAGGCGATGCTTCCACTCTCGCAGAGTCTTGGCATAGCTGACTCCGAAGCTTTGCCAATCTTCCATGTGCCATCGATCATTAAACTCCTGTGTGAAGTGTGACCTCGGTGAAAAGAGGAAAAGGGAGAGTGATATGCTCTGAGTGCTCTCTGCTCTCCCGCTCTCTTTGCGGCCAAAACAAGGGGCATGGTGGGAAGCTCGGCTCCGGGGAAGATGTACTTGTTCATCCAGCCAGCATGGTTCCACTCCCCTCGCCTCGCGAAGCCGATGCTGTGGATCACCATTATGCCATTGTCCTTCAGCAGCTCATGGCACTTGTCGAAGTACGTCTGGTAGCAGTTGCGACCGATGTGCTCAAAAATTCCGACGGAGTATATCCTGTCGAATTGACCTGTCATACTCCGGTAATCCTGCAGACGAATATCGACAGCCGGATTCTTGAAGTTCTCCTTTGCGTATGCATACTGATCTTCTGAAAGCGTCACCCCGGTGACGTGCACACCATACTCTGTGCTGATAAGGTCGGCCAAAGCTCCGAAGCCACAGCCGAGCTCCAAGACCTTCATGCCTGGCTTCAGATCCAGCTTTTCTGCTACCAGCCTCATCTTCGCCAGCTGCGCTTCTTCCAAACTCATGCCGGGCTTGTGGTAGTACGCGCCCGAGTACCTTCAGATTCAGCGCAACGACGCAACGACCTAGCGCGTGCACTGTCAAGAGCTGAGCTGCCATCCAAGCGGCTGCATCGTGGGCCCAAGCATCTGCTCATACAGCTTCAGCGAGATATCATAGTGCTTGGCAATGTTCTCCTTGGCACCTGTGGGCGAGTTGCCAGGGAAGAGCAGCCAAGAGAGTGTGCCAACCACTGCACTGGCCAACAAGGGGAGACCAGCCAGCCCCAAATCTTTCTTCACAGGTTCGAGCTTGATCATCTCCCTGATAAAGGCTTCGACATCGTTGGATTCCCAAAGCCCATCCATGTAGCTCTCTCCCAGACCCAAGTCACCCTGCACCAGGACACGTCGGTAGACATCCGGATCCTTAACGTACCAATACACTCCGTTGCCATCCACGGGCATGTTTGGCGCGCCATCTGGAGCATCTTTCACTATGATGTTCGTGTACTTCTGAATTAGATCCTTCAAGGCTGCTCCATCATTTGCTTGTCTCGCGGCCTCGACCCCCAGGAACCCTAGCGCAGAGGCAAAGACCGGGAAGAGCAGCTGTGGGCCTGCCGCACAAATCACACCTAGGGCCTAGGCCTAGTGCCTTTCAGACTTCTGCTTGCATGTCTCAAGAAGACCTTGTATTCAGTCGGTCTTTGGCATAGCGGTAATAGCACAATAGCATATAGCTAATATAGCTGCTGTAGCCACCCGGCCTGTCACAAGGGAAGGCCGCGCGGTGCGGGTGGTGCGGGGAGCTGCTGTGGGTCGAGCAAGCGAGCTTCTCGTGAGTGCTGAGAGTGCTGAGACTGGGGCCACGGCCCCGGGCCGCGAGTGCCCCAAAGGTGGCCCAAAGGCGCGACTCGCTGCACGGCTGCCAAGAACGGCAGCGAGGCAAAGCCAGCAGCTCCGCCGCCGCCAAAGATTCTTGTTCGCCATGGGCGCAGGCGAAGGAACGGAAGAGGAACGGCAGCACGGGAGGGGAGGGGAACGGAGGGGAGGGAGTGCTTGGCCTAGGTTGTTTCACTGGCGTAGCTCACTTGACTTTCAGCATGCGCTCGCATCTCCCGGGAACAACTAACCTCCTCGAGCTGAGCACAAATAGCAGAGTTGTGGAGTGTGACTGACTACTAGACCCGCACAGCGCTTTTCAGAAATGTAACACTCAGCCAAGCAGCAAGACCATCTCTGGCGGTGGGCTCGAGGAATCAAAGATCTTGGAAGACGGCCTGAGCTCGTGAAGCGGAATGAGTTGCTCCGTGTTTTCACCTCCCAGGCGTTGCATGTAAAGATCGAGCTGCCTGGGGTCCATCTTCTGTGGCAGAACGTGCCAAAGGTCAGAAAACTCTGCCTTGGCGAGAAACGCTGCGCCGCTACCTATTCTCGCATGAATCATTGTGGCAAAATCCGCTGTCGGGTTCACCAGCAGGGGAGAGCGTCAAGTGCAGAAGCCCCTCTTAACCCATGCTCAATCGCTGAAAGAAGGCCATTTAGGCTTATTTCAACCGAAACGAGAGACGCCCTGAGCCCTGGCCCCAGGGGCCCTTCTTGCGGCCAAGCTGCGAGGCGACGCTGCGAGAGCTGTCGCATCCTCTCCAGGAGCGCTTCCCTGGAGCGGCAGAGCTACACAGATGCGGGGCTCGTGACTCGTGGCTCGTGCAGTATACTGCAGCCAACTCACTCTTGAGCACCCTTGGTCGTTGCGAGAAGCGCCGATATCCCGGAAGCTTCGATGGTCAGCTTAACGACACCTTAGACTGCGGCCATCTCGGGAACTGAAACCTCGCACCTCCCGACCCTTTCCACGCGGTTGCCTTTTGAACAGGTCGAGCTGCCGTCCGTCTGAGGGCTCACCTGCACCGTCAGTTCGCACTGCACTGCTTCAAGGAATCTCCGGCCAAGCCTTGGTTCCATGGTAGAGGTCGAGAATCTCAAAGCCTTCGGCCAGGTAGGGCTCGGGGAGTCGCACCTCACGGGATGGCGCTCCGCAGCGGCGCTCCGCAGCGCTCCGCTTCGAGCTGTGAGCCCTGGCCCAGCAGAAGGGCCTCGATCTCAGCGTCCGTGGCTTTGTTGATCACGAGCCACAAAGCCTCCTTCGCCTTCACGAAGCGCGAGGCAAAGATGCCCCTGGAAGCATCTGTCGCCTCGGCGACATGGTTTAGCATGTGTCATCCTTTCTTTAAGGGCACACGTTGCGGATGGCCTCAGGTGCGTGAGGGACCCAGTCATCAAAGTCATGGATCAAGTTCCTTGCGCAGAAGGGAACTCTTTTGCCAACATCCGCCCCGCTCTGGACAGGGCGAGGTGCCGTTGGCCCGCCCATCTAAGAAGTGTGGCACTTCGACGGAGGAGCTCAGCGTCTCTGTCCGTCAGCTGGTTGTAGAGTCCCCAGATGTTTTCCTTGGCATCGCGATGCATATTATGGACCCCCCACCCCAGTGATTTCGAGATGCGGTGAACCTCGAGATTTAAACTAAGCCATGGTGACTGCGATCGATGGCGGGCCGGCAAATACCTGCTCTAGTGATCGTGACAAAACGAGAACTAACGTCCGGTTCTGCAGGCGAGAAAGGTGGATGCTCGCAGCCATCAAGTCCACCCCTCACGTTCGACAACTCGCAGACCATGCAAGCACCCAAATGACAGTATTTCAGCCAACACACCCATGACTCGTAGCCATCTCCGTTGAAGAAGGCTAGCTGTATGGCGGTCGTGCGGCTCTTGGACCAACGATCACAGACATGAGTCAAATGTCTTCCGCGGGGATCGAGCCACTTCATCTTGTCGACACCTGAGCTTCACATGCACAGCCATCATGTCCGGCGACACCAGGGGTCGCAAGGAAAGCAGCTGAGCCCACCAAGCAGCCAGGCTCGTAGTCGTACTTCATGGTCATGCGGTCCGCTCGCTTCTGGCCAAAGTATCCCCATCCCAGCGGTGTCCATCCTGGCGAGCAGGGGAGAGGGAACAGAAGAGGAGTGGCAGGCCGTGCGCCCCGTGCGCCCCCGGGCCCGGCGGCCTGCGCTGGAAAAGTCGGAATCACAGGGGACGCCGCCCCCTTCAGGCTCTGCCGCGAAGGTAAAGTTACGAAGAGTCCCGGCTTCCCAAAACTCTTTCGGGATGCTCGTCATGGTGTCCCCGTTGAAGCCATCGCCTCGAGGCAAGGCAAGCAAAAAAGCTCTTCTCGCATCGTGTGCGCACGTGACGTGGAGCTCTGGTGCGGACGGCTCAGAACCCCTACCTGTACTTATAAGACTTCGCCGCGGAGAGGACCCGCCTCCGGTGGCCTTCAACAGAGTGGCCAGGACATCCCAGTGGTGGCCCTCGTCCCGTGTCGCCTGATCCCAGGGGTTGTAGGCCCAGAGAACCTTCACGTTCCGCTTGTGGAAGGACGCCGTCAGATTTGTCAAAGCCTGAAGTCCGCCGGGGACCGCTCGAAAGTAATCGAACTGGTTCCGATCATCGATCCCGATGTTCGTGTAAGTCGGCCAAATGAGCACCGAGTCGATGCCACCGTAACGATGCTCCAAATCATCCAAGTACCGTTCCGTCGTCCAGGACCCATCGAAGAGAAACCGATCGTACAAGTGGATCTGTGGTTGGACATAAGAGGTTCGAGTCCACGTTAAGGTTGGATCTTTGTAGGCTTCCGCCTGATATCTCTTTGAATGTTCTTCGCGCCAGGATTTCAGCTCCGCCAGCCACTCGCTGTGGTTCTGGTGTGGCTTTGGCGCGGCTAATGTCTCTTCATCCCAACAGCCTTTACCCAGACATCTCCCGAAGAATAGCAGCACAAGCCATTTCAAGCTCATCCTATCTCAGACTATGTCCTGGGCTAAGGTCGCCAGAAAGGTCCTAGCAGCTCATCATCTAAACAGATCTGACCAGCTCAGCCTCTGGGGCAAAGTCTTGGGCGCACTGCGTGAAATGCTTTGACTTCTGACTCAAGCCACAGAGCTGTAAAGGCAGCTAGGAGCAAGACAGCCAGTGTTGATTGCAAGCATGTTTGGGAAAAGATTGAGAGGCTTTGTGCGTGCCGACCTGGAAGAAGGACTGAAACTGTGTCTGACCTTGCCGACGGAATGCCGTGTCGTGTTGCCCAGCTCGGCTCTACGTAACGCGGGGACTTCTCAGTCTCATGGGGGGGGCAAGGTCAGCCTTGAATGTGCTGGAGCTGAGCTGGGCTATGTGGCTTCGTGAGGCTGCCCACTTCGAGGAAACTGCGGGAATCTTCAAGAACTCCGAATTGGATGCCCGACGTCTTTCCAGCGTTGTCAGCACTGACTCTGCAGTGTACAAAACGGTTGCCACATCGAAGACAGGGACAGGCTTGGAACCGCTACTCGGCTGCACTGAGTGTTCGGCTTGGCTTTGACCAGCAACCCTGGTACCTGCACGCTTGAGCATTGCTATTGCCACAGACGGCCGTGTTGCGAGCCTGGCGATGCGCGCAGCGACGCCAGCCCTGGACCCAAGTAAGTCAAGCTGTTCCATCGCTTCCCATTCCGAGGCCAGTGCGAGCGTCGATTTGCTCCAGCTCCTTCTGCAGAAGCGCCTCCAACAGCAAGACACAGCAAGGAAACAACAACTCTGCGCTTTCAGGTACTCCTGTCAGAAAGATCTCCGTGTTGGCGGCACAGCATGAGAAAGGGTGCAAGGCTGATGCTGCGGTACCACATGTAATAATAGAAATCGAAACCAAACAAATCTACAATGTGTCTAAGGCTAGATGCACCCTCTGAAAAGGGACTCCTTCCTGGGCTGGCCTCGGCATCGTCTCGTACTTGGCCGACCGAGGCTTGTGCCATGGAGCTCTAAGGGTGAGCAAATTGATTCTGGCTCTTTCTTTAGGGGCTGCTTCCGGGACGACCTGTGATTCGTGGCGGAGCCTTTCGCGCTGGGCTCTCTGTTCAGTCACGTAGACGGCTGCGCATGTCTGGTATCTGCTGCAAAGTTCGCGGCCGATGAAAGGATCATTCTACCAGAATTTTCTTTGCACTATGCCCGCATCTCTCCCCTGAGCTGCTGCACTTCAGCGCGAAGTGAATCCAAATCCTGGCCACGTTCAGTGGATTTCTAAGGCCGAGCACCGTCACAACGCGCTCACGGGGCCTTCCGCAGCTCTGTGTGCAAGCGGAAATTTTGTTCCATGACGGCACACTGTGCCTGCAGGGAACATAACAAACATAGGAACCGAGACATATACTAACACGCACAGGCAAGGCCTACGCCCAATGGCGCATTTCGCCCACGTATACGCACCCACCCCCACCCCCACCCGCACACCCGCACACCCGCACACCCGCACACCCGCACACCCGCACACCCGCACACCCGCACACCCGCACACCCGCACACCCGCACACCCACACACCCACACAACCACACACCCACACACCCCCACACCCACACCCACACCCACACCAACACACCCACACCCACACCCACACACCCACACACCCACACACACACACAGACAGACACACACACACACACAGACACACACACACACACACAGACACAGAGACACTCGCACATTCGCGCAGACATGTGGACTTCGCTGACACACTGATTGATGAGCTGCTGGATCCCTTGTACGATGCGCTGCACGACATAAACAGGTTGAGACAGAACGAGCACTGCACTTGCATGCTACACGGGGCCCATCATATTCTGCAGGTGCACAAGACACATTATGTCCTGCTTGCCACTTGCATCCACAGGTTCGTTGAGTGTAGTAGGGCGCACATGCCCTGCTCCCCTGCTCAGTCTCAGCAGTAAAGAAATGGTACAAGAGAAAAACAAGCACTGTTTGGCATGTTGTCGTGTGGGTGTGACCCTAGGAACCTACAGTCAAACAGAGAAAGAGACAGGTGAGAGAGAGAGAGAGAGAGAGAGTTGTGAAGATATGCGTACACCACATGTACACGCATGCATGCATACATACAAGCACTTACATGCACTCATGCATGCGTACACGTATGTACGTACGTACGCATGTACGTATGAATACTTGTCGTGTGAATGTCAACATGTGGACACTCTCTTCCGACGTCGTGCTCCTCAGTATAGTGTGCCCCTTACCCATCCACCGGAGCAAGAGCGCCAAAGTAAGTTGAGTGTTTGCACAACGAACTCTCAGTTTAGACTCAGAATGCACAAACATGCAAAGATGCACCCCCTCCCTGGAACGGTACCATGCAACGTCAAATGATTGTTTCGGCAGTGCTCCAAGCTTCAAAGTCCATGTCGGTGATTCGACACACCCTCCCAGACTCTCCGGATTCTCCTGCTCCCTTCGTCTCCTTCCGTCTCCTTCGGCGCAAATCCTGAATATTGTGAAACGGATTTGAGGATCATGTACTTCGCCTCGAGTGCGTACTCGATACATCCACTACGTACGATGTGCACCCTACACGTGACATGACTCACTTCGTGAGTGTGGTTTGGGTAGTGCGGTGAAGCTCATAACAGCCTACCGAGTGGACTGCAAAGTATCGCAAACAGATTTGGCCGTTCAGGATAAGCGGGATAGAAGGAGTATGCTGGATAGTCAAAGAATGCCGTCCTTCATCGCCCTGGTCTTTGCATGAGGCGAAACACGAGTCGAGCCGCAGTCCGGAGTAGCACCTGAAGTGAAAACTGCTGAGGACTGTTGGCGCCACTGCAGTTGAAAAACTGTAGTCGGGCCAAATCCGTTTTCGGCGAGTGGTATTGGATGTATTGGCTCGGTGGAATGATGCGCGACAGGCGAAGTTGTCGACGTCTTGTCAAGTCTAAGCAGTCTGACAGGAGATCGGCCAAGCAATGCTTGACACTTGACACCACTCCCATCCTGTCAAGTTCTGCTTCAGTGTGTCCAGCATGAGAACTCCATGAATTTCACCTTGACTTCTGCTGGCGGTGGAAGTGTCCGTCACCAGCCTACGTTCGCAGCTGCACGAACAAGCTGAGCATCGTGAGCACATCTTATCCAACGCCCACAATCTTGAACTGAGGGGTTTGCATCTGCGAAAAGCAACGCTGTAAGTTCGAAGAACCAAGTATGCTCGACTCGAACTTCAGTTTTTTCATCCAACTCAATGTCCATCATCCTCAAACTCGGTTGTGCCGCAGGAGATTATAAAGGCCTCTGTGCAAAGATATATCAGATAGAGCCTTCCGGTAGTTTCCAGCACATCCTCCACCTGTGTGCGAATCAGAAGAGAGTCGCACACTGGTCAACGCACAAGTTTGAATAAGCATGAGCCGGATTCCCAACACACGGCGAAGTATGATGCGAGCTGTCTGTGGCTGCATGGAGCTGGTAGCCTGTGTAAATGTGCACGTAGTGCCGGGAAAAAAGACTCTTGCTTCTCGCAGCACTCATGGGCTGTCCATAGAACGCTGAAAGCACGCCCCTTCACTCATGGATTCTCGCCGTGCTGAACCCTCGAGGTTCCCCGCAGTCTGATAACAAGGAGCAAATATGAACTGGCAGATTGGCAATAAACAATTGTCTTCCGGCTCTTGTCCCGAATCATCGAACCTTACCTTGATCTGGTCATCTGCGATTATAGTGGTTGGTGACGTCGCTCTTGCAGCTGGTGCAACTAACGTTCTCAGATTGGCGCGGAGACACGAGGAGCCGAGGAAATGGACTTGCACTACAGTAGTTGGATGGGTTCGGCATCGCTGTCCTCAAGTCGAAGACGGGCCAGGAAAGCGGGGAAGGGTCTCTGTCTCTCCCTTGGATTCCGAACCACAGGCCCTGGGCCAACCGCACCGATCACGCAGCCCAAAAAAAAAACCCAAAAAGGGGGGGGGGGCAAAGCAGTTGCGCGAGGCCGCGCCCGGGGCCGTGCCTCCTGGACTTGCCGGCTGAAGTCCTTCTTCAGCTCCGCCAACAAAGGCCTCAGGGCCTGCAGAGCAGAGAGCAGCGGCGCAACCACCTCTCTTCAAAGAGGCGAATCCAAAGGCGGGAAGACGGGCGGGCGGCGGCGGGGGCCTCCGCCAGTGCAGCTGGTGATGGCGAGGGTGCTGAGAGTGCCTCTGGCAAAGACCGCTCCCTATTGCAACATTTCCCGCGGAATTCTTGCTGCACCGCACTGCAACGGTGGCACCTGTGGAATGCTGCGCGTCGGAGTTGTCTTTGCCTCCTGATACAAGAACGCTGCAAAGCAACTGCCAGAAGCCCTTGAACCCGCCCCGGCAAACCCGGTAAACTTGCAGCTCCGAGACAAGTAGCAAACACTTCGCAGTTGACCCAGTAGCCATTCTAATAGGCTGTGCCAAATACCATTTCTAGCCTCCGCGCCCTTCCACCACGGGCTTGGAGCCTCGGCAGAGGATTCTGGGGAAGAGATGTTGGCGTGCGCACTTCTGTGTGCACTGCCGCGGCGGCATCTTCTCCGGGACTGGCGATGCTATATCGGGACACCTCTGGCACAAGACAGCGGAGTGACGCCAAAAAGAGCGGTATCGTGGCCCGCTGGTGGCCATCTTGGGCCCCTGGCCTGCTGGGAGCTTCTTCGGCTCTCGATGGGTGTCTCCTCGAGAAAAAAGCGCTGCCCAAGTCCAAAGTTACTCAAGTTTTCGGAAAGTGCAGACGTGCGCGCGCTCGTGCGCTGCGGCCCATGCCCGCACCTCTTTCGAGACGCTGCCGCTGGAGTTCCTGGCAAAAGGCATTCAGGCATTGGGGGTGTGCTCAGGCTGCCCACTCTGAGGCCCAGGCCTGGAGCCGATGCCGGTGTTGGGCAACGGAGGAACGACCCCCTTGGCTTCCTTGTGCAGAGGTCAGGAAGTCTTCGGCATCCGAAAGAATGGAAGTCTTCGTAACGGATCAGCCCCTCAGCAGTAGGATGCTATGCACCGTTGGCCTCTAGCTTTTTCAATCCGCCCCGAGCATCGACAAAGACATCTCACCAGCAACGAGCGTAGCACGTGAGCCTGCTCTACTTGTAGGCCCACAAACGATCTCGCACACTCTTGTTTCCAGAACCTCTACATGTTTTCCGACGCACGCAGGGCACGGAAGGTGTCTCATCGTCGTACGCCGTACGATATACCGATGCCAACGCAATGCGCACTCGACATGACCCGACATCCCCACATACGCCCACGCAGCAGGCGCTGAGCAGGCCGGGCCGCGGAATCGTATGGCCATGCCCCTTGGGCTCAGCGAAGGCGGCCGACAGGGAGGGCGAAGCCACGGCGTTTTCAGACCCGGCCCCGAAGGACCTGGAAGCCTTAGAGACCCCAGCGCCAAGACTCGCGGCCCAAGAACCCCGGCCAGCCCGGCCCTCATGCGAGCATGGGTTTTGTTGGACGGCAGTGTTGACGTCGCTGTCGTCGAGAGGCGAGAAGGAAAGTTATAGCAGAACTCAACACAAGAGAGAGACAGAGAGAGAGCCTTGGTTTCGGTTTGTTGCTGGTCTGATTTGGGGGATACCCCAGAAGTAGAAGGCGTGAAACCGTACGTGCAGAAGGAGACCATGCAACGCGGGCTTAGGCCCGTCAGGGCCTTGCCGTGTCTGATGGCGACAGTTTGTTTGAGCCCTTCATGTCGCGGCGCTTTCTCAACAAGGCGGGCCCTGCACTAATTTCTTCATTCTTCACCGTTGGAACCTTGTCCAGTCCCATGACGGTGGGGGCGAGTTTGGGGATCAAGTTGGCTGTGAGTGCCCCACCCAACCCTAGCTTGATGAAGCAAGACTGCCGAAGCATCTCAGGTACTGAACTCCAGGATTCGACCGATTTGGATTCGACAGAGGAGCCGTGGAGGAGCCATGATTGGCTTGTGCAGCTTGGTCCGATGGTTTCCAACATGTCAGGTGGAGCCACGTTCTGCTGGAGAGAAGTTTGGTCCCAAGTTCAGCTATGCCACTATGCTATGCAGGATGTGGGATGGCTACACCTGTGCCTGGTGAAACGCAGTCCGCTACAGCTCAGTGGCAGTCCACTCTCCCTCCCTCCCTCGCACTCACCCACTCACCAAACACATACATACAAACATAAGCATATAGCTGTAAATACATGGGTATATGTATGCGTATATAACTGTACAGTCTACCTGTATGCATGCATGTATGTAGGATGTATGTAAGGTTTCTGAGGCTCGAGCAACTTGAACAGTTACGCCCGGCGCGGCACTCGATGTCCTGGCAGCATCAAAGCTTTGACGAAGACGGGAGCAAGGCGGAAGTTCGCGGCTTCGCCTCCGGCTGGCCGAGACCTCTGCGGCCGAGACCCTGCAAAGCAGGCGAGCACGTTCGTACGACGTGTACACCCTCTGAGACCAGACCTTTCCACGTCTGGCTTGGCCTGGGCCTGAGCCAAGTTCGGCCGAGCTCGAGCGAAAAGCACTCATGAGAAGGATGTCAAGCTGAAGCAAGTTGCCGACCGTAGCCCGCTTGGAAAGTCTCGCAGCAGGCAGGCGGGAGAATGCATGGCATGGCTGGGCACAGAGGCACGGTCCCACCTGTCCATGAGTGAATCGATGGAGGCGAAGCTTTGGGCAACGTTGTCCTGCAGCTCTCATCCAAGCTTCCTAGAGCCACTGAAGAGGCAGTGCAGTGTCCTCGTGAAGCTCCTCTGCCTCAGCTTCGCTTGGGCAGGGAACCGCGCGACGCAAACGCGACCAGACCACCCTGGCCCTTCCAAGCTTGGGGAAGAGACAGCAGCAGAAGCCCACACCTGGGCCTGGGCCGTTTGAGGATTTCCTGACCAAGGCCGGGAGCTGTCACTGCCAAGAAAACCTCTCTGATCTCGCCTGAGATGGCCGTTGAAGTGATGACCTCGAACGGAAGGACCAAACGAGGCTTCTTGTCGAAGTCGAGAATGCTACTACTACTGGCTACTACGTCGCTGCTGTCCCTGCCTTTGGGCGCAGGGTCGCCCCCAAGCCCTCCGAGTACAAGTCGGGAGCAAAGGCCAAGGCCACCAAGGCTCCTGCAGAGATGCGGCGGAGTTCGCGGCTTTCAGGTGCACCCATGGATCTTTTCGACCTTCCTGCCCGTTGCATAAGCTTTTCGTTGTCACGTCTCGAAATGTTCAGATGGCGTGTGCAAGTCGTGTATCTGAAGCATCCCTTTAGGGTTCCCATCGCTACGTCTCGGAGAATGCCATACTCCGGCATCCCGTTCTTAGTTCCTTGTCGCTTGAATTCGTTGTGCTCTCTGACGGGCTCCTTTGTCCGGGCTCTCGTAACGCTGGACAGGGTCGGCAGGTTGCTTCTTGGACACCTGAGATCCCTGCTTCTTCCCTGCTGCCGATGTCGCTTTGAGGCGACAGCGCGTTCTGTCTGAGCTGTCAGCAAGCATACCTCTGCTAAGCGGCACGTTAGCCCTCTCATGATTGTCGAAGATACATCGGGGAAGCCAAGCTGCGCAGGTCGAAGACCAGGATGGTGCCTTCGCAGGTGCCCGTGGCCAACAAATAGCCGCCTGGCAGATGTCCACTGCCAGGGAAGCACCGCTTGTGCAAGGCTAAGGCAGCCTGAATGGTAAGACAAAGAACTGATGCCAGCTTCGACGGAGACCTGGAGCAAGTCTGACCAAGCCTCAGGCACGTCCTGATCTTACCATGCTGACGAGCATCTTCTTGAATTTGCCGCGAATTCCTCACAACATGCGGACGTGCAGGATTGCTTGCCAATCCCTCAAGTCTGCCAGCAGAGTGCGAGTCAAGCCGCTTCACGTCCCAGAAGACTAATTCGGCATCTTGCCCACCGGAGATGAGAAGGTCGCTGTTCTGCGTCGAAAAAGACAAACCCCGCCTCAGCTCGGACGCGAGAAGAAGTCACAAGGCAGCAAGCAGGCAGCACAGAAGGGAAAGCAAAGGCCCCTCTGCCGGGCCCTCGGCGCAGGTCCTCGGTGCGCGCCGGCGAAGCGGCACACGTGTCGCAGCGCTGTCGCATCCCAGATCTGCAAACTTCCGCTGCTGTCGCTCGCTGCCAGCAGCTCCTTGCTAGCGCAAGCTCGGGGACCACTTCATCCAGTCAGTGGCAAACTAGGGAGGCAGAGGCAACGGAGGGGCCCGGCCCGGTGCCCGGCCCTTTCCGGCGGCCTGTCGCAGCGAGGAGTAGCAGAGGCTCTCGATCGGGGACTCCGTGTCCAGGAGGCCTCAGCTCTCGGCACCGCCGCTCAGCTTTGCGCCGTCACGCTCTCTTAAGTGCGGCCCCGCGGTGCCTGGCAAGGGGGTCGGGCCCTGCGTGCCGTGGAAGGGCTGCAAGACCACGTGGCCACTGGAGCTCCCCGAAGCCAGCTGCCCTCCGTGTGCCGAGATGGCGACGGCCGTCGCAGCGACCCCGTGGCTGTAGCAGCTTCGCACCACCGATGCCGTCCTCCAGAGAAGCGGAAGAAGAGAAGAGAAGAGAAGATGCAACAACTTTGCTTCTGTTCTCCTTCCGTCTAACTTCTTGGCAGAAGCTCTGGGGATTTCTGATTTCTTCGGAGCTGTTCTCACCCGTCCTTTCTGGGCTTGCATCGATGAGCCTTACGGCACCATCCGTGCAGGACACGGCCACCCAAGCCTTCCGCTTTTCCTCCGCGTAGAAGCTCAGGCCGGTGGCTTTTGCCCCTGCCGGGAGGGAGACGTACTCCACCAGCGACTCGTCTCCTCTCCGGACCAGAAAAAACTCGCGGCTATGCTTCTGTGGTTCTGGCATGGTTTTTCTTGCATGCTTTTTTGCTCTTCCCCAAGCTTTCCTAGGGTCTCGCACAAGCAGAGCCGGTCAGCTTGAGGCTCCGAGGTGCTTCCCACGGCCACCACGACGCGCTTCCCGACGGTGTCCCAAGCCAAGCTTTTCGCTTTGCCCTCCAAAGGGAGCTCTGAGTGAAGGATGGGGTAGGTCGGCTCGTCACCGACTTGTGGGCTGCTCGATCCATCGGAGCCATCGCACTCCAGGACCACCAAGGAACCTCAAAGCACAATGCCAGCTCCAGCTCATCTAGCTGACTTAGCCGAGTTAGCTCCGAGAGCACTCTTTAAGCATTCTTCACCAGGCCACGGGAAGCAGATGCCAACATGCGCTCACCAGGCCAGCAGATCAGGACCTAGCCTTGCGGCATGCTGTATACTATGGGACGGGCACACCTCCATCTCCCCAGGCAGAAGCCGCTGACCTACTGACGGAGTCACTGCGTAGCACATCAGCTGGTGACTAGGGTGACGGACGAGGCAATTTTTGCTTGATCTTCAAGTTTTAACGTGGAGCTTGAGAGCAGGACGGAAGGCATTTGCATCAAGCTTTCAAAACCAGTATGGCTCAGTATGGATGAGGTGGTATGCACAGTGCATTGCAAAACCCGACCTGAGTTAGAGCCTTTGTGCTCCAACCATCTCCAGCCTCTTCTGAATCCACGTCGGTCCCATCAACCGTACATGTCCGTTGCACTCTGCAACTGACGAAGCAATGGAGCCAAACCTCCTTGAAGGCAGCATCGCACTCTGTGGTGCTGACGGCTTTCACCGGAGGCGACGGCTGATACATTTGCAGCAATTGCCACTTTGTGCACTTGCGGGGCTCTGCATGCTGAACGGTGGCCTTCCAATATTGCAGCATACCCTGCGCTCTGCTCTGTAGTATGCAGGCACAGACAGTTCAGCATTAGCGGACCTGCCCTCAGAAAGCTTTCTTATGCCTGAGCAGCAGCACTCTGGTTAGCAGCAGTTGGGCAAGTTGGGAAGGCCTAGTCGAGGCCCTGGCAGAATGGAGTAGCCATCTTCTTCGAACTCTTCTTTAGTAACCCACATCCTTCCGAGAGACCGTATCATCTGTACTGTTCTAGAGTGGCACTGAGTTCCGGGCTTCTTGAATGTTGCTAGGGATGCCAGGATTGAACCACCTGAAGTCGAGAATCACCCAATTGCTATGCTATGCAACTACGAGTTCGGAAATATCAAAGCAGGCCTATCCACGTCGAGAGCTTTCGCTCAGGTGGTGCAATAATTCTTATTTTGATGTCCTGGGACATGTAGCTGCGTCCCAACAGTGGATGCAGAGAGGGTGTGCGCAAGGCCACGAATGTAAGACCTGCCATTGAGTCCTTCGGCGCAAGTTTCTTGACCTCGCTTAAGAGCCTCAGAACCCAAGGTTGCTCTCACTTCACAGGTTCATACCCAATAAGCACAGCACCTGTCGCCGAACTTCTCGAACATCGTGGACCCCCCCGATAAGACGATCTGCACACCGGGGCCGCCGACCGAGAACGCAAGAGAAAACCGAACCATGTGTACATGTTTGCATAAGGAGCCGCCTCCTGATTTCCATTGAAGCTTGGGCCGCTCTGGGGTTTTGAGCTGGATTTTGTCTTTTTACCATAGGTTGAGACTTCTGTGAGAGGGAGAGAAGGACCCGGGTACGTCGAGGCCCTGGCGCGGCTTCCGCCCTGAGAGGCGCTCTTCTCTGCAGATTTGTCTTCTTCTCCAGAAGCTTCGTGAACAATTCTGCGTTCAACGGGCCTGGCCCTTCCGGAAGCTGAAAGCAAAGTGATCTCTGCCATCGCATCAAGTACACCACCCTTTTCCGTCGAAAGTGCATGGGGCATTTGGGCAAAGGCCAAAGCACGCTGAAGGAACAATGGATTCGGGGGAGCGCGATTCAGCAGGCACGAGACCGTCAAGGTAATGGATTTACACTGAATTCGGTGTCCGGGGTTGACAGTCCGGGGGTGAGAGGGACCGTGCCGAGAACGCGATTGTCGTCGACAATGTGCACCGCACCGCGGCACGGGCATTCTTGAGCTCAGCAACCTAATCGCCACGTGAGATGCCCCAGAGTGTTGCATGCACCGTCAGGCCCTGCTGTCGGATGCTGACAGTGCCGACGTGCGAAAGGGCTCAGAAGCCATGCGCTGTTGCTGTCAGCAGGCCCTCAGCAATGGCCTGAGTATTTTGTGTAACCCTGACAAGAAAGGAGGCCGGAGGCGGGCACCACGCCTGGGAGAAGAGCGTCATCCGCAAGTCGAGGTCGGCTCTGTTGATGGAGGTGGCGAGCAATTCGTGGATGCCTCCCCGATCGGCAAAGCTTAGCATCCACGCATCAGCTCTTCGACTCCTGGAGCCTGGATATTCCAGGCCAATCAGGTCGGGATGAAACAAGATCTCTGGCGCTCGAAACCTGCACGGTCCCAGCCCTGACTCCGCTGAGCCCCAGCACGAGAGAGAGAGAGAGAGAGAGAGCGAGCGAGCGGGCGCTTGAAGTTGAAGTACCTCTCTGCACCGAGGTTGATCACGGAGCCATCCGGCCTGAGAGGCTCTGAGCGCAAGGTGCAAAGCATTCCGCTCTCGCCCTCGGCCCTCGCTCCCACTGCCGGCCGCTTTGTTGCGGGGGCTCAGGCAGCTTGTATTGGTGCTGCATTGAAGCCTTGTCGTGCTCTCCCTCAGCGGACAGTTGTTGGCACACTGTTCAGCCGAACTCTGTGAAAGAGGCCGAAGCCTGCTCCTCTTTCTGCGGATTCAGTGCTACGTAGCACTCCTGTCTGCGACTCTGCGTTCCAGAGACGGCTCTGGCTTCTCTTCGCACTGTGCCTTCTCCTTGATCTGGCGGACCACTTCCCTTTCCGCTGATGTGTGGAAAACCTAAGCTCAGCATGAAGATTCGTGCAGCTACGCTATGCGAGCGAGCAGTCAGAGGAGAGGTCAGAGGAGCGAGGGCTTACAGCACGCATGCAAGCGCTTTGGCTCAGGAGCGGGCATGCCCAGTGCGGCGCAACTGGAGCAGCAAGTGATCAGTGACCTCGCCAAGCTAAAAGCTGAGTGTGACAGTGATCCATCCTGGGAGAAAGCGTAAGCGTCCTGTGCTTCGCACGTCACGGCCTGCGACATCGGACCTCATCACCTCGAGATCAACTCCGTGTCTTGGTGAGGCGGCTCAGTGGAGCCCGGTCTGGTTTCTGGGGGCCCTGCCGCATGTGGCAGGGCAAATCCTTCATAGACAGGGACGGCATGCGTCACGCCGTCGCCGGAGTCCAGGACCACCTCGCAAAGCGCGCGACGACTTTGTGCATGGCCGAAATGGCCTCATCCCTCATCCCCTAAAACCAATCTAAGTTGCCGACCCCGGTCGTTCTCCCGCTCGCGTACAGAGACAGAATGGCCTCTCTCTCCCCCTCTGCGAGCTGTGAGCTTGCAATCCTTTTCTTTGCTTCAGGGCCCTTTAGGCTGCTGAGATTTTCAGCAGACGAGGCATTGCATCTTCTGTTAGATCTTCGGTGCGTGATAGTACCGGTCGCTCATTTGTTGACTGCCTACACGAGGATGTCCACAGCTGAGCGTCCGTATACAGCACGTGGCACATGCATGGCCGTGATGCTCGAGGTATGCATGTGGCACGAGCTTGGGCTTGGGAAGGCAAGGCCACGTGGCCACGTGCCTGTGCAGAGACGAAGAGCGCTGGACAACCGAAGGTCTCGAAAAAGATCTCCGCTGCCTTGGTCAAGGCGTGGTGACTCCATCTACGCTCTAAGCCTCCAAGCTCAAGCTACCACCGGTGACTATTCTGACTCTTCCGCTCGGGCATGTCATGGCAGCACCCGAAGGAAATCTGAGTAACCAATGTAAGAGCTTCAACCATTATATCTTGGTGACCGACTTTCTCACGGTTCTTCCGCGGATTGAGCGGGGCCTGTTCCGTGTTTCCGGTATGGTGTGCTTTTCGGTATGAGCTGCAGGTGGAACGCCAACTGCAGAGATGCACGAACAGGGTCGAACGAACTGCTCCAATTATTGCTCCTGGCGATAGGCTGATTTCTACAGGTTCAGATGCGACATCGTGTTTAGTGTCGACATGTCAACTGTCCGACATGTAAAATGTTATCGTGCGCTATGTTGTAGTTCGGCACAGGCTTTCCTGCAATTGAAGGCGGCAGGCGCATGTGCCGTGCCAAGTCACAAGCGTTCATGCCTGTGCAAGCATGCACAAACCACTGGTAGTTCCAGCATTTTCCATTTTGCACAACATAATGCAGGAGGAAGTTTAAGGTTTCTGAAACCAGACGGACTGTCAAAAGCGTTCATGCCTTGTGCGAGCATGGCCCGAACTCTTTTATTCACAGCGTGTTGTTGCCTCTTTGCCTTCTTGCACGACAGAATGCACTGTGACATGCTGATGGTGATGATGGTGATGATGGTGATGAAGATGATGATTAATACGAACATGATAACGGCAACTAGCACGTGTGCTCCACATCTGGTGTGTAATCTTTTGTTGAGATGCACGAGCAGCTGCCTGCAAGTTGGTGCTTGTCTGTTAGTGACACGTCAAGCCAACCTCGGTGAGGAGAACTGGATGTTCTTCAGCATTCACCTGGTGCCACGAGTTTGCAACCAGAGCCAGCGGGCTGTCACTGAGTTCCAAGCTTTCATCTCGGAGTAAACATGGCGCCAAATGAGCTCCATGTCATCCCAGTGCTGCACCTGAGTAAGGGAGTAGTAGACTTGTAGCTCTCCCTCAATGGAATGGCTGTCGAACCCTAGGATCTAGGACTTCATCTTTGAACGGCTCAGCATGCTGTGCTAGATCTGATCACCAAAACAGTCTCGGCCATAACAGATCACAACGGTCTGCCAGGAGCAGTCACTCGGACCCTGAAATGAAGGATCACCTGGCGCAGCCAAGTCTTTCAACCTGCCAAGAGATCCGTAGACCCGAGCAGCGCTCCAAAAAGAGCTACAGGGGGCGACGGTGTCACGGGATCTTCGGGGCCCTGTGCAGCACTCTGGCAAAGGTGTAACAGCGGAAAGGCATCTCCCGATTACACGACCTCTCGAGCTTGGCCATAAAGACGTGGAAGCAGGAACTCGCTTATATACACGCTATCCAAGAACACAAGCACAGCTGAGATCAGCACGATGCCATGCTCCATGGGATACTTGAGAGACAGAATGCCACGAAATTTTTCCGCACGCTCGCCTGCAGGTGTGGACTGGCTATGCCGGTGGGCATGAAGTTTCTTAATGATCTGTGCGCTTTGCCCTCCCTGTCTCGGGTCGATGCCAACAAATATGTCTCCGTTATCACCCTCCGCAGCACCAGCCATCACTCGCTGATGCTTCGGCCTGGCGGCAGCAACGAGCAAGCATTGCACGGACTTACGCTTGCTGGCACGTTGCCACATGTTGCCACCTGCCGACAAAGGAGGGATGTAGCAGCTTGACCTTGTCTTGGCAAGGGACGTTCGGCTGTCGGCACTGTCATGCAGCTTGAGGAAATCAGTAGCCAAGGTCGTTTGCCGACAAGTTGCGGAGTCATCCCCGGCAAACCCCGCCTGTGCGTAGTTCATGGTGACAACCAAATTTCCAGACGTTCCCATGCACCTTGATGACCCCAGAGCCATTGTCCTGGCACCGTCTGGGGACACACACGGGAAGAGCCAACCAGGAACAGGCAAGGGCCACGATCACCACGGGCTGGTTGGCAATGACCTTGGCGCACTTTGCTTGCAGGCTCGCAGCACTGCCGCATTGTGCCGCAGTCTGAGAGTCTGAGAGGCGAGCTTCCTCATACTCGTGACGGTCCATGGAAACCGGTGCGGAACTTAGTCGAACGCTTGACTCCCGTCGTGAGCTTTCGGGTTGATCGGGTTTCTGGTGATGTGTACCGCAGTCTGCTTGCCGCGGTTGTGTGCCAACGGTTGTGCCTGAATTCTTGACTTGAGCCTGATAGCTTCGAAGGCACCTAGCTAAGCCTAGCGATCCCAGACTGAAGGACTTCACAACACATCATATTACGTCACTGCAAGCTGTTTTTGTGACTGTCGCCCAAGAAGCGTTGTCGAGCTAATTGCGAGTTGCAACTACTTGCGACTCGCCGTTGGATCTATGCATGACCTCTGGCTTGTTCCCCAAGACTCTTCTGTACAGTTGAGCCATCGCGGGGTGGGCAGGAGTCGGAAGACTTGTGTCCCCCTGTGGCCTACTGTTCTCCCAGATGCCGAAAGAGATGGAAACTTCTGCCATCTTCAAAAGGCAAGACGTGCCTGTGACACTGACCTGCCAGCTGCCAGCCTGCCCATTTCCGTCTACGCAAGGTCCAGCAGGTCCACCACCGGATCGCTGTTCCCCAGATCCGCCGGTTTCACCTCGGGCTGTCTCTGCTACCTGTAGCGGTAGCGCTCCCAGTCCCACGCAACAGAAGCAGCTGGGGCCACGTCAGCATCGCCTGTTCCGCAACTACGGCAGTCTGGCGCAGGAGATGCGGAGAAGAGCAGAAGAGCAGCCGAACCAACCGAACTAACCGCTTTTCGTCCAGCCAAGTGCAGCGAAACTTTCATGTAGCAACCTGCTCAACCAAGGCTTCTCCGGCCTTCGAGCACCACGAGATCCCCGCAGGACTCTGTAGAAACCTCAGGGGCGAGCCAAAGCTGAAGCTTCTTCCCTTCCCTTCTCCCCCGCCTGCCCTGTGCTTTGGCCCGTGTAATCTCTCTCTCTCTCTCTTCTCTCTTCCTCTCTCCGAGTCACCGTGGATGCCGCATGCTGCAGGCCATGTGGCGAGAACCTGAGCAGGAAACGCCTTGCAAGCCCCTGAAGTCGACCGTTCTTTGTAAGGTCCGGTCTCACCATCACTGGTTTCGTCGTCGGTATCGGCGGTGTGCCCGATCAACTGCAGTCGCGTCAACAGCACGGTGGCACCCCAGCACGCCACATGCACACCACTCTCCGGGACCGCGACGGCGACGCCATTGATCGCTTGCCCTTGCCTCCCCGCTCCGCTTCTGGGGGGGATGCGCTTTTGCTTTTGGGCAAAGCCTTCAGATCCTTCGGCTCTCTCGGCCTTCGCGGCTTCGGCTCCGCGAAGACGTCGGCGTTGGAGAAGCCTCGCAGCTCCTCCGCGGGCGTGAGCTCTGCACCTCTGGCGACCGCATGCGACAGGCGTTCCACGGGTGGTCATCGCTGTTTTAGGCATTGATTGCACTCCGCACTTCCAGTCCCAGCTCCCAGCTCGAGGCCAATTTCTCAAGCAGGGCTTCCCGCAAGTGGGAGGCCTGGTCAAGGCTGCGAACGCTGCGCGCGGGGGGCGCGGGCTCAGATGCGATCAAACGGCATCCGCTGCACGACTGTCACGGTAGTTCGAAGCATTAGCCAATACATCAGCATGTTTCCCTCCTGAAAAGGTGCAAAGGAGAGCTCCCCCCCCTGCCCTACAAGTGGAAGCTGACACTGGGGCTTTTTCTTCAAGTACAGATCGAGTCGCGTTCCCTCGAAGAGACGTTCGTCGTCCTCTACGGCCGCAAGACGTTTCTGCGGCGGAGTGTGCTCGAATGCGCCTTTTTGCGTGGGGCTTGCCTCGCTTGGGCTTTCTCTTTGTCTCCTTCGTCCAAGCTCTTTTAGACCCGAGCGTTTCTGAGGGTTTCTGTGCGGCTTCCCTCTTGGAACTCGGAACTCGAGGGCTTCTCCTTGTCCTTGTCCTGGCTTGGGTGGATTGGGGGGGCTCTGAACATGCGTTCAAGTGCTATCTGATCTCGCTCTTCTTCGCTGATCAGCCTGTGTAGCGACGGGGTGGGCCAGCGAGAACAGCCCGATGGGATCAAAGCCTCTCGAAGCCTCATGGTAAGAAGTCGCATAGCTGGATTGACTGTCGGATTTCCGGTTGGAGCTGTGGTTACTCCGGTGGCTGCACTATCCCGCTCCTCGAGCGACGAGTAAAAGGCAACACGCTTCATGACACCGTAGCCGTCGTAGCAGTCGTAGCACGGCTAGGACGGTGAACCGAACAGCCGCATCAGCTGCGCGGCGGACGGCGGCCTTCTGGCGAATGAGCTTCTGTACGCGTGGGTCCTCGCCGTACCTCCGGGACTCTGACGAAGCAGCAAAACGGAGCGAACGGCGCAAAACGGCTCCGCTTCGGCTCAGAACGGCAGCGCACTCGAAGCGCTCCAGGAGGCTCAGACCTCGGCAGCGGCATTGCAGCGAAGCGGGGATCCCTCAGTCGTTTTTTGGGCCCCGCATTGGGCTGGGCCCCGGGCGTTGCAGTGGGTCGAAGTGGAAGCCGTGAGCCATCTCCTCCTGACATCGCTAGCTTGAGTGTGGGCTCTGCAGCTCTCACGCCAAGCACTGGCTGGGAGCCGTGCAAAAAGCCGCTGGCATCCACGCTGCAGTAATTCCGAAAGCAACCACATTCCTGATCTTCCGGTCTCTTCCGATCTCTTCCGATCTTCCGCGTCGCTCCGTGCACTCGCAAGCTCCAATGGGTCTCCCTAAACCCTTCTTCCGCTCTTTGGGCATGGCGTCTCCCCTCCATGAGCACCCTTGCACTCTCGCCACTGTGTCTCCCAGACCTTTGTAATCGCCGCCGCACTGAGGAGTCCCGTGGTGCCGCTGCCGTCCCGCCAGGACAATTGAACATGTGGCTGAATCGCGCCCTCTTCACTGCTGCACTGCCCTTGGCCCGGACTACCGCAACCCCATCCCTACCCCTCCTTGCTTCCTTCCTTCCGTGGAGTCTGCGGCACGTCTGTCTCTCTGTCTCTCTCTTCTACTTTGTTCTTTATGAGCTTGTTCGTTCTCTCTCGCTCTCTTGTGGCCTGAGAGGATTGGGCGCCAGCGCGTGTCTGCCAAGCAGGCCTGCACATGACCCTGTCTTGGAATGCTCAGATTTGTGATCTCTCCGAGTGCCTGCAAGTAGAGAACGATTCGCTTTCGCTCCTCTGCGTATTCTGATGCCTTCACGTGGCGATTGGAAGGGGAGCCGGGCCAGGTCAGGTTGCACTGGTTGCACGCTTTTTATCGCTGTGTGCCTGCATTACCCTGGCGAGGACCTCCTTCGGTGGGGACTCCATGTAGCCTCAGCTTCCAAGACCAGGCGCGGCTGTGAGGACAAGCGCTCCGGGGCGCAGGCTTTCCGACATCTGCCGGAGGTCAGCCTTGCCCGCATTGCCGCGTCTCGCGAAGGCCGCGTGCGGCCGTGCGGTGCAAGGCTTCCAAGGCCTCCAAGCTGCCCTCTCCACGCAACCGACGGAACGCCTGCAGGCGCTGTTACTGCCAGGGCCAATTAAGGCAATCGCGCTTCTTTCCTATGCAAAGGCGAATCACAAACCAAGAAAGGGTCTCGGATGGCCGATGGCCTGCATCATCATGGCTGGTGCAGGTCAATCTAACACTTGCAGGCTACCCGCGGCTACCCTTCTGCGACAGGTGTCAGTAACCTTCGGCATGTCCTTTGTGAAGCTCACGAGTGGCATGGTGTCATTCGTCTTGTGCGTGAAATGCCCTAACTTAAGCCTTCCCTCTGCAGAATTGACATGCTTCAAACGACCCCTGCCACTGCCACCCTGTGCATAGCACAGTCTCTTGCACAGGCTTGTCCCTTTTTCAAAGGCTTGCCCCCTTTCGTCCCAGGCCAAAGTGGGAAGATGGACTCATGGGACTTCGAAAGACCTGGCCTCGGAATTGCCTGCTGGACCATGATTTAGTCTAAGTCCGATCCGTGTTGCGTACATTGCTGCGGCTCTAGATGGCCTCCGCACAGGCTTGTAGCAGCTTGTGCAAGCATGCACACCCGAAGTAAAGTAGCTGCGCTGTTACTGTACACATGCAGCTCGGCTACAAATCCCCTGCCAAGAAACTTGAAATTCGGGTGGATGTCTTGACAGCAACCTCTCACTTCAAGAGCTCGAGTGCAAACAGCAACACTGAAGTGAACGCTTAGTAGCACACGGGTTCTTTGATCTAGCTTTCCAAGCAGCTGATGAAGCAGAGAGGACACCTCGGGGGGGGCTAAACTACGCTTGAAAATTCTCTGCTTCAGGTGCTGCCCTTGTGGCGTGCTCCTGACAGGCAACATCTTGGCGGGGCAGTGCAGCATCATCACCATGTCACTGCCAGCACAGGATCGCTGGCGCACAAACACGGAACGGTAAGCCAGTCCTGCTGCAAGCTTGCGAGCTGCTCTTGCAAAGCCTTGTTGCATGCCTGCAAGAAGGCTTTGGCTTCAAGCTGCAAGTTTTTATGATACGAGACCATTTGCGGTTCAAACCTCACCAAAACCAAAGAAATCGTAGCTTCTTCGGTGTGCCAGAGGAGAACCGCCCCTGGAACATCTGCTGCGTGTGACGCCGTCTCCGTGCAATGGTTTCAGACAGCAAGCCAGCCAGACTGTCAGATTGGATGCTTTAAGGTTGATCAGATTGCAGCAAAACCAACTCTGCATTCCGAAGTCGCAGTTCCTAGACTGCAAAGTTGCCAAGGAGTTTTGGCTTGACCTCTTATCAAGTCAATCGTTTTGATATGAAGTCACAAACGAGCAAGAACTAAATGCCCCCTGCTGAGAAGGGATATTGCATGATTCTGCTGTTGTGCCGGGAGCGTCTGCACACCCATGTTCGTTCGCTCTGCTCCAAACGTCTCTGATGTTCATCCAACAACAGTGTCCGACAACATCATCGACTTTGCAAACGAATTCCTAAGTCGTTCCTGTTCTTGGAAGTGACTGGGCAATCCGCCGAGCACTCGGAACAACAACCGTTATCGTTACCAGCACCCTCGCATTTGCCATTTATTGCATCTGCAGGTGCCCGTGGCGGCATTTTGTGCATTAGGCACCATCTGGGGTACGCTAAGCTCTCCCACGCAAAGATTAATCGCATGATGATTGGGCACCAAGCACAAGCCAGCCATAACACGGCGCCTGTTTGGAGAGAAGAGCTGCCGGGCTGATCAACAACGGAATTCACGGTGTTTGTATTGGGAGGGTCAGCTGAAGGCACATATGTTTACTATGCACATGCGGGAAATCACACAAACAGCCACATTCGATCTATCAAAATGTGGCCTTCCAGTAGAAAAGTTCGGAAGCATGGAACACCGAGGATGTCCTCAACAGCCCGTGTAAGCGAGAGGGGATCATCGCGGAGTAATGAGTCGCGTAGAAGAGTTTGTTGTTCAATGACTGAGCCACTGTGGCGGGGCCATTATCAGCATGTCGGCTGGCTGCTGGCCGCGTGGGCGGATGACACGGTTCTCCGCCACCGTGCTTCTCTGTGGCAGCCGAGGTAAGCTTGTTGCGTAGTCTGGGTACCGACCCTGCGGTCGTCCGTTGCCATTGACTGTAACACCTGGGAAAGCCCACCCACTAAGTGAGTGGGCTCGCTTTGCCGGGACTTGGAATCAATGACGACGGCGCTGAAAGAGAATGTAAGGGTTCCAGTTAAGGGGGTGAGGGATCAAAAAAAATCAAACAAGGATCAAAAAACAATTAAATTGCAGGATCAAAAAACACATGAAAATGAGGATCAAAAAAACTTAAATCATTCAAAACACAGCAATTCCTGCGGCAGAAGCATCAACAAAAACAATTAAATAACAAGCATCAAAAAGAAGAAAGTATTTTAAATACAGCAATTCCTGAGTTTTTCCGATGGAAAACACGATTTTCCTGCGGATTCTCCTTCATTTCCTTCGGATTTGCTTGGTTTTTCCTCGGGAAAACACGAGTTTCCTACGGATTCCGTGTTATTTCCTTAAGTTTCCTAGGTTTTTCCTAGGAAAAACACTCTTTTCCTATCACCTATGGCAAAGGAAAGCATGTGTTACCTTGGTTATTCCTGGGGAAAATCAAATTTTCCTTACATTGTAATAAAAGTAGTAGAAGTAGTAGTAGTGGTAGTAGTAGCAGTAGCAGTAGCAGTAGCAGTAGCAGTAGCAGTAGCAGTAGCAGTAGCAGTAGCAGTAGCAGTAGCAGGAGTAGTAGTAGTAGTAGTAGTAGTAGTAGTAGTAGTAGTAGTAGTAGTAGTAACAGTAGTAGTGGTCCCTCATGTCTAGAACACGCCTTCTCATTTGGCGTTTCCTGTTCATAATATATCTTAAACACGCTCCTTCATTTGGCGATTCCGCTTCCTCATATATCTTAAACACGCCCCCTCGTTTGGCGATTCCGGCTCATCCTATATCTTAAACACGCCCCCTCATTTGGCGATTCTGGTTCAGCATGTATCTACAACGGCGGAGCCCCCCCATTTGCAAACACACATATGCTTCAAAGCAACCCTGCGCGGCTTAAAACAGCGCGGGTGTTGGGGGGGCGCAGCCCCCCCATTTGCAGACACAACGCCCGCATGATGGGCTTCGAAAACACTCCTTGAATCAAGCTTGCACGGCTCGAAAAGCGCGGCGGTGAGTCTTTCGCTCTTCCGTGCTTGTTCGTGTCTCTTCTTCCGTTAGCACTCTAACAAAGCGTAACATAGTCAACCATAAGAACGAAATAAGATGGTTCGACATCACACAAATAGCGTGACATTTTCTGACATAACATAACATTGCTTCTTATAGCATATAGCAACATATTAAAAAGACAACAATACAATATAAAAGAATATACCTAGAACAGAACAACATCTTAGTTTATAGTGTAGTACATTGTAACATAGTACAATAGAGTGTGTATATATGCAGCATAATATTCTGTATATTAGATATAATTAGGTTACATTATGTTATACTACGTTATGGTATATTACTATACATATTACGGTATATTCGACTCGACTATGTAGTATCCTATTGGTTGCATCTTTCTTTCTGGCGATTATTTCATGTTCTTTCTCTTTCGTCCTTTCAAATTTTGCTTGTTTCTTCTGGATTTCTTTGCGTACTTCGCTCGTGCATTCCTCTTTTTTCTTTCTGTGCTCCTTTCTTTATTCATCTCATACTCCCCTCCTTCCTTCCTTACTTTCTTTCTTGTTGATGTCTTTCGTTCTTTCTTTCCTTCGTTCTTTCGTTCGTTATTGCTTTCGTTCTTTCTTTCTTTTTTTTTCTTTCGTTCGTTCGTTCTCTCTTTCGTTCTTTCTTTCTTTCAGTCTTCCTTTCTTTCTTTCGTTCTTTCTTTCTTTCGTTCTTTCTTTCTCTCTCTCTCTCTCTCTCACTCTCTGCCGGGCGTAGGGGCGGATCAGCGCCCCCGGGCTCTCTCTCTTGCTTGCTTGCTTGCGGGGCGGCTCTGCTTCCTTCCTGCCTTCCTGCCCTTTCTGTTGCTTGTGTTCTTCCTTCCTTCCTGCCGGTGCTTTAATTTTTGTTGATCCTTTTTCAATTTTTTAAACCCCTAACCGTCCTAACCCGTTCCAGTTTGTGCCAGAATTGCATGATCTCATCTCATCTGGTTATTGTTTCGAAACCTCGCCTTGCGGTTCTGACGCAAGTGCATTGGGTTGCTCAAACCCAATATCAGCCGTCGCATAGCCGTCGCAGCAGGACGCTCTCTTGCTGCTCTTTCATCCAATTGCAAATCAGCCTATCCCATGGAAAATTCTGCCAACATGCTCTCTCTCTCTCTCTCTCTCGCTCTATCTTTTTTCTCCTTCCTTCCTTCCGTTGGGGCGGAGTTCGATGTTTCTTTCTCTCGTCTTCGGTCTCTCTCTCTTGCTCGCAGACGGCCAGGGGAAGCGCACGCACCCCCCGTGCGCAGGCGCGCACCGATCGTCCAGGTCTGCCCGTTGCTCGCTCTCCGATGAGGCACGGCCTGCTCCCACTCTCTCTCTCTCTCTCTTCTTCAGCCCTTCTCTCTCTCTCTTTGCTTTGCTCGGGGTTTGAGACGGGAGCAGTCCCCCCTCTCTCTCTCTCTCTCTCTCTCTCTCTCTCTCCCTCCCTCTCAGACACACACTGACACTTTGCTTGGGCATCTTCCTTTGCACAAGAAGCCTTGAAGGAGCATAGCTTCCCTTGAAATCCCGGCCTCGAGCTCTGCGATTCTGCTCTGTGAGCTCGCCACCGCATCCTCCTTCGCTGACATGGAGCCGGGACCCTGTGGTGCTGTCCCGCCCTGCATGGTGCTGGCAGCTTCAGCAGCTTCCTCCGCTGTGGGCTCCCCCGGTTCCCGATCAGCGGGAGCGGGCGCCGCGGGAGGCTCGGACGGGGAGCCCACGCCCGCGGCCAGGGCCCCTGCAAAACTCGCGCTCTTTTCCCTCCTTTCCTCTCTCCTCTCTCTTCACTGGGGGTGGCTGAGCGGCTGACCGCTCACGTTGACGGACAGCCTCGAAAGCGTCTCTTGAGAGGTGAGCGCCGAACTTCCGGAAAGAAGGGCCGGCGCGAAGAGGAAGCAGAAGCCGCAGCCGGCGGTCCTGCAAAGGGAAGGATCGCTGGGGTGCAGGTGCCTGTCGAGGTCGCCAGACTTGGGGAAGACTTCTGCCAGCTTGCAGAAAGCCAATCTCAATACTCCCACATGCCAAAGCTCAGACTTTGCGTCGAGCTCTGCAGATCGAAGCTGATGGCCCCCCCCAAACGCAGCCACCTGAAGCCTCCAGGGCTTGGCCAGACTGCCCAGCCTGGCTGCAAAAGTGCACACCCGCCACAACGGAGGCCCCGCTTCTGCGACTCAGCCTCTATCGAGGCCACATCGATTTCTGGCAGCTGGGAGTCAAAGTCCGGAACCTGAGCGGAGTCTGATAGCAGTGCTAGCACCCTGAACATGCAAAAGCGCAACATGACAAAGACACACCCGCCTCAACAGTCGCCAGCGGTGCCAGGGTTCCTCAGTTAGGGGAACTTAAGCGGACTTAGGGCATGGAGTTACACGCGGGATACGAGGCCCCGCCTAGCCCCTGAACGAAATCCGTGGGCAGGTAGCAGCTGTATCCTGGGTGTGCTCAAGGCTTTTGCTTTTCAATTGTTCACAGATGCTCGGTCGGCATCGAATGCAGGCCCCAAGGAAGTCAGGCCCACACGTTGCAAGAAGGCACGCCGCCTGCCAAAGCCAGCTTATGGGGGGCACTTCTTTTGTGAATGTCGGGGTGTGCGCGTGTGCCTGTGTGTGTACGTGCCCGTTCCCGTGCTTGCATGCGTTTTTGCTGGCAGTGCAGGACTGTTTCTAAACTTCTCGCCAAAGCCTCTAATTTTGCAGGGCTGGACGGTTAAATTCTGATGCTGAGGGCATCGTCTTGTCCCCAGTACTTTCATCGCAGATTCATACTCGTACTGCTCTGTACCAGCTGTATTCTGTGGACCTCCATGTCGGCGAAGCCCCAACACGAGGTCAATACCAGGCACTGGAACAATTTGTCATTTTCATCCTAAGATCGTCTATTTTGCTGATGACGATGATCCTGCGTGTGAGGCCTCTGGGTCTTTGCCAGGACATGTACCTCTACAAACATTCACGACGCTCCTGCTTTGGGGTATCCGTACCGGAGACATGTGTTGGGAAGATGCACAGACGGTGCAGCTCTGTCGGGGCAGATGCCTGTCCTCCAGCTTTCGTTAGCAGAGTTTTGATGCTGTCACGTGGACAGTGAAAGCGAAAGTATGTATCCATGTAGGTAGGTAGGTAGGTAGGTAGGTGCTCGCATGTTTGTTTGCTCGCTCGCTCGCTCTACATTTGTTTGTGTGTTTGCTTGCTTATCGCTGGTTTAAGTGGCCAATTATTGTGCTCGTCTGCTTGCTTGCATTCTTGGATGTTTGGACGCTGGCGTTGGTGCATGGGTGAATGTCTGTGTGTGTGTGTGTGTCTGTGTGTCTGTGTCTGTGTGTGTGTGTCTGTGTGTCTGTGTGTCTGTGTGTCTGTGTGTCTGTGTGTCTGTGTGTGTCTGTGTGTGTCTGTGTGTGTGTGTCTGTGTGTGTGTGTCTGTGTGTGTGTCTGTGTGTGTGTCTGTGTGTGTGTCTCTGTGTGTGTGTGTGTCTGTGTGTGTGTCTGTGTGTGTGTCTGTGTGGGTGTCTGTGTGGGTGTCTGTGTGTGTGTCTGTGTGTGTCTGTGTGTGTGTGTGTGTGTCTGTGTGTGTCTGTGTGTGTCTGTGTGTGTGTCTGTGTGTGTGTGTGTGTGTGTCTGTGTGTGTGTGTGTGTGGTGTGTGTGTGTGTGTGTTCTGTGTGTGTGTGTGTGTCTGTGTGTGTGTGTGTGGTGTTGTGTGGTGTGTGTGTGTGTGTGTGTGTGTGTGTGTGTGTGTGTGGTCTGTGTGTGTGTGTGTGTTCTGTGTGTGTGTCCTGTGTGTGTGTGTGTTGTGTGTGTGTGGTGGATGCATGTGTGTGGTCTGTGTGTGTAGTGTGTGTGTCTGTGTGCTGTGTAGTATTGTGTGTGGGGGGTCGGGTGTCTGTGGGTCTGTGGTATGGGTGTGTCTGGTGTCTGTGTGTGTGTGTGTGTGTGTGTCTGTGTGTGTGTCTGTGTGTGGTCTGTGTGTCTTGTGGTGTGTGTGTCTGTGTGTGTCTGTGTGTGTGTTCTGTGTGTGTGTGTGGTGTCTGTGGTCCTCTGTGTGTCTGTGTGTGAGTGTGTGGTGTCTTGTGTGTGTGTGTGTGCCTGTGTGTCTGTGTGTGTGGTGTTGTGAGTGTGTCTGTGTGTGTGTGTGTGTGTCTGTGTGTGTGTGTGTGTGTCTGTGTGTGGGTCTGTGTGGTGTGTGTGTGTGTGTGTGTGGTTCTGTGTTGTGTGTTGTGTTGTCTGTGTTGTGTGTGTGTGTCTTGTGTGTGTGTGTTGTTGTGTGTGTGTGGTGTGTTGTGTGTGTTGTGTGTGTGTGTGTGTGTGTGTCTGTGTGTGTGTGTCTGTGTGTGTGTGTGTGTCTGTGTGTGTCTGTGTGTGTGTGTGTGTGTGTCTGTGTGTGTGTGTGTGTGTGTGTGTGTGTGTGTGTGTGTGTGTGTGTGTGTGTGTGTGTGGTGTGTGTGTGTGTGTCTGTGTGTGTGTCTGTGTGTGTGTGTGTTGTGTGTGTGTGTGTGTGTGTGTGTCTGTGTGTGTGTGTCTGTGTGTGTGTGTGTGTGTGTGTGTGTGTGTGTGTGTGTGTGTGTGTCTGTGTGTGTGTGTGTTTGTGTCTGTGTCTCTGTGTCTCTGTCTCTGTGTCTCTGTGTCTGTGTCTCTATGTCTCTGTGTCTGTGTCTCTGTGTCTGTGTGTCTGTGTCTCTGTGTGTCTGTGTCTCTGTGTCTCTGTGTCTCTGTGTCTCTGTGTCTCTGTGTCTCTGTGTCTCTGTGTGTCTGTGTCTCTGTGTGTATGTGTGTCTGTGTCTCTGTGTGTCTGTGTCTCTGTGTGTCTGTGTCTCTGTGTGTCTGTGTCTCTGTGTCTTTGTGTGTCTGTGTGTCTGTGTCTCTGTGTGTCTGTGTGTCTGTGTCTCTGTGTCTCTGTGTCTGTGTCTCTGTGTGTCTGAGTGTCTGTGTGTCTGTGTGTCTGAGTGTCTGTGTGTCTCTGTGTGTCTGTGTGTGTCTGTGTGTCTCTGTGTGTCTGTGTGTGCGTGTTTGGGTTTGCTTTTGTTTGTGTTTGGCTGTCTGGTTGTTTCTGTCTCTGTGCCTATCAACGAGTCGGTGTCGGCACGTGTGCAGAAAGCGTTTTCAGCTCTGCAAACGCATCCAGCCCGGCAGCCCGGCAGCCCGGCAGACCTGCTGTTCTCCACTTCCACCATCCTGCACAACACACGCAAACACACGCCGAGCTTGAGATAGCTTTGTGTAGGCGCTGCGCCGGTCCTTGAAAGTGTGGTGAGGGCTTTTTCGCACTGGGCAAGGTAGCCTCGGTAGCTCTGCATGGACCTTGAGATCAATGTGCCAGCCGTGCTGGGCCCGCTGGGCGCCCTGCGAGCTCGAAACTGCCGTCTCAGCGCCACTTCCCGGAGCGTGCTGTTGTACGCCTGAGAGGAATGTGGATAGTTCTGAAATCTTGCACTGTTTCACCAGGCGTGGAAGCCAAGACCCATGCCCGTGGCATTTTTTGCAATCGATTCAGCTGCTGAGAGTTGTTGGACTGTGCCTGAGGCAGCTAGGATCAGCTTTGAGGAGCGGTCGCTCTGAACTCGCATGCCGCAGCGAATTGCCAGCCGAACTTCTAAGTTGAGCAAGCGGGACTACATTCGGGTGGGTAGGCTTCGGAAGGCGAAAAATTTGGATGGGATGCCGAATGCTGATAAGGGCTAAGGGATTGCTAAGCAGCAGAACTTGCGCAGATGTGTACACCGGTGCATCCGCAATCGGGGGTTGGCTTCGACGCTAGCATGTGGCACGCCCTCAGTCCAGGCCGCGTGCATTGACTTCCTCCTCCAACAGCGCGGCCTGCCTCTCGACGTACCGTACCTTCCCACGGGTACAGGAACCCAGAACTTCTGATGAGACGACTTGACCTTGTTCTGAATAGACTCAAGGGAATCGGAAAGGCTGAAAAGGATGCGGAAAGCATGTGAGACATGTGTCAATGTGTGTCCGGTCCGGAGTCCTGGCCCCCTGGCCTTGGATTGTACGTAAGCCACTTCTCGAAGTCTCTGTACGAAGGTTTGATGTTGACGATCCTGCCACACTGCCGCAAACCGCTCCGTGACAGTCAGGCGAAAGCTGAGCTCTTAGGAGCGCGCCCAGCAGCTTTGCAGCTGGTCTAATGATGAGCGCACATTGGCGCACGCAGTTTTAACACCTCAGCCATGCGGGCTCTTGCTTTTGATCTGAACTTCAGTGCATCTGAGCCGACCGCTATCAAGAACAAGTGCTGAACGCTTTTCGTCCTGGATTTGCTGACTTGCAAAAGTTCCGTCGACCGAGACTTGCTTAAACCGGTCAGACCGTTGGAATTGGCTCAGACCCAAGACACATTGATTAACGCATCATTAACACACGCTGACGTTACTATCAGCTGGCATTCCTCTAACACTGTCGAAGGCGCTGCGCCCGCAGATGGAACCTGGCAAGGCCGACGCTGAAAGCTCTCCATGGTTCGGAAGCGGCGTTTTTGCGCTTTGTATCCGGGGTTCGTGCCAGTGCTCGTAGCTCCGGCAGAAACTCGCGCTGCGCACGCCCCTGCGGAAACGAAATCCAGAGCTCCGGAGCAATCCTGGAAAGCCCGGCGGCGCCTGTTCCTCCAGTATCGCTTTGGCTTCAACACCAACCTGGCATACTCACGAGGTCTTTTGCTGGTTAGGATCAGCAGCAGGTTCTAAGCTCTAAACCCAAAGCCTTGGGGCCAACAGTACCGGCCTTCTCTTCGTGTTGCTCACTCTGCCACTCTTTCAACAGGAGGTCAGACGGGGACAGGTGCTGCAAAAAGAGGGTCAGTCGGTCAGTTAGTTTCTAGGGCGCAGGCACTGTCTTCCAGAATCAGCTGCTCCACCTTGAGAAAAGCCAAAGCCATGGCCATTCCTTCTCGTCGTTTTTTCACACGTTTCCGCCAGTCGTCTGAGCAGCCCTGAGCCGCGGGGCGCGCTCCGCCACTTGATCGCAAAGAGCCTGCAATTGGCTGTCCTGCAGAAGTTCAGCGGCTGAGCACGACAGATGGCATCCGGAGTTGCGGTCTGTTGTGGTCAATGGGTGGGCATCTCAGAGCACCAAAAGACTTTAGACTTTAGAGCGAAAGGCCCCCGCCTGACGCTGGAGTTTTTCCAGTCTCTGGATCAGCTGGGCCCTCTCCGCCTGTATCGGAAGACTTCCTTTGGGGGTTTTGTTGCGGGTTCTCCACCGTACCGGTACCATCACCTCGAGCGCTTCAGTGAAGCGTCGGATCCTGGCGAGTTCAATCCCAGAAAGCCGAGCCACAAAAAGAAGAAGGCGTCACACTCAGCACGGGCGCACCGCTCGCGTGGCATCACGTCTGCTAAGGTAGTGCCTGGCGGGCGCAGGCGACTGACGTACGTGGTCCCGTCGGACAGTCTAAACGCCGAAATCACAGACGGCTGCACGGCCCTGCGTTTGCAAGGCCGCATGGAGGCCAACCTTGTGCAACGCAGAGGTTTGGCGGTTTGGCAGCCGCACTGGCTTCGGAGACTAAGGCAGGCTCAGATTCCAAAGCCTTCATGGACACCTCCACCTGGCATCAAAAAGCGAAGTGTCATCTTGAAAGGCGTTTGGGCACCGCCGCTCTGCCATCACCACGCCTTGTCCAAGCTGTCGCTCAGCTTTGTCTGAACCTGGCACAAAGGCTCTCCGAGCTGCCCAAGCGGCTGCGGGCTGCGGGCTGCCCACCCGACTGGATTTCTGCGCGAGCAGGGACATTGAACGACTGCACCTGTGACAACTTCTTGATCTCCTTTCTCCCTCCCTCGAAGACAGTTTAAGCGGGGATGCCAAGAGTCGCGCGCGGAGCGGTGGCTCGTCAGGTTGTCCAGCACAGCCTCATGAGGCCCCGTGGTCTGTTCAAACGAACCCGCATGCCCTCAACGATGGAGTTGAGCCCAAGAGGAAGTCTCCATCCACTCCGGACTCCAACCCTGACGGAAGCTGGCACGAGAAACCCCCGTAAAGCATGAGAGAGCACTCTCCCACCAACGGTACAGAAAAGAAAATCGGGGAGAAAGTCGCTTTCGCAGCCCAAGCTCCCGGCCCGAGCTGCAAGGCGCTGCACGGCCACCCGCTCTTCACAACGCAGGGCCAATGCCGCGACCTGAAACAGACCTCCCTCCCCGGCCTTTTCTTCCGGAAGTCTCTTAATTCTAGATTCGGGAGAAGTGAGGATTTCGGGCTTAACCTGTCCAGCAGCACTGCAGTAGTCGGACTTTGTGCGGCATGTTAGATTGGGTGGCTGGCTACCGTGGCTTCCTAGTCTGAGGCTGCGGCCGGTCTGGACTCCGCGATTCGGGCTCGCGCCTTGGGCGAGCGGCACAGTGGCACAGTGCGACTTGCCTTTGGCTTAAGCGCCGGCGTAACCTGCCTCGGCAATGTTGCCGCGGAAGGCCTCAAACGCTGGATCAATGACCTGACAGAAAAAGGTGGCTCAGAGAGGGATGGCTGCAGAACGGCGGGACATAGCTCCCGACGTCTACACATCGCTGGCCAACCACTTCGTCTAGCTCCTTGTATTCATGCTTCAACAGCTACACGACTCTGGAGAGTCTCGTCATTGCGATGCAGGGCCGCAAGTGGCAGGGGAGGTCCTCGAGAGTTGCCACGAACTTTGTCGAGAGAATGAAAGCGAGAAGCGAGTGTCTTGGAAGAAACCCCGAAAGACAACGACTGGTCCCACGCGAAATCCCAAGTGCGAAAGCGGGTGGAAAAAACAAGGCCCCGCGGGCTAGTGACGTGCGGATTACACGAGAAGCCCGACATAGTTCTAGCTGGAATCCCGGGCACGGCAAATCAAACCCGAAGCGACTTCTTCGGACGGACCCGCTAGCTTAGTAAGCCCAAACAATGCTCGACTGAAAGCTGGCACATTCGCGGCCGCAGGTCGTCCTCGCCGCCACCAAGGGCCGCCAAGGTCGGATCCGCGGGATCCAAGCGTGCCGCCACGACGTCCACCTGACACAGGCAGAGCCCGCGGGGCGGTGCGGCTCCCGACCCGACGGGCTTGCGGCGCAAGTCTCCGGCCTCTGACTCCAAGCATTTCTGCAGGAAGAAGAACACGTCGCCACTCACATCCTGCCGTTTTAGGGCGCCCCCATAACCCCTTGGAGCAAGGCTAGTCCGCTGGCCTCGCTGCGCGAGTGCTCACCTGAAGGAAAAAAACTCACACGCAAAGGCATGGCGGGCCTGGCCCCATGGCAGCGGCATGGAAAGTGGCGAGCTAGCCGCTAGTCCGCTCGGCTTCGTGCTTAAGGTCCCTCCGCCGCAGGTGAGAACAATGAGGTCCTCAGAAACACGAACGACACTCCAGCGCTCAAAGGCAGATCTCACAGACCAGGCCTGGCCTCGGAGAGGAGATTCCAGCGATCGCGGGCATACTGCCTGCGACACAGCCAGGGCTGGCGCGGCACACAGAATCGCAACGAAGGGTGGGTCCCTGCTCGCTCCTGACCAAGTCCAGCGGCTTGCGGTACTCGGTATCTTCAACGTCAACTGCTTCTCCCGCCAACCTAGGAAGGCTGCAATCTCTTTGCTTTGCTTTGCTAGGGGCTAGGAGCGGGAGCAGTCCTCCCGCCCCGCACTCTCTCTCTCTCTCTCTCTCTCTCTCTTTCTTTCGCCAGGGCTAGGGTGTAGGGGTTTTACCTCTCTCTCTCTCTCTCTCTTCTTCCGCCGGGCATGAGGGGTTGGTTAGACCCCCCGGCCACTAGGGCCCCCCCATATTTTGTGGGGACTTTGGAGGAGTGTGAAAGTGTTTTTGTTTTCCTTCCCCCCGGTGGATCATACTGACAGTTCAATGAAACCTTAGTTCAGACAGCTAAGCCGGACCACTCATGGTCCCCCGGGTTTGCGAAAACAGGTGTCTTTGCAGTCCTAGTTGGGCTGATCTGTGCTTTCCTTCATAGCAAGTACAGTAACACAGAATACGGAATGTACGACGAGCATAAAGATGCCACGAACCACACTTCTCCTCGCACGATCGCCCTTCTTCTTGTTACAAGCTTTTGGTAATGTAACTAAAACAGCTAGGGCCCGCACTCAAAAACACCAAAGCCAACCTCCCAAGTTGCTAAGTTGCCAAGCTTGTAGCATCAGGAGCTACTGTCACTTCGTTGGGCTTCTAGGTCGTCGTGATCAACACAGTAGGCCAAAACAAAAGGATAGCATAGCCAAGCATATATTATATGCAGAGCGACGACCTATTGGCATTTCTCGTAGCTATACTGTGCTCCTCCCGGGTATTTCAAGCAACGAAAACGAACAACGAAGCAAAGTCAGGTGTATTACTGAGAATCATTCCCCGGGGCCAGCATAGTTCTGTACTACCGCTTCAGTACTATGGCATCAAGACTGTTCTTTTGGAAAAGGGTTCGAGGAAAGTCTAGACGAAGACATATGCGACAACGTTACAGTCAGGTGCCTCTGTGCTGTCAAGTCTACAGGAGTGCTCCACACTCCCAAAGCATGGGCTTGGCTACGTTATTGCAGGGGCCAGAGGGGAGAAACAGTGACGGCAAGGCTATGGAAGACACAAGTAAAGTAACTATCCCCCGAGTCCCCTGCATTCCGGAAGGCTCTCACATTGCACTCTCAGAGGTTCTCGAGGGCATGGTGCGCGAAGAGGCGCCGTCGCCGGTGACTCCCATCGGAAGAGGGGCTTCGCGGTCGTCTGGTCCCCCGTCCGCGTGGGCTGGGACTGCTGCTCTCTGGTGTCCAGTCTTGGTAGATAGCAGTGCTCCCCAGGCCCTGGTAGATAGCAGAACTCCCCAGGCCATGGTGGCGGTCCATGTTCCACCACTGTTCCCCATTGCTGGCATTGGGGAGACCGTGCCTTTCTTCAGGTATCCCCCGTGACACAGCGCGGAGCAGCAACATCGCTGCTTCTTGCACTTGGGGCAGTCTTGCTGTGGGCCAGGTCTCCACTTCCCCACTCCATTCGCGCAGCTGGAGCACGGCCAGTTGCCAGTTTTCCAGGTTGGGCGGTCTTTCCACCAGCACTGACTCCTGTCCCCCGGTTGCCATCATGACGACGTCCGACGGGTGAGTCAGGTGTCCCCCGCTGAGGACATGTTCCAGAGCTTCGGCCACCGCGATCATCTGCGCCCAATCTGCAGTTGTTGTCCGGCCATCCAGAACGCTGTTCAAAGTGCGCCGCAGTGGGTCTCTCTCTCTCTCTCTCTCTCTCTCTCTCTCTCTCTCTCTCGGCACTTAATTAAACTTCAGGATAGCTGCAGTTTAAGGCCGAGGCCCGTGACAAACTCGCATCTTTGCTGACCTGTCTCATCAAAAAGGGTTCTGAATCTTCCACCTGCGAGGTTGTGAGGGGGGGGGGGCAAAACGCGGGCCTCGCCTCAACTTGGAAACCCAATCTGCCTTCCATGCAACATGCTACAGGTTTCTGTCAAGTTTACACAACTTGCTTCTTCGATCTTAACTTTCGTCGTGTCTCTGACGATACGTGCTGCAGGGAGCCTGCGCTTGAGTGTCATATCTCTGGGAAGCTTTGCTAAGTATCTCTTCTGCGGAGCTCAGAGAAAGGCTTCAAGAGCCGGGAGGGACAAAGCGCGAGGCGCACAGACTTCCACGAGACTTCCCAGGCTTCGAAGAACTTTTAATAGCTACGAACACCACCATTCTCTCAAACCTGAAGCTAAGGCAACCTTTCACAGTGTGCCAAGCAAGGAAGGTCGAGGCGCAGCTACTTCGAGGCCAAGTCCATGCACGTCCTGGACCTTTTGCAAATTGAGGGCGCGGCATGCACCACCTGTGCTTTTTCTGACGATCGTACTGCTATGCGGCGAGGTGCCTCTTACTTGCCAGTGCAGTGCCGGCTTTATTGCGGAGCTGGGTTGGCGTGCGGCTGTAAACACAGCTACTTCAAGCAGCCTGGAATACAGCGGAAGAAGCAGTGCCGTCGTGCACATGTTGTCCTGGAGGCAGGGTGCTTGGGGTTGCTCCAGGTCAACACCACTAGCGGTGTGAGACTGAGACGTTCGAGTTAAAAAGAGGGCAGGTGCACCGCTGTGCAGCGCAAAACACGATGCAGGTGCAGTTATATCTTCCTGGACATGTAAGACTATGCTGCCCACGGCCGCATCCTGACACTTGCAGAACTGTGACACGTGTAGATCATTGACGGCACTGGCTTCTGAAAAACTGGAAGCTCAAGCTTTCTTGGCGTCCCATTTCCCTTCGATCTTCATCAGCTCAATCATCCATTTAACCCTTAGTTCCACATGGCAAAGAGATCGCGGCGTCCGAGGCATAAACCCTTCCGGCTTCGACCGCATGGCTGGCTGCGCTGTCTTTGCCGGGTGGCACTTCGATGCCGGCAGCGGAGGCCGGCGGCGCGTCGCGCTCGCAGAGCGTCTTCCTCTGCTCTGGCGAGGCATCGCCTGGAGCGCGCCCCAGCAGGCTCCAGGCAGTCTGAGAGCGTCCCCCCGCACGGCCCCGCCGGGCCGGGCCTAGCACCAGGCCCTCAGACTGCACGATGCCCTCCTTCGAGGGCATGGCCCGCATGCCAAGCTTCACGGTCTGCTGAAGCATCTCGGACAGCGGGTTCGTTAACACGTGGCGAGAGCTCGAGGCTCGAGCTGTGCACCAGGGCTCGGGCCCAGCCGTGGTATTGCATCAAGGTCTGCTGATACGCCTCCACCCCCATGCGCCAAGCAAGAGAATGCAAGAGAGCGGCGTGCGCTCGCCCGCCTCCACGGCCGGGTTGCCACCAGACTCCGGGGTGAAGATGAGCTTGATCATGGTCAAGAAGAACTCCACGCCCCTGCAGGTGCTGAAGTGGGAGAAAACCGAAAACTGCCGCTGCTAGCTGCTAGGCCCTTTGGGCAGCTTGCAGTTTTTGGTCCTCAGCAGCCAGGTGATCTTCTCGATGCCCACGTGAGAAGCCGGCAGCTGCCTGAATCTGAAGCTTTTACAAAAAACCGACCAAAACGCAAGGCGGCGCAGAGAGCGGCCGCCGCTCGGCGTTGAGGAGCTGGCAAGTAGGCGGTCAGCGTCTTTCGCTCCTCTGGAGCTTCCAGGTAAACCGCCTCCGCTCAAAGCAAGAAGCGCGCGCTCCGCGGCTCCCCGGCTCTTCTTTGGGCTCCCGGCTTTGGATTTGCCGAGATTGTGCTCGATGTCGCCCACGACCACGCTTGCCGCTCGACCGAGCTTGGAGAGCATATCTCCTGAGCGACGAGCAACAAGGGCGAACTCACCCTTGCTCCCAGGCGTGCAAAGGTCTTGCAGGAAGCCCCACCTCCCCGGAAGAATCCAATTCTGCCCGACAAGAACCCTTCAATGGACTACTTGTCCAACCGACTGCGGAAACCTGGTGTACCTTTGGAGGGGGGGGGGGGCGGGGGGCCTGGTGAATTACGAATCCTGTTCTTGGAGCCTGATGTCTCTTTACAAGACGAGGCGCTGTAGAGCTCGCAAGCCTGGGAAGCAGATAAGTGTGCGGGCTTAGGCTTCGAGCATTCCTTGGACCTTTCTACAAAGGCTGAAGACGGAAATGGCTAGTGCTGACAAGCAGCTTCGAAGAACTTGTCTAAGATGACATCTCGCATCTTGCCGCCTTCTCTGATCTCGCAGTCCCGAAATTCTTGGCTGGCAATGACTCGGGAGTTTCGTGCTTGAGGGAATCTTAGTGGTAAAGCCCAACCCCGCCGCCCCAGCCCACCAAAAAAAACACACAGACCCTTCGATAATAGTTTGAGATGCTTTTTAACGAAACTCTTGCCAAGGCTTTACCGGATCTTCTCTTGCCAAGGCTCTCTCGAGCAGCTGTCCGAACCTGGAAGAATTGAAAAACAAAACGCAAAAGCCTGGCTTTTTGGTAAGGAACATGCAATGACCATGTTTGGGGGTCTTTGCAGGCTTTCGCCGTGTTACATGGCTTCATGAGGTTTATCAGGGATTATGGACAACGTGTTCCGGTGCGTAGCTTCAGTCACCTCGGCATCAAGAAGAGCCCCGCCCCTTTCTTCAATTGAGAGGCCGTGTGTCATGACGAACGACACGTGCTGGAGTCGGCTCTGTTGCTGCTGGAACTGGAGATTCTGTGGGTGCTTTGAGCACTGCAGTCGGCACCTGGCGTCCGAATGCTGGATAGAAGTGCCAACTCACTTCAGGATAGCGGGGGAACCTTACATGTTGCCGGCCTCGGCGACTACGTAGCCCATTTCTTTGGCTGGGTCCTCTTCCTCTGCCAGGACCTGGTGTGTGCTGACTTGATCCTCAGCAGCGATGCGAAGCGAAAAGAAACGACCAGATCCCCATCCTTCACTCAAAGCCGAGGGCTTGTTCAACCTGCAGCCTGGCATCGTCAGACCGCGGAGGCCACGGCGGTGGCATGTGCTGGGTTAGCTAAACCGCACAGCAGTTAGAGAGGCGTTGCAGGGCCTTGCAAAAGTTGCGGTGCAGAGAAACGTCTTCACAGATTTGCGAAGCACTGCAAACTTGTGCATCTGCTGCATGAGGGTGCCAGCAGCTGTTAGAGAGCACAATGATTGAGCTTTCGCGAAGGAAGCTTTTCTTGGCGTGCATGAGTAGTCACATGCCTGCGAAGTATGCCTTCTCAAGATCGATTCGCACGGGAGGACAAGGCTATGGCAACAAAGGCTTTGTTGATGCCATAGCAAAGCCACATTGTTGTCTGAATCGAAGGAGGAGCTATTCAAAAGAGCAGGACCGCGTGCCGTCCAACACAAGCAACCCGAATGTTCGACATTCCAGTTCCCAGGCGTGCCCGTTTTGTCCCGGTTTCTGTTTCTGGCATCAAGCCCTCTCAGCTTCTCTGGAAAGCCTCGCAAAGAGCAGGACATGAAGGGAGGCTTGGACGAACCGTTCTCAAACCCGGCCTCCATGAAATTGAAGATTGACGGTGTCCAGCCTCCGAAATGACACTTCTGAGCCCTCCATCTGAAGCGGGCGGGCGTGGGGTTGGGGCCCAACCGGTGCGGTTCGCCATCTGGGGCGCCGCGCAACATCTCTGACCAGCCTCGGGCTTCTAATTCTATCATCGAAACCACCAGCAATGACCGCTGAGCCCTGGACTCTCGCCTCCTCCCCGAAGTACCCGGGCCGGTACTGGACAGTGCCTGGATCCTCCTCCTCCTCGGTGAATCCGAGAATGAATGAAACACAACACGGCAAAGCAAACACCCTGGAGTCTGCTAAGGCTTTGCTGGGTCGAGGTGCTCAAGGTAGGAAATTTGGCTATGTTCAGCCAGCCGCCTAACGCATGCATGCATGCATGCTTTCATGCATGTGCGTGTGCGTGTGTGTCTCTGGATATGTCCTTTGTCTTTTGTGGTAGAAGCTTCCGCATCTCGAACGACACGTAAAGCAGATACCGTGGTCCGGCTGTGCTGCTTGCAGCTACGTGGTCCCACCGCGGCGTCACAACGACGCTTCATCATCTCACCGATTGCAACAAAAGGTTGCGTGACACACAAGCCACTCACGAAGGCAGCGCAAAGCCAAGCTGGGCTAAGGTGTGGTTCGAGCGCGTGGTGTTATCCTGCTGTGTATGCCACCAATCTGTCCGCAACAACTCCTGGGTACTGTAGGTTCCGGCGGGTAAAAAGTATAGAGTGTAAGCCGATGAAATCGGCTCCTCGGTCTTCGACAAGACCGATAAAGATGATCTGGTCCCAGAGGCGGGTAGCATCATGCACACATAACCCTGTATACGCCTACATGTATCAGTATCAAAGAACACAGACACAGACACATACATACGGACATGATACATACATACATACGTACATGCAGACAGACAGACAGACAGACAGACCGACGGACGGACGGACGTCCGTTACACAAACAAAAAGAGAGGAAGAGAGAGTGAGATAGATGTGTACATGGACGGATAGCCGCATGAATAGACATGTGCTGCTTCTGACACATACATGATCAGGAGCCCAAGCCCTGCGTTGCGTTGACGGAGTCTTCTCTTCCAAGGGCTGGGCCTCCTCGGTCTCCCTGGCGGCATCGTACTGGCCTCGGAGCTTCCAATCGCGAAGCCAAACGCTGTGGTCCGAGAATTCTTGCACAGGCTTCATATTATCGCAAGCTTCCAGCACTTCGAGAGGAAGGAACGAGGCAGGAAAGAGGAGAGCTGCAAAGACTCAGGCCAGGTGATCCAGCCACTGAGGCCTCGCACTCTCTCGCAGCCAGAAGGGCCGCCAGCCGTCGCCGAAGGAGATCACACATACACAAAACACCTGTGATCCACGGTGCCGAGCAGACTGTCTCAGCAGTGCTTTGGCACAGCATCAGCACTTCTGACATGCTATCGTGTGTTGACGCACTGCCAGCTGTGGGCGCACCATGCGGCTGCTCAGTCGCGCGATGCCGGTCTTCAAGACTAACTCCCAAGAGTATCTGGGTCAGTACTGCAGGGTGGGGCAGAAGCTGAAGGACTGGCTGGGCTCTGTCTCTGCCATTCATAGAAGCTCTCAGAGCCAAGCACCAAGCTCGCGTAGTGTCGAGGATGCTCCAAAAGTCTCAGTGACAGCTCCCAACAGCTTTTTCCTTTCCTTCGCGATCAGCCTCGCGGCCTCGCTGGTGCTCGCAACACGTCGGAGAAGGAACGGCATTGCATCTCGGAGAGCTTTTTGCTCATCTCCTTGGAGTCGTCCGGAAGTCCTTCGAAGTCCTTCCCGCGAGCTTTCTCGCTGTCTCGATCTGTCTTCGCCTATCCCAGCAGGCGGGAAATCGCGGACTCGATGTCCCAGTTGGATGCCTCCAGGGCACTCCGCGCCATCGCATCTGGGAAGCCCATGGACGTTACCTGATCCACGAGCTGCTGCTGCATCGCTGGCGTTACAGCTGGAGCAGCTGGAGCTTGCTGGAAGCTCGCAGGTCCAGAGCCAGACGCTTGCTGGACGAAATTTGCTATGTCCGGAAGCTCTGCAGCACCGATGCCGCCATGCTGCTTTGCAAAGTCCAAAGCAACCTGCTGAGGATTATCACCGCGGTTCCAAGATATGGTCAAGCGGCGTCCGTCTGCCACTTCAACAGGGAAGTTGAAGTCTTTTGCATAGCCCGGACTCGGACCGTTGCCCTGGCTGCCCTGCATGGCCTGCATCACAAACGCCACGACGTCACCTCGAACAACGGTGAGATTTCGTGCTGTCCGTGCTGCTGGCTCACAAATGCTCAGGGGGGCCTGTGTGACGCGGATCCAGCTGGTTCTCCCTGCCAACACCCCAAGCAAAGCCGCTCAAGACGCGAGCACGAAGCAAGATCTTCGCACCGCAATGGCACCTGATGAATCGCTCTGCGACGACTTTCGGTTCTTCGCCCCGATTCCAGGATAGAGAGAACTTCTGTGAGCCGAAGTCCACCGGGAAGGTGAAGTCAAAACTACCACTGCAGCCGCCACCTTGGCCTTCGCGCAAGCAAGGTTGCTGAAAAGATTCGCAAATGCGGCCCTTGTGCCTGGCATCGGCATCGCTGGTGCTCGCGTTGCAGCGAGAGCCGCCGCACGTGCGCCGAAGTCCTCCCTGACCACCTGAGGGCGCACCGAACGCAGACGTTCCTCCCGTTTTCTGTTTTCCGCGGCGCCTGTGGCGCTGCGCGTGCCGGGCTCCGAGTCCAGATGCTGCAGCTGCCGTCGCCGCAGGCCACGGCCAAGTCACCGTTGGAGAGGAAGCCGAGGCCGTAGACCTCAAAGAAGGATACTCACCGAATCTTCGGCTGAAATATACTGACGGCCTAAGCTCCTCGCCTCGGCGCAAACTTGGAAGCTGCCCTTCTGGGATAGGGATGTGCCTCGTGATGCAATCTGACAAAGGGTGACTCTGCATACGTAGATTCCTAGGTGCGCCTTCGTGTGCAAGGATGAAGACTTGGCCGTCGGAGGTCCCAGCAGCGAGCTCGCCGGTCTCTCGTCGCGACAAAGCAAGCACATAGGACCTGAGACAACAGTAGAGACGAACAGAATTCGGGACCACAGTGTGACCCAGGCTCTTTGGCCAAGGCGCTCGGCCACCTGTCGCTCAGCCACAGCCTGGCCTGCAAGATAGAGAGGTCCCTCTTCTGACGGTTTTTCAGTTGGGGATCTCCCTGCCATGTGGTCTGCCGCTCGTTGCGTAAGTCATGAGGTCACTGCCTGCCGCTGTGTCCCAGAGGCGCACCACACCATCATTTCCAGCAGCTGCCACCAGTGCACCACTGCAGGCACAAAGCGCGCGCACCACCTGCTTAAAACTGTCAGCATGGTCAGCCCCTGACAGCTGGCACAGGTTTGACAAACTGGGACCTGTTTCGCCGGTATGCTGCGAAGCTTCTGGCCATCTCGCCAAATGCCGATGGTCTGATCGCCACCTTGGCTTGACATGATACGTCGGCATCTCAGCTGAAGCTTCTGGGCTCCGCACTTCCGCTTGCAACGTCTCCGGTGTCCAGGCCAGCAACAGCGTTAATTGCGATGTCATGGCCCGTCATGATGACTGGCAACTGGTTTCCCTTCCACACTCGCACCGTCTTATCCCAGCCACCTGATATCAGATGGCCATCTGAAGTACGACCAAGCGCAGACACCACATGGACATTCGTACCCTGGATGTTCTCGCCGTGACCTCAGGACAAACACGGGAGCAGGTTTCAGTGCTTCCAGACTTTGCATGAGTCGGCCTTTCAGGGTGTCCACGGCTTCCCCGTTTCTCCAGAGGATGATGGAGCCGTCGCGGCCCGCCGAGACCAGGTCCACGGAGTCGTCGCCACGGCAGAGAGCAAGCACGCCGTCAACTCCAGCTCGGCGCTGGTGCCCCGACAGAACCCTCACTCCAGCATTGGGCGGATCACAAAGGTGAACTAGGTTATCCTCAGCCGGGCCGGGCGACACAATGCTCTGTCTGACAGCGCAATGCTTCTTTGCCACTGCGTCTGAGCTGCCATTCCAGCGAAGGCCACTGAGCCGCCTTTCAGCGCCACCACGCACCGAACCTCGCCTCGACAGAAAGAGCACACTCTTCCTCTTAGCAACCTCCGCCCGCGGGGCTGCACGTCTCGGGGGGCGCAAGCCGCGCCTTCTGCCCGAAACTCCGCGGAGAGCTGAAAGTCGCCGCAGAGCGCGGCCAAGGCCTCGAGGACCTCCTCCGCGGAGGCCTCGTAGCGACGAGTCGCAGGCGGCGAAGGTCGGGGCTACCGCTCCGCCCTTGCACACCTTCACCTGCTCCGCTGGCCTCTCTGCAGGGACCTGATGTAAAGACCACGCATCAAGGGAGAGACTGCGCTTCCGGCCGGAAAGGGCGGCCTCCAGATGCTCTGCAGTCTTCTTGAAGCCAGCAGCGAGGAGGAGGTCTTCAGCACCGGGACAGCTCAAGGCCTTACCTTGGCGACTCACGCTTGCCTCATGATTCATCTGGTTGGCCTGTCTTGGTACCTGGCTGATCTTTGGGTTCGCGAGTTTCACCTTCCGAAACTTCTCCTCAACTGCCGACCCCAGCTGGCGGGGGGGGGGCGCGAGGGGCAAGGGCATTCCGACACTTGTCCTCCAACCTCTTAGCCCTCTGTGCGCAAGTACCACAGCAGTGTAGAAAATGTAGACACCCTTGTACCTTTGGCCTGGACCTCCCCAATGTTCCTACCAGTTGCCACGCTTTTCCTGTGTCGGTTGTAGCGGCGTCTTGTAGTTACGTGAAGCACAGCTGACACGCAACATTTGCGAGGGGTCCTCAGCCGGATTCTTCACCTCGGGAGCCACATCACATTGGCGAACGGTCTAGAGTCTAGACGCATGAAGCGAGGCAGCGAAGCTGCAGACGAAGGGCTAGATTGTTGAGCAGGGTTGACAGCACACCGATGGAGCCCGCTTCTGCAAGCGTTGCAGTGTTCGCCTGCAGGGTCGCGACTGCAGCGGCAGCCGGACTAACCTGCTGGTTGGCCTGCACAGGAGCAGCAAAATCTGGAGTACCTCAAAGCTCGTCTCCTTTTGGGCGGTGGCCTGGTTGGGCTCCATGGACAAGGCCAGTGCAGCTGCCAAGTCCTCCTCCATCTCGCGAGCTGGAGCCGTTTCAACGGCGCACTGCGAGCACTGGGCCCAAAAGATCAAGCTTCGGGCGCTTCGGGTGCTTCGGTCTTCGTTTTGCACTCAGCCAGTGGTTGGATCTACAAAAAGCACAGGGTATCTCGAGTCTAGTAAGATCAGTGGTGCTGCGGTCCCTAGTGTATGTCATGTCATTGGCTCAAGATTTCAATGCCTTGGAGCCGCGAAACACCACACGCCTGCAGCGCTCCCACGAGGCTTTCTTTCCATTTGTGGGAGGTTTATCGCACGCGCTCTACCAAGGCAGCTGCGCCAGCTTCAATAACAAGACCTGTGCGCTGTGCCATGCGAGTGGTGGTCAGGACGGTCAACTCTGCTTGCGGCCACGCGATGACCTCTTTCGCCATCGTGCAGAATGGTGCTTCATGATGCTGTACTAATTACAGTGTTTTGTGATATGTGGTTTGGTAACTCCATTGGGGGTGTCTTTGGCGGGTCGTGAGGGGCGTCCTCAGACTTATTCCGGCAGGGGACGGACGTTATTCTTCCAAGACGTAGGGTACGTTTCGAATAATTTGCTGTATTTTGGGTGCGCGGCATCTGCTTTTGGGTGTTTGTTTGCTGTTTGTGTGTGTGTGTCTTTAGGTCCAGAATTGCTGAGTTGCTACCCCAGCGCCCACACAGGGAGGGTTTCGACCCTGACCCTAAACCCCAAGCCCAGAAGCCCTAAAGCCGTAAGCCCAGAAACTCTGAACCCGAAAAAAACCTAACTCAGAAACCGTAAACCCCCAACCCAGAAACCCTGAACTCAGAAACCTAAACCCAGAAACCCGAACCCAGAAACCCTAAACCGAGAAACGTCCGGAATCCCTAAACCTGCCCTAAACCGCTAAACCCTGAACCGAGAAACCCTAAATCCAGATACCCTAGATTCAAAAACCCGAAACCCGTGAACCAACGACCCTGAACCTAGAAGTTCGGACGCAGGTTGCCACTCGCCGAAACCGTGTTGCCAGCTACACGATTTGGAATACTATTCTGCACGTCCCTCCCCCCCCTCGATGTCCTCTTTCTTGAGCACATGTGTCAACAATCATAGTTCCGCAAAAAGTATTCCGCCACCTTACCCTCCCTAGAGACGCCCCTCATGTTGCACTGGAATGGCCTCTCGCAAGTGAATGCTGGCCCTGCACAGTATGACCACTCTCCAGCCTTACACGTTCAAGTTTATTGGTCCGAAGCTGGCTCCGGGGTCAAAGTTATTTGAATCCTTCCACACAGTCAACTTTCCCAAGTTCATGCGGATATGCAACCAACGATTTGAATACATGGCCTCTCGCGGTCATTTTGGTATATCTTCTCCAAACCCCCCTGCCCTTGATCAGCAATCTAGCAGGCGCGACAATGAGAACGCTATTACACACCTTGCCCTCCTGGTCCCTGTTTCCTAAGCCCCACGCTGCTAAACTCCTCTGTGAACGTGGACCAGTTAAGTTTTGTGATCTGTCACTAGACGGTGTAAAATGCTTATGCATGATTACGCTTTAATATGCAGGCTTTCAGTCAGCGTCCTGTGTCACTGCAGCCTGGATCTCACTTCCACCCTTTCTGGTGAAGGCAAATCTGGTCAAGCGAGAACACTGCTACGAAGGACGGAGTCGCTGACCGCCCGCTGCCTTTTCCGACCGGCTGCGAAATCGTATCACCACAGATCATCTCGAAAGGGGAGGCTTTGGTCCATGTGATCTACACGACCCGAGAGCTTCAGTCTGTCCTCAGGGCCTCCGCCTCAACTTTCGCACCCAGGAGCTCTTCGGCGGTCGAGGAATTCCAGGGTCTGGTCTCCAGGCTCCGACGTGGCTCTGAGCTGTCTCCGTCTGGTTTCTTTCAGGGAGTCCAGGCTGCATAGGCCGCCTACCAGCAGGCCCAGGCTGAGGCAGCAGATTCCAGCAATCTCTAGCGGAGAGTCCCGCCGCTTCAGGCCCAGCGCCTGGCAGAACGGCGAGTTGCTGAAGGCCAGCACCAAAGCTACGGCGGTGAGCGGCTGCAAAGTGCCCAACAACACAGCGACCAGAGGCGACCTGAGGCCGGCGTTCGTGCCAACGGTGGCCCACTGAAAGCCGGTGGTGATGAAGATGCTTCCTAGCAGGAGGGAAGCAGATGTCGAGTCTGCCCAAAACTGCAAGCAGCAAAGATGCCTCGCCTCGTCTGTGAGAACGATCGGCGGAACCACTTCAAGCACTGCCAGGAGCAGCGCTGTCGTTACCTGGCACAAAGTCATCTTGAAAGCATGCGAAAGCGTGAATGCATACGAATCGGGGCCCCTTGATTTTTTGTCTTCTGGCGCGCTCGGTCGACATGGCAGTGCGCTGCAAAAGTGTATCACCTTGGCCAAGCAGAGCGAATCAGGAGTGAGGAGGGAGAGTAAGGAGGAGAGTGAGAGTGAGGGTGAGAGTGAGGGTGAGGGTGAGAGAGAGGGAGAGGGTGAGGGTGAGAGTGAGAGTGAGGAGTGAGGGTGAGAAGTGAGAAGTGAGAGTGAGGAGTGAGGGGTGAGAAGTGAGGGTGAGGGTGAGAGTGAGAGTGAGGAGTGAGGAGTGCGGGTGAGAAGTGAGAAGTGAGAGTGAGGAGTGAGGGGTGAGAAGTGAGAAGTGAGAGTGAGGAGTGAGGGGTGAGAAGTGAGGGTGAGGGTGAGAGTGAGAGTGAGGAGTGAGGAGTGAGGGTGAGAAGGACAGCTGCAGATGCTACCACGTCCAGCACAACACACTCCGACCGAGAACTCCAGCAAAGAAAAAGCTACCTGGCCTGGAAGTCGATCAGTCGGACCGTGCCCATACTGGGACGTGGTCAAAAGGGACCGTGGCGGCCTGGCGAGCTCGCGAAAACAAACCATCTGCACATGTCAGGCTACAACTTCCAGCACAACAGACACTCTGACCGAGAACCCCAGCAAAGAGAGAAGCCACCGGGCCTGGAAATCAATCAGTCGGACCGTGCCCATACTGGGACGTGGTCAAAAGGGACCGTGGCGGCCTGGCGAGCTCGCGAAAACAAACCATCTGCACATGTCAGGCTACAACTTCCAGCACAACAGACACTCTGACCGAGAACCCCAGCAAAGAGAGAAGCCACCGGGCCTGGAAGTCGATCAATCGGAGTGAGCAGCAGCAGGCCGCTGCATCCTCCTCTTAGCTGCTGCAGGCGGTGCCTCCTGCTGGGAGGCCGATCGTTTCGGCGACCGAACAGTAGGATCCTCGCCAGGGGCCGTCAGGTCGGGGTCCTTGTCCATGAGCTCCTTGAGCTTCAGTTTTGTCATGACCTGCTTGCGGCGATCCACCGGCAGATCCTTGAACTTGATGAAGTACATAGGAAAGACGTAGCTTGCACCATGGTTGGCTTTGGAGGCATAGACCTGCTTGAGGTTCTTGCTGTAGGCCATGTAAACGCGGCCTCGCGTCAGGCGAAACCAATCCGCAGCTGCTGTCGCTCGGAAGCACATGTCTCTGCATTGCTCCCAGTCCTCTTGATTCCGGACAGTCCGATAGGCCCAGTGGGATAAGGGCGTGTTGGCGCACGGATCCACCGGGTACAGGGTGTTCGCTGAGCGCAAAGAGGACCAGGCATGGCACCAGGCTCGCCAATTGCTACGCAGGAGCTCTTTTCGCTTGTCTGGACTCATGGCCAGCATGTCCCCTAGACATGCATGCAGGACATCCAGAGCTTCCGGCAAGTAGGTTTCGAAGAGCTTCGGCACTTTCTCCTTGTCGGAGCTGCGCGGGCTTCGCCGCGGCCACAGGCTGGCATCTCGCAAGACGAGGCCTGGGTGGAGCTTCTGCATACTCCCGTGTACCAACTGCTCCAGTTCCCATGCCTCACGGTCGCTACGGAGTAGGACCACATGAAGTAACTGGAGCTTGGCATCCGGGATGAGGCAACGGTTCTTATAACCGGTCATGAGGCCAGCCGCCGGCCCCCCTCGCAGCCAGTTGCTGATGCTCATGGACGTTTTGCCCAGCTTCAGCAGCTTGGCTCCTGAAGCATCCGCGCCCTGTGCACACACTATGTGCACGAACCCCAGCGGACCATCTGGATTCCCCAGGGCAGTGGCTATGCGCGTGGCTGCGGTCTCTAGGAGCATTGCTGGCTGGGGAAGTCGAAGGGTGCTGTGGAGGCACGCTCGAATCTCCCGGCAGCGTGTTGCCAGCTCCAAGTTCGGTCGCTCCCATGGCATACAGAAGCTTTCCCGGAGCAGGTGCAGCGCCGTGTCGAGGTCGTGGCCGGGCACCTGTGCGCGGACGACGCGTCACAACTTCTAAGCAGAGTCAGCAGCAGATTTCGGTCTGCCGAAATCTCTCGGAATCTGTCGAAATCTGGCGATCCCCTCCCCTCTCTCGTCTGGCGAAATGTGGCGAAACCTCTCGGAATCTGTCGAAATCTGACGAAACCCTCCCCTCCATCTGGCGAAATCTCTCGGAATCTGGTGAAATCTGGCGATCCCATCCCCTCTCTCGTCTGGCGAAATATGGCGAAATCTAGCGATCCCCTCCCCTCTCTCGTCTGGCCAAATCTGGCGAAATCTAGCGAAATCTGTCACGAATCTGGCGGAGTCTGGCGAACCTCCCCCCACTCATCTGTCGAAATCTGGCGAAATCTGGCGAAACCCTCCCCACTCGTCTGCCGAAATCTGGCGAAGTCTGGCGACAATCTGTCACAGTCTGGCGAGTTTGGCGAACCCCAGCAACCACGTGTTTTGTACTTCCTGGCCTGGACGTCGAAGTCCCTCACGTCACGGAGTCGCAGAAACTCCGGGTGTACGGGAAGCAGGTCCAAATCCAGTAAGGATTTCAACTGGCCAGGCATGAGGAGTCGGCCCCCTGGGATGTCATCGAACTGCCGTAGTTGCTGTTCGATCGCCGTCGGCAGTCGAGCCATATCCAAGGCTGCCACTTGCCCGTAGGCGAGCTCGAGGAAGAGCCTCAGAACAGAGTATGGCGGCTCTGCCGCCATTTCGCAGGTTCTGTAGACGAATTCCTGCGGTGGCTCTTCCTGAGCCGCCTCTTCCTCTTTCACCTCCAGGACCTCGTCTCTGGGGAGCAGTGCCGCGACTTGCGGAAGTGGCACGGACCTGGCGGCGCCGACTCTCCACAGAAGAGTCTCGTTCTGCTTCCTCAGGACCTCGTTTTCAACTTCTAGCCAGCAGAGTCAGCAGCAGATTTCGGTCTGCCGAAATCTCTCGGAATCTGTCGAAATCTGGCGATCCCCTCCCCTCTCTCGTCTGGCGAAATATGGCGAAATCTAGCGATCCCCTCCCCTCTCTCGTCTGGCCAAATCTGGCGAAATCTAGCGAAATCTGTCACGAATCTGGCGGAGTCTGGCGAACCTCCCCCCACTCATCTGTCGAAATCTGGCGAAATCTGGCGAAACCCTCCCCACTCGTCTGCCGAAATCTGGCGAAGTCTGGCGACAATCTGTCACAGTCTGGCGAGTTTGGCGCGAACCCCAGCAACCACGTGTTTTGTACTTCCTGGCCTGGACGTCGAAGTCCCTCACGTCACGGAGTCGCAGAAACTCCGGGTGTACGGGAAGCAGGTCCAAATCCAGTAAGGATTTCAACTGGCCAGGCATGAGGAGTCGGCCCCCTGGGATGTCATCGAACTGCCGTAGTTGCTGTTCGATCGCCGTCGGCAGTCGAGCCATATCCAAGGCTGCCACTTGCCCGTAGGCGAGCTCGAGGAAGAGCCTCAGAACAGAGTATGGCGGCTCTGCCGCCATTTCGCAGGTTCTGTAGACGAATTCCTGCGGTGGCTCTTCCTGAGCCGCCTCTTCCTCTTTCACCTCCAGGACCTCGTCTCTGGGGAGCAGTGCCGCGACTTGCGGAAGTGGCACGGACGGGGCGGCGCCGACTCTCGAGAGAAGAGTCTCGTTCTGCTTCCTCAGGACCTCGTTTTCAACTTCTAGCCAGCAGAGTCAGCAGCAGATTTCGGTCTGCCGAAATCTCTCGGAATCTGTCGAAATCTGGCGATCCCCTCCCCTCTCTCGTCTGGCGAAATATGGCGAAATCTAGCGATCCCCTTCCCTCTCTCGTCTGGCCAAATCTGGCGAAATCTAGCGAAATCTGTCACGAATCTGGCGGAGTCTGGCGAACTCCTCCCCCATCTGTCGAAATCTGGCGAAATCTGGCGAAACCCTCCCCACTCGTCTGCCGAAATCTGCGAAATCTGGCGAAAGTCTGGCGAAATCTGTCACAGTCTGGCGAGTTTGGCGCGAACCCCAGCAACCACGTGTTTTGCACTTCCTGGCCTGGACGTCGAAGTCCCTCACGTCACGGAGTCGCAGAAACTCCGGGTGTACGGGAAGCAGGTCCAAATCCAGTGAGGATTTCAACTGGCCAGGCATGAGGAGTCGGCCCCCTGGGATGTCATCGAACTGCCGTAGTTGCTGTTCGATCGCCGTCGGCAGTCGAGCCATATCCGAGGCTGCCACTTGCCCGTAGGCGAGCTCGAGGAAGAGCCTCAGAACAGAGTATGGCGGCTCTGCCGCCATTTCGCAGGTTCTGTAGACGAATTCCTGCGGTGGCTCTTCCTGAGCCGCCTCTTCCTCTTTCACCTCCAGGACCTCGTCTCTGGGGAGCAGTGCCGCGACTTGCGGAAGTGGCACGGACGGGGCGGCGCCGACTCTCGAGAGAAGAGTCTCGTTCTGCTTCCTCAGGACCTCGTTTTCAACTTCTAGCCAGCAGAGTCAGCAGCAGATTTCGGTCTGCCGAAATCTCTCGGAATCTGTCGAAATCTGGCGATCCCCTCCCCTCTCTCGTCTGGCGAAATATGGCGAAATCTAGCGATCCCCTCCCCTCTCTCGTCTGGCCAAATCTGGCGAAATCTAGCGAAATCTGTCACGAATCTGGCGGAGTCTGGCGAACCTCCCCCCACTCATCTGTCGAAATCTGGCGAAATCTGGCGAAACCCTCCCCACTCGTCTGCCGAAATCTGGCGAAGTCTGGCGACAATCTGTCAAGTCTGGCGAGTTTGGCGCGAACCCCAGCAACCACGTGTTTTGTACTTCCTGGCCTGGACGTCGAAGTCCCTCACGTCACGGAGTCGCAGAAACTCCGGGTGTACGGGAAGCAGGTCCAAATCCAGTAAGGATTTCAACTGGCCAGGCATGAGGAGTCGGCCCCTGGGATGTCATCGAACTGCCGTAGTTGCTGTTCGATCGCCGTCGGCAGTCGAGCCATATCCAAGGCTGCCACTTGCCCGTAGGCGAGCTCGAGGAAGAGCCTCAGAACAGAGTATGGCGGCTCTGCCGCCATTTCGCAGGTTCTGTAGACGAATTCCTGCGGTGGCTCTTCCTGAGCCGCCTCTTCCTCTTTCACCTCCAGGACCTCGTCTCTGGGGAGCAGTGCCCCGACTTGCGGAAGTGGCACGGACGGGGCGGCGCCGACTCTCGAGAGAAGAGTCTCGTTCTGCTTCCTCAGGACCTCGTTTTCAACTTCTAGCCAGCAGAGTCAGCAGCAGATTTCGGTCTCCCCTCTCTCGTCTGGCGAAATATGGCGAAATCTAGCGATCCCCTCCCCTCTCTCGTCTGGCCAAATCTGGCGAAATCTAGCGAAATCTGTCACGAATCTGGCGGAGTCTGGCGAACCTCCCCCCACTCATCTGTCGAAATCTGGCGAAATCTGGCGAAACCCTCCCCACTCGTCTGCCGAAATCTGGCGAAGTCTGGCGACAATCTGTCACGAGTCTGGCGAGTTTGGCGCGAACCCCAGCAACCACGTGTTTTGTACTTCCTGGCCTGGACGTCGAAGTCCCTCACGTCACGGAGTCGCAGAAACTCCGGGTGTACGGGAAGCAGGTCCAAATCCAGTAAGGATTTCAACTGGCCAGGCATGAGGAGTCGGCCCCTGGGATGTCATCGAACTGCCGTAGTTGCTGTTCGATCGCCGTCGGCAGTCGAGCCATATCCAAGGCTGCCACTTGCCCGTAGGCGAGCTCGAGGAAGAGCCTCAGAACAGAGTATGGCGGCTCTGCCGCCATTTCGCAGGTTCTGTAGACGAATTCCTGCGGTGGCTCTTCCTGAGCCGCCTCTTCCTCTTTCACCTCCAGGACCTCGTCTCTGGGGAGCAGTGCCGCGACTTGCGGAAGTGGCACGGACGGGGCGGCGCCGACTCTCGAGAGAAGAGTCTCGTTCTGCTTCCTCAGGACCTCGTTTTCAACTTCTAGCCAGCAGAGTCAGCAGCAGATTTCGGTCTGCCGAAATCTCTCGGAATCTGTCGAAATCTGGCGATCCCCTCCCCTCTCTCGTCTGGCGAAATATGGCGAAATCTAGCGATCCCCTCCCCTCTCTCGTCTGGCCAAATCTGGCGACATCTAGGCGAAATCTGCACGAATCTGGCGGAGTCTGGCGAACCTCCCCCCACTCATCTGTGCGCAATCTGGCGAAATCTGGCGAACCCTCCCCACTCGTCTGCCGAGATCTGGCGAAATCTGGCGAAATCTGTCACAGTCTGGCGAGTTTGGCGCGAACCCCAGCAACCACGTGTTTTGTACTTCCTGGCCTGGACGTCGAAGTCCCTCACGTCACGGAGTCGCAGAAACTCGGGTGTACGGGAAGCAGGTCCAAATCCAGTGAGGATTTCAACTGGCCAGGCATGAGGAGTCGGCCCCTGGGATGTCATCGAACTGCCGCAGTTGCTGTTCGATCGCCGCCGGCAGTCGAGCCATATCCGAGGCTGCCACTTGCCCGTAGGCGAGCTCGAGGAAGAGCCTCAGAACAGAGTATGGCGGCTCTGCCGCCATTTCGCAGGTTCTGTAGACGAATTCCTGCGGTGGCTCTTCCTGAGCCGCCTCTTCCTCTTTCACCTCCAGGACCTCGTCTCTGGGGAGCAGTGCCCCGACTTGCGGAAGTGGCACGGACGGGGCGGCGCCGACTCTCGAGAGAAGAGTCTCGTTCTGCTTCCTCAGGACCTCGTTTTCAACTTCTAGCCAGCAGAGTCAGCAGCAGATTTCGGTCTCCCCTCTCTCGTCTGGCGAAATATGGCGAAATCTAGCGATCCCCTCCCCTCTCTCGTCTGGCCAAATCTGGCGAAATCTAGCGAAATCTGTCACGAATCTGGCGGAGTCTGGCGAACCTCCCCCCACTCATCTGTCGAAATCTGGCGAAATCTGGCGAAACCCTCCCCACTCGTCTGCCGAAATCTGGCGAAGTCTGGCGACAATCTGTCACGAGTCTGGCGAGTTTGGCGCGAACCCCAGCAACCACGTGTTTTGTACTTCCTGGCCTGGACGTCGAAGTCCCTCACGTCACGGAGTCGCAGAAACTCCGGGTGTACGGGAAGCAGGTCCAAATCCAGTAAGGATTTCAACTGGCCAGGCATGAGGAGTCGGCCCCTGGGATGTCATCGAACTGCCGTAGTTGCTGTTCGATCGCCGTCGGCAGTCGAGCCATATCCAAGGCTGCCACTTGCCCGTAGGCGAGCTCGAGGAAGAGCCTCAGAACAGAGTATGGCGGCTCTGCCGCCATTTCGCAGGTTCTGTAGACGAATTCCTGCGGTGGCTCTTCCTGAGCCGCCTCTTCCTCTTTCACCTCCAGGACCTCGTCTCTGGGGAGCAGTGCCGCGACTTGCGGAAGTGGCACGGACGGGGCGGCGCCGACTCTCGAGAGAAGAGTCTCGTTCTGCTTCCTCAGGACCTCGTTTTCAACTTCTAGCCAGCAGAGTCAGCAGCAGATTTCGGTCTGCCGAAATCTCTCGGAATCTGTCGAAATCTGGCGATCCCCTCCCCTCTCTCGTCTGGCGAAATATGGCGAAATCTAGCGATCCCCTCCCCTCTCTCGTCTGGCCAAATCTGGCGAAATCTAGCGAAATCTGTCACGAATCTGGCGGAGTCTGGCGAACCTCCCCCCACTCATCTGTCGAAATCTGGCGAAATCTGGCGAAACCCTCCCCACTCGTCTGCCGAAATCTGGCGAAGTCTGGCGACAATCTGTCACAGTCTGGCGAGTTTGGCGCGAACCCCAGCAACCACGTGTTTTGTACTTCCTGGCCTGGACGTCGAAGTCCCTCACGTCACGGAGTCGCAGAAACTCCGGGTGTACGGGAAGCAGGTCCAAATCCAGTAAGGATTTCAACTGGCCAGGCATGAGGAGTCGGCCCCTGGGATGTCATCGAACTGCCGTAGTTGCTGTTCGATCGCCGTCGGCAGTCGAGCCATATCCAAGGCTGCCACTTGCCCGTAGGCGAGCTCGAGGAAGAGCCTCAGAACAGAGTATGGCGGCTCTGCCGCCATTTCGCAGGTTCTGTAGACGAATTCCTGCGGTGGGCGCGAACCCCAGCAACCACGTGTTTTGTACTTCCTGGCCTGGACGTCGAAGTCCCTCACGTCACGGAGTCGCAGAAACTCCGGGTGTACGGGAAGCAGGTCCAAATCCAGTAAGGATTTCAACTGGCCAGGCATGAGGAGTCGGCCCCTGGGATGTCATCGAACTGCCGTAGTTGCTGTTCGATCGCCGTCGGCAGTCGAGCCATATCCAAGGCTGCCACTTGCCCGTAGGCGAGCTCGAGGAAGAGCCTCAGAACAGAGTATGGCGGCTCTGCCGCCATTTCGCAGGTTCTGTAGACGAATTCCTGCGGTGGCTCTTCCTGAGCCGCCTCTTCCTCTTTCACCTCCAGGACCTCGTCTCTGGGGAGCAGTGCCGCGACTTGCGGAAGTGGCACGGACGGGGCGGCGCCGACTCTCGAGAGAAGAGTCTCGTTCTGCTTCCTCAGGACCTCGTTTTCAACTTCTAGCCAGCAGAGTCAGCAGCAGATTTCGGTCTGCCGAAATCTCTCGGAATCTGTCGAAATCTGGCGATCCCCTCCCCTCTCTCGTCTGGCGAAATATGGCGAAATCTAGCGATCCCCTCCCCTCTCTCGTCTGGCGAAATATGGCGAAATCTAGCGATCCCCTCCCCTCTCTCGTCTGGCCAAATCTGTCACGAATCTGGCGGAGTCTGGCGAACCTCCCCCCACTCATCTGTCGAAATCTGGCGAAATCTAGCGAAACCCTCCCCACTCGTCTGCCGAAATCTGGCGAAGTCTGGCGACAATCTGTCACGAGTCTCGCGAGTTTGGCGCGAACCCCAGCAACCACGTGTTTTGTACTTCCTGGCCTGGACGTCGAAGTCCCTCACGTCACGGAGTCGCAGAAACTCCGGGTGTACGGGAAGCAGGTCCAAATCCAGTAAGGATTTCAACTGGCCAGGCATGAGGAGTCGGCCCCTGGGATGTCATCGAACTGCCGTAGTTGCTGTTCGATCGCCGTCGGCAGTCGAGCCATATCCAAGGCTGCCACTTGCCCGTAGGCGAGCTCGAGGAAGAGCCTCAGAACAGAGTATGGCGGCTCTGCCGCCATTTCGCAGGTTCTGTAGACGAATTCCTGCGGTGGGCGCGAACCCCAGCAACCACGTGTTTTGTACTTCCTGGCCTGGACGTCGAAGTCCCTCACGTCACGGAGTCGCAGAAACTCCGGGTGTACGGGAAGCAGGTCCAAATCCAGTAAGGATTTCAACTGGCCAGGCATGAGGAGTCGGCCCCTGGGATGTCATCGAACTGCCGTAGTTGCTGTTCGATCGCCGTCGGCAGTCGAGCCATATCCAAGGCTGCCACTTGCCCGTAGGCGAGCTCGAGGAAGAGCCTCAGAACAGAGTATGGCGGCTCTGCCGCCATTTCGCAGGTTCTGTAGACGAATTCCTGCGGTGGCTCTTCCTGAGCCGCCTCTTCCTCTTTCACCTCCAGGACCTCGTCTCTGGGGAGCAGTGCCGCGACTTGCGGAAGTGGCACGGACGGGGCGGCGCCGACTCTCGAGAGAAGAGTCTCGTTCTGCTTCCTCAGGACCTCGTTTTCAACTTCTAGCCAGCAGAGTCAGCAGCAGATTTCGGTCTGCCGAAATCTCTCGGAATCTGTCGAAATCTGGCGATCCCCTCCCCTCTCTCGTCTGGCGAAATATGGCGAAATCTAGCGATCCCCTCCCCTCTCTCGTCTGGCCAAATCTGGCGAAATCTAGCGAAATCTGTCACGAATCTGGCGGAGTCTGGCGAACCTCCCCCCACTCATCTGTCGAAATCTGGCGAACCTCCCCCCACTCATCTGTCGAAATCTGGCGAAACCCTCCCCACTCGTCTGCCGAAATCTGGCGAAGTCTGGCGACAATCTGTCACAGTCTGGCGAGTTTGGCGCGAACCCCAGCAACCACGTGTTTTGTACTTCCTGGCCTGGACGTCGAAGTCCCTCACGTCACGGAGTCGCAGAAACTCCGGGTGTACGGGAAGCAGGTCCAAATCCAGTAAGGATTTCAACTGGCCAGGCATGAGGAGTCGGCCCCTGGGATGTCATCGAACTGCCGTAGTTGCTGTTCGATCGCCGTCGGCAGTCGAGCCATATCCAAGGCTGCCACTTGCCCGTAGGCGAGCTCGAGGAAGAGCCTCAGAACAGAGTATGGCGGCTCTGCCGCCATTTCGCAGGTTCTGTAGACGAATTCCTGCGGTGGCTCTTCCTGAGCCGCCTCTTCCTCTTTCACCTCCAGGACCTCGTCTCTGGGGAGCAGTGCCGCGACTTGCGGAAGTGGCACGGACGGGGCGGCGCCGACTCTCGAGAGAAGAGTCTCGTTCTGCTTCCTCAGGACCTCGTTTTCAACTTCTAGCCAGCAGAGTCAGCAGCGGATTTCGGTCTGCCGAAATCTCTCGGAATCTGGCGAAATCTGGCGATCCCCTCCCCTCTCTCGTCTGGCGAAATCTGGCGAAACCTCTCGGAATCTGTCGAAATCTGGCGATCCCCTCCCCTCTCTCGTCTGGCGAAATATGGCGAAACCTCTCGGAATCTGTCGAAATCTGACGAAACCCTCCCCTCCATCTGGCGAAATCTCTCGGAATCTGGCGAAATCTGGCGATCCCATCCCCTCTCTCGTCTGGCGAAATCTGGCGAAATCTAGCGATCCCCTCCCCTCTCTCGCCTGCCAAATCTGGGGAGTCTGGCGAAAATCTGTCACGAGTCTAGCGAAATCTGTCACGAATCTGGCGGAGTCTGGCGAACCTCCCCCCACTCATCTGTCGAAATCTGGCGAACCTCCCCCCACTCATCTGTCGAAATCTGGCGAAACCCTCCCCACTCGTCTGCCGAAATCTGGCGAAGTCTGGCGACAATCTGTCACAGTCTGGCGAGTTTGGCGCGAACCCCAGCAACCACGTGTTTTGTACTTCCTGGCCTGGACGTCGAAGTCCCTCACGTCACGGAGTCGCAGAAACTCCGGGTGTACGGGAAGCAGGTCCAAATCCAGTAAGGATTTCAACTGGCCAGGCATGAGGAGTCGGCCCCCTGGGATGTCATCGAACTGCCGTAGTTGCTGTTCGATCGCCGTCGGCAGTCGAGCCATATCCAAGGCTGCCACTTGCCCGTAGGCGAGCTCGAGGAAGAGCCTCAGAACAGAGTATGGCGGCTCTGCCGCCATTTCGCAGGTTCTGTAGACGAATTCCTGCGGTGGCTCTTCCTGAGCCGCCTCTTCCTCTTTCACCTCCAGGACCTCGTCTCTGGGGAGCAGTGCCGCGACTTGCGGAAGTGGCACGGACGGGGCGGCGCCGACTCTCGAGAGAAGAGTCTCGTTCTGCTTCCTCAGGACCTCGTTTTCCGCCTCCGACTTCGCCAGGCGGACAGCGAGCTTGAGTTCCTGCTGGTGCCACTGGGCTTGCCGACTGAGCTCCCGTTCGTGAGCTCCTGTAAGCTGCTGTGTCACGAACCCGGCTGCGAAGTTGCAGGCTGCCGCAGCCACCGGGCCCAGCTCCTGTTCCAGAGCCTCTCTCTTAGCGACCGGTCCCAGACGCAGTGAAGGAGCCTGCACCAGCTGCATTGGCGGCGGGTCCTTCTCTTCCTCAGGAGCAGCCTCCGCTTCTTGCTTCACTTTACTTGCAGCCGCTCGAAGTTCTGCAGAATCAGCTGCCACAGTCTTCTGAGAGGCTTCACTCTCAGACCACAACTGGACTCCAGCACTCACGGAGGGCGAGGTCACATGATCATCGATCATCTGCGTTGTTAAAATATTGAGAGATCCCTGTGGATGCTCTGACGACAAAGCTGCTGCTGCCAGATCTTCCTCCTCCAACTGCTGAGCTCCTGAGGCTACCTCTCCAGAATCATACTCCTGGGAGTCTACAGCTCTAGACAGCATCTCTACCTGGGGGCCTCCACCGAAGAGGTGTCGGAGCTGCCTTGACTTCTCCCTCTGTGTCGCCTCGCCAGCTTCTCGCATCATTTCGCTGCCCTCGGCAGCGCGTCGCAGCCGATCCTCCATCAGGACAATGGCGCGACTACACTACAGTCCCGGCCTGCAGCCAAGATCTCGCAGGTTGCTCAAGCTCGGAAGCAGCAGAAGCACAAAGTCTCTCACAGCCTGCCCACCTTTGTCGGCCAGTGTCGACCACGGCTCCAATCCCTCGGTCAGGAACGCATACGGCAGGCACAGCAGAGAGGTGACGAGAAGCTTCAGGAGAGTGATCTCCAGAACGCCCACACGACCCACATTGACGCAGCAGCTGCGCAGGGAAACGGTCATGAGAGCTTGGCATGCCCTGCACAGCAACGAGGCCACGATGGCCCAGGCACTTGTGCTCGCGCTCGTGCTGCCTGGCCCCCCCTTGCCGGTGACTTCTGCAATGCTGAAGAGAACGCTTCCAAGGGCCGTCAGAAGCACTGCCGGAAGGTCCCTACAAAGAGGAATTTGGCTCTCCTCCGGCAAGAAGCGGGCGAAGATCCAAACAAAAATCAGTTCGCAAGGGCCCAGCATGGCAAAGGCTTTGTAGCTCAGAAAGTTGGCCCACGTAGAGAGTGTGATGACCAGAAACACGAAGATTCCGGGCGGCGCCGCCCATCTCAGCTTCTGCCAGAACGGAATGCTGGGCCTAGGACCGTCCGAGGCACACCCTGAGCAGAGGCGCAGAGCCGCTAAGAACAAGGTCGCCAAAGCGGTGTCAATGGCAGAAACCGTGTTTTTCATATCTCCATGTCCACGCCTGTAGAAGGCCTTCAGCTCCGGATGCAAGACAGTGCCGAAGGAAATGACCAGCACCACGTAGACTGATGTGTGAAAGGCGCCGGCACGTCTCGTTCCACTCTCGTCAAACGCCATGGGGGTTCTACTGCAAGCTGCTTCTCAAATCTGTCTGACGATCTGTTTTCAGATGAGACGTGCTAATCCTGCTTGAAATCACGTGCCCCACCACTTCTTGATCATAAAGACACCTGCGGTAACGCTTCAACTGCTCTCATCGTTCCCGGGCCTTCCTGAGCTTACATGCGATTGGTGATCTGCATGTTCATTTGTCCGCATTGGAAATGGGTTTCAATGGGTGTGATGCAGCCCGTTTGGCGTGAATAATGATAACGAAATGAAGCTTGCATGCGTTCAACAGCTGCGGAACGGCAAAAATACGCAAACAGGGAACTGAGGATGATAGCCAGCAAACGCGCATCAGCCCCCGCATGGGAACAAAGCAGTCCTCAACAAAAAATCCCGTTATGGTATTAAACCAACAAAATAGGGATCAACACACAATGAACATGAAAAATTGATATTAGAGGTTGTACTGAAGATTGCAAAACCGCGGATCAAAAATGAAACAAGGATCACAATCACAGCGGCAGTCGTCGTCACAGTGGTGGTGGCGGCAGCGGTCGTTGTCGTGGTTGCGGTAGTCGCAGTGGTAGTAGCAGCAGTAGCAGGAGATGTTGGCCAAATTCACCCGCCACCCGCAGCATCCGCAGAGGCTTGAGACCATGAAGAAACTAGGATGGATGGTCGAAAACGAAGTTCTTGCAACGCTCTGGGATGCAAAGAACAAGAAGCCAGTGGGTGACCCTTCTGGCCCACCCAACTCTTACGCAAGAGAAGGCAGTGCGAGAATTGTCGACAAAGCTGGCGAAAAGTGCCAATCGGCAGTGGCTTTGGCTCGATTCCACCCCACACGACCTATGGCGGAGGGCACAGTGTGCTGCTTACTTCAGTTCAATCTGATGGACGCTGACGGTCGCCTACTTTATGATCAGGTTGCATCTTCGTGCAGCAATTCCTCTACACGTTTTCTGAGACTTGAAATTCGTAAGAAGTTCATGGGACGCAGCGCTTTGGCCCAACAGCTGAGAAATGCCTCAAGGTGAGGCTTAGGTTGCACACACGCACACACTCGGACGACAGATCCAGCCGCCGCCGGGTACGTTTTGGCATGCTTCCTATTTTGTGACAAGGAGGCTGCGCTCCAAGTGCACGCAACACAGAAGCTGTGCCGTGCACACCCCTTGCGCTGCTCATACAGCGCTTCCTGTCTTGGCTGCCCGAGCAAGATCTTTGCGATGAGTTCAAAGCCCGTCATAAGCCTCTCTCGATGATGGTTCTTCGGGTGCATGGTTTGTGATTGGCCCGACTTGGGAACGCACTAAAAGCAGCTGATGCGCAGCTTCGGTCCGGCCCAAGGGCAGCTGATGCACATGATGCGCGCCTTCGGTGGTGCTGTTTAGTGGTGCTTTAAGCAAAGCCACTTCCGGATCCCGGATCTAGCACCATTGCATTGAGGGTTTGCGGGGAAGTGGACAGCATGACATGACACGTGTGCGATGATGTAGGTCATGCAGGATATACGGCATCAACACTAGAGTCTTGTTGTAGTTACTAGTAGTAGTAGTAGTAGTAGTAGTAGTAGTAGTAGTAGTAGTAGTAGTAGTAGTAGTAGTAGTAGTAGTAGTAGTAGTATTCATTCCCACGCGGACTCAATGTGCCTGTGTCGTCGTCGTAGTAGTAGTAGTAGTGGTAGTAGTAGTAGTAGTAGTAGTAGCAGTAGCAGTAGCAGTAGCAGTAGCAGTAGCAATCGTCAGTGGAGTAGTGGTGGTCGTAGTAGCAGCAATAGGCGCAGTATTCGTACTAGTAAAAGTGCTCGCATTAGTATTAGTATTAGCAGCTAGTAGCACTTCGATAAGAATTCGCACTAGTATGAGTCTTGGCAGTAGCAGTGGTGGCAGTAGTCGAAGTACTGGTAGTAGTCGTTGTGGTAATAGTAGTAGTAGTAGTAGTAGTAGTAGTAGTAGCAGCAGTAGTAGTCGTCGTACTCGCAGTCGTAGGTCGTAGGTCCTAGTCGAAATCGTAGACGAAGTCGCAGTTGCAGTCGTCGTCGTAGTAGTAGTAGTAGTGATGGTGGTGGTGGTGGTGGTGGTAGCAGCAGCAGCAGCAGCAGTGGTAGTGGTGATGGCGCCCGCGGACGCTTGCAGTCATCGAATGTGCATAATTCCATGTGTTTGCAGCATGTAAAGAGGCTAGTAATTGCTTGTACCAGGCAGCTTTTTTGCCAGATTTGGCGACATGTTTGGAACCCAACCGCCGCTGGGCGAAGATGCAAACAAGCGTGCTCAAGCTCCAGCGACCTGTGCTTGGCGGCAGGGATGATGATGCAATACTACTATTTTGAGAGACGCCCAGACAGCTGTACTGCTTGACTTTCATGTTACAAAGGGTAGCAGCAGTGGCAATCGTCGTCAGAGTAGCGGTCGTCGTAGCGGTAGCACCAGTAGTATTAAGTAGTTCATTCCTTCCTGTTTCATGGCCAGCTTCCCTTTGGAAGAGAATCCTGTAATCTACAGCATGTCTGAGGTTTGGATTTTTTTTTGCTGTTGCTTTTGGTTGGATCCCTATCCTGCGCTCAACGAGGCGCGCGGATTTTACCCTCAGTGAAGTACCCAGAAGATGGCGAAGGAAAGCATCACCAGGTGCATTGCCAAGGCTCAAGCAAGGGTGGAGCTCAGGGCAGATGCATTAAGTCATTCGCAGGACGAGCGACGGCGTCGACGGCGTGGGTTTGAGTTTCTAAGTGTACTGGCACAGAGACTGCACGGGTACTTGTACCAAAAATCGAGAGACACGAGCATTGTCTTCAATTGGCCAAGATTGCAAGTACTGGCAAGTCGACAATGCGGAAGGATGAAAAGGATGAAAAGTTTTCTGTGACGACATGCACCGGATCGCGAGGTGAGAGCACGGATGTCGTCGCCTTCCATTCACATTCGCATTGCGACCGCAGGTGCAAAAGTTCAAAGCCCGCGGGTCCATTATTTAAGGGACTTTAAAGTGTCGGCAGGACAACTAGGATATCGGCAAAGGTAGAGAGGATACGACTTCAAGAGGTTCTTGACCTATTGAAAGTTTATTGGCTCCAACTGGTATCCACTGCTCTCTGGAGCTGTGGGCCATCAGGTTGCCGGCTGCAAATCCCTTTCAAACAACCTCAAACAGCGACTGGCTTTCAAATGCAGAGAGAGCACGGGTTCCTCCTTTTGCGGCGTGGCCCAGACAAGAGTTCAAGCGCTCCTGGCACATCTCCAAGCCCTGGTCGCGCAACTTCGCCTTGTTGCGTACAGGGATCTCAGCTGTGTCCGGGTAGGTCTGGACCTCAGAGAAGCATCGCAGCATCGAGCACTGGGGCACAGCATCGCCTCCGCTCCGCTCCGCTCGAGGCCGGCGCTGCCTTCAGGACGTCGGCCTCTCCTCGGCTCGGTTCACGACTTCTCACGGAGTCTCACATGGGTCGGAGCATTCAATTCAGAGCACAGGGCCGGGGCGCAGCTTTCTGCATCCGAGGCTCGTAGCAGGTGGATCGTTGGGAAGGGCGCGCGGATCGTAAAGTCGGCAGGGTCGGGGAAGCCCTCCGCGTAAATGCTGTGCATCGCCGACGGGTGGAAGAGCACCTGAAAGCCAGAGCAAACTCCAGAATAGCTCTCTCGTGTCGGCCAGGCGACAAGGCCCACAAGGCTCTGGCGATCTGCAACAAGTCTTGGAAGCCTTACGGAGAACGGAACCAAAAGCGTGCAAACCGTCGAGCAACTCACACCCGGAACTGCCTTGTTCGGAAACGGCTTCTGCCTGTAAACGCCATGACCTCGGCTCATGGTCCCGCCTGGGACTGCTCCCTCTGATTTCCGTCCCACTCTTCCTTCCGAAAGAAGGAAGCAAATTCCTCCCGCCCTCCGGCTGTCAGTGTTGCTATACAAAGTCTGGTCTTCTGCAGTTTCCGTTTCAACTGCGCTGAGCTCCTGACAAACGAACGAGGTCCTAAAGTGGATCTGCCGTTACAACTAGTTCAAAGGAGAGGGATGGTCAGCCTCTACAAGGCCCCTAAAAAAGCGACACAAAAAGTTGATCAATGCTATGAGGAGGCTGCATACGATTCAGTATGCGCAAAAGCATGGAAACATCCACGGAGGTTGCATACTTCGGGCGGCTGCGCAGAGATGGTTGCAGCAACCTACCACTCCCGGTGATGATCCGAAACCGGCTCCTGCCACTGCGCCGCGCAGCCTGAAGGAGAGATTTCTTCTCTCATGCAGCTGAAGCAGCCTCACGTCTCTGAGCCCCACGCCTAAAGAGGGATCCAGCACGAGCAGAGTTGTCTCTGGCCTGGGACCTTACCTCGCATCCATAACACAAGTGTCACAACTGTTCCTTCCCTTCTTCATTACGACCAGGCGTGCATCCAAGCAACCAGTGATCTTCGCGGTATGTCCAACCAGCAGTGCGGCTTCTGCCGAAACTTCTTCGATCACCGCCTGGCCATGGTCTCACGCCGGTTTCTTTTCGGACGAAGCTCCCGCTCGAAGAAATCTAGGAACATCTAGCCGGGCGCGTATGCATGCTGCAATGCTGCATGCATCCATTCAAGCACTCCCATCAGAAACGTTGCGCTTGCCGCAAGCGCAGCAGTGCTTCAGGCGGGCAAAGGCCTCGGCGTCCTCCGCTCGGCTGGCGACCAGGCGAAGCTTGCTCCCCTGCGTGGCGGAGGCGTGGGGCACAGATCGGCACGGGAAAGACTCGAACTGAAAGCCTGTCCTGAACGGACGAGGCAAAAGGGCATAGTTTCTCGCCTTAGAGAAGAGAGAAGAGATCGGTGCAAACCTCTGCTTCAAGTCACTGCCTGTTGCGTGCGAAACTTGTGAGCTCGCCAAAGCTCTCAATAGTCTTGCTGGCTGCATCCAGGTGGCCGACGACAATCTTGTCGAGCCAGCATCGGGTCGCATCCAGCCGCAGCTGCGGACACGATGAGGAGGTACCCCGAACTGCCGAGCTGCTCAGACCTTGCAACTGGTTTTCAGAATCTTCCCCATGCTCAGTGATCTCTGCAATCTTGCACCTCCGGCCAAAACCTTTCGGCAGAGAGACCTTGACAGCTCCAGGCAAAAGCGACCTCTGCCAACAGACTCCTAGTATTACTTGCCCTGTTCTCGGCCTTGGCAGTCGCCATGCGGCAATCCAAGCCATCGGGCAGAACGCTTCCAGAACTGATAGGGGTAGGGAAGGGTACTCGGTGAAAACCAAACACGTGATGGAGGTTTCAGTTCACCCTGGATCAAGCGTGCCGAGACGCGTTCGGAGAGGTACGGAAGCGAACAGCGCTCAATGCGACAACTCCCCACATCTCATGGTCTCGCGAGGATTCCTTTGTTTCTGCTCGGGGCGAGATGCACCTGAAGGCAGCATCTCCCAGATCTGTTTACAAAGACACTTCAAGGTGTAGATAGCAGCTGAGCGTTCTATGGCTCCCGCAGGCCGCAGCAAGAGGTATCAAGAGGTTGGCTTGGCAGGTACGCCGTACAGCCTTCCGACTTCGTCGGTGAAGGCCGCATGAATCAAATTCCACACATCCCCCCTTTTGAGGGAATGCCGCTAAACCGATCTGAACTACGGTGTTTTTCACGTGGAGCTGGGCAACAGAGTGTTTGCGCCAGTTGTGCGGGTGAGGGTATTGGTGAGGGTATTGTAGTCATCTTTTTCAAGTGCATCAGCCGATGTACTGCTGGCGTCCTTTGGATTGCTGTCGCCGCTGCAGAGCCTCTGCAAACATTCGCATCGCCTGATCGGGGAAGGTCAGTTCGTCTTTTGAGACCTATAGCTCTGTCAGTCTGCCATAGTGAAAGCACCTTCAGTTTCACACCGCGCTCTCCCATATCTTCTCCCCGGCACAGGAAGACCTCGGACTCCGAGAGTACAAGAAGTGTATGCCTGCTCAAAGCTCCGGTGCAAACCGACAGCTTCTTTGGGTTTAGCTCCGCTTGGCAACCCCTGTTGTGCACTGTCAAGGCTGCGATGTGCGCCGAGGAGTGTACAGGAACTCTGGTCCTTAGAACGCAATTACATCGGACATCCGCCCAGCAGCACCTGCTTCGTGACTCTCCACAGCAAGAGAAGTGCTAACAAGCCGCAGCATAGTGGAAACTCGCCCTTTGTCCAAGAATGCGTCCATGAAGGTATGCCTGGGAATCAGCTCATGTGAACTGTCCGGTGGGGAAGTGCGCCCTCCCAGCCGGAGATGATAAAGGGTGCCTGCAGCACAAGCCATATGCACCATTTGTTTATCTTCGAATCCATGCTGCGCGGGATACACCGACCATGACACCACCGCGACCGGAACACCAATCCCGACACGACCACCGAATGAGACTCGAAAAATGCCACTGACCAAAACGACACGGACCGGGGCCTATTGCTAGGGACTTGGGATTTACGGATTAGGCATGAGGGGGTTATTTGGCCAGGACGATTTTGGGGTGAGTTTACGTGCATCGGGTTTAGGCGGTTTAGGGTTCAGCACTTCCAGTTCAAGCTTGTCCTGATTAAGCATCAAAAACCAAGCCCCAGTAGGCCCTAAACCCTAAAGAACACGTCTCCAAACACCCAGCCCCGGTGACGCAAGAAGACCAAGCCCCAGTAGGCCCTAATCCCAGTTGGTCCTAAAGCTTGTAGAACAAGCCCTTAAACCCTTGGTCCATAAACCTGAAACACTAACCCCTTAACTTCCCAGACCAGCCCCAGGCTCTGAACCTAGGCCCTAAGCCTTAAAAGTTAGTCCCTAAACCCCAGCCTTGAGCCCGAAACCCTCAGCCCCGACCACATAACAAAACCAAACCCAAATAGGCCCTAAACCCCAAAGGCAAGCCGGTGGACCCGAAACCCTGTTTCCCTTGGCCTGGGCCCTATGCCCTATATAACCCTGGGCCAGCCACTCGCCAAAAGCACGAATGATCATTTTGCTTGGCCCATCAAGTCGTGGGCACTGGCGAAAGTGACCGAGCTCGCCAAAACCACGAGTTGCTGGGCCAGATATTGGCCCATCAGTTCGTGGGCATTGGCGACATCGCCCATGCCCGCGAATCTCATAAGACTTAAAATCTACGGGGAGCCTTGAGGATTCAGAAGTTTGGATTTGAGGTCTACAGGCCAACGAAAGCGTGGCCGGATTCTTTGCCAATGCAAAAGGTTCGAGCGAAAGAAATTTGCCAATGCCTCCGGAGGCCGGTTTTCGCCAACACCCGCGAAGGTCCGGCTGACACTTGCCAAAAGCAATACATGAATCGTAGCTCAGCACCTCCAGTTCACTCGTCAAACTGGCTATCATGGCACCGAAAATCTGCAGAAAACCACTCTCTGCATCCCATAACATCAAGACAATTGTCTGCTTGACCGTTTCTTCCACCTGTCACCGGCGAATTTACTAAACCCCAGTAACTAAGCAGCAATTACACCCTAAAGACCAAGCTCCAGTACACCCTAAACCCTAAAGACCAGGTCCCAGTAAACCCTAAACCCTCAAGACTTACCTCCAGCAGGCCCTCAACCTCAGCAAGCGCAAAGCCCCAGTGGCCGTGAAACCTCTCGATCCAGCACCGGTCGGCTCAACACCAAACTCAACAAGGCCTTAAGTACTAAGCGATACAACGCAAGCCCGAGCGGGGCCCTAGGCCCCATCAAGCCAGCAGGCCCCCAATCGCTATGAGCCCTAGACCCTCAACCCTGAGACCCCAAATCCTAGGCCCTTCAGCCCCGCACCGAGTAAGACCAAGCCCCGCTCAGTGCTAAGCACGAAAACCACCCCATACCTATAGACCAATCCTCACCCCTGACAAGAGACGAGGGGACACCGACCAGGTCACCATCGGGACACAACCAGACCACCGACAAATGGAACAGCGACCGACAACACGACGGAGATACCGAACCAGACAGGATGGGACGAACCACAGAGCTGTCTTGCATCCTGATGCTGGGCCGCTATGGGCAGGGGTGGGCAGGCCAGAGAAGGGAGATATGTTTGGCAAGATTAAAGATGGCCCAAGTTAGCACAGCGAGGCAGGCAGTGAGTCGAAAGCTTGCAAACCAGTCATGGGAACACTTCCTGGTTCATGAAAACTCAGCCAGCAACGGCGTCCCTTTCTCACCAAGGATGAAGTCACCTCCAGAGGCAGCGAGCAGAGCTCTCGTGATTGGAGCCTGTGGGCGCCAGACGAGTTTTGGCGGAAACGCCGCCAGTCACCTTGGCTTTGGTGACTGGGCAACAACACCAGCGCCAGCGAGGATCGGATCTCTTGATTCCTCAGCATGGGACGTAGAGGCCTCCGAAGGGCATCAGCTTCAGAGCCATGACACCGGCCTGCAAAGGCGCTACCTGGCCTAGTCTTTCTCCCTGCCTCACCCCTTGTCCCTCTCCCTCTAAGCTTTCCTCGGAGCCATAGGCACCGACGAAGAGGTCCATGGTCTTCAGACTCAGCTCGCTCTCCCCAGATCGGGCAGCCTCATCGCATCTCGCGCCCCCAAACGTGCGGCCCTCTGTCTCGGGCGCCTCCACGATGACGGCAGGATCCTGCCTTTGACAGACCGTGTCGCGTCGTCTCTAGGAGAGGCAGAGCTCAGAGCGGGAAGGAGGCTCCGCGAGCAGGGACGGGGCCCAGACCCGTTCTTCACAAACCTGGAGTGCACCTCCTGTCCAGGCCCGCGCGAAACGAGCTTTTGAAGTGTATGGCTACAGACGAGATGCAGGCGGTGAACTTCTCCAAAGTCAAGCCTTCTTGAGCTTGTCCGGAAACTTCCAGGCCATGAACTGGTAAATGTTAGCGATGCCTGCGGCATCTCAGATGTCTCGGCGCAAGAAGGATACACCTGCTCAGATGTAGCTGGCCTCTGCCGCTGACGATGCGCTCCACACTAATTCTCGATTTGGCGCTGAAGCGGATCTGCAGGTACCTGTTCAACACCGCTGGGCTTGATTGTCTTCCATAAGGCGGGGCTTGCATGGGGTTTAAACGCTTTAGGCTTTAGGACTTTAGGGCTTTAGGGGCGCACTGCATCATCTCGGTCTGAAGATTCGTACTGCCCTCTTGCCGAGGTGCAAACTCCTGCTTCCAGTTCTCGCAAGTGGAACTTGCCGGAAGCGTCCTTGTCCGAGCCTTGTGGCCTCCCTCCGAAGGCCAGACCTTTTCGTCTTGCAGTCCAGTCATGCGATGCGATGTCTCTCTCTCTTCGGTCTTCGCCTCGTAGTCACCATTCTCGCCCGTCGTCATGAAGGCTTCGCCGAGGCCCGTGCCTGCGGAGGCGGAGCCGAAGTGCGGCCCGGCTCTGCTTTTCTCCGCTCCGCCGCTCCGAGCGCGGAGCCGGCGCCCAGGAGCGCGATGGGCGCGCCGGGCAGCACCGGCGCCTCCTGGGCGAAGCCGCGTCGAACGGCTGCAGGGACTGCGCTGCGGCGCTGCTGCGCTGCGAAACTTCGCAGCGCCTGCAGCACGTCGCACTCCGTCTTGTGGTCCAGAGTGAGGATTCCATAGCCTCGCACTGCCACGTCAGAACCAGCACGCGCAAAGGCCCTGATTCCCACCTTGCGCTTCAAAGTCGTTCATCAGGTACACCTCCCTCATTCCCAGGTCCTCGCAGAATAGCAAAAGCCCGAGTCTCGCTGCAGATCCCCAGCCGCTCTGCACCTCAGCAATTTGATTCCCATCCAACTTCCATCCCAGGTTCACAAGGTTGCACCTGCAAAAAGAGCACGAGAGCTCAGTCATCAGGGACAGAAACTGCAACAAGTCCCGGGCTTGTTATCCACGACCACGCCGGCCACGGCGAAGCAGCCCAGGTAAGGCGGAGGCCTCGTGCGTGAGAAAGAAACGGCGTGTCAATGGGCACTCTTCCCTTTTCTCCCTGCTGGCTGCTTGAGCATCGGGCATTCCAAGCCCCACCGAGGTGCTGTGCGCAGCTTTCTTCAAGAAATCTTGCGCGACCTGCTCTTGGCTGGAGTAAGGAAGTGCAATCGTATTCCAGCCCTGCCTCTGTGAAAGAATCGTACTGAACGTTGGAGTACTTAGCCTGCGTGCTTTCCAGGTGTATGCTGGACCAAGCTTGGCAACTCGGCTCTGAGCGGCAGGCCTGGTAAACCATGCACTCTGAGGGCACCAACGCTGTGTAGGTCTCCTGGCAAAGGCGAGAAAAAAACTGCAACGAAACTTCACTTCCATCCACGCAAAAGCGCTGTCCGGAACTCGGAACAAGTGGAGACGAGTGTTGGTGCCCCCGACGTCCGCGCAAAGGAGCATAGGCTGCAGGGCAGTAAGACGTGATCACACGTGGCTATGCTCACCCTAGCAACCCCGGAGGCCTCTGCAGGCATTGGAGACAGCGACCGCATAAACTTTGGTGGCGCCGCCTCTTCTTGCACCTGCTTAGGCTCGACGATGACGGTCTTGGATTCCGTCTTTTCCTGCCGAAGGCGTTGCTCAAACTGAATCCGGAGAAGCACGCGCGAGGCAAAGTGCAAAGTGGCAAAGCTCACGTCCTCATACTTGTGCTTCCCAGCACCACTCCCCATGGCTGCTGGATAGGACCCCGCGATGAAATCTCAAGATGAGGAGAAGGACTGATGTATGGCACGTGTCGTCTGCGCTGGTTTTGCAAAGCTTCGCATGTGATGATGCCTCGCGTGCGACCGGCCCAGGAACGCAGCGCTGCCGGGCAAAGTGGGATCATCGTTCAAGCTGTGTTCAACAACTGAGTACGGATACGTACAGATGCTCTGCGGCAAATCATGCTAGAACGAAGGGCTGTTTGCAGAAGACCTAGAACTAGAATCCTAGAAGCTTGCAAAGGCCAGGTTTTCCCTTTTTCCCTGCGGGTCACTGCGGGATTTTCACACGGCGCCTCCTCAGGCGCCGACGCTCCAAACCTGAGCGAGCAGTGCCCTCGGAGCTCGAGACTTCAAGAGCTCTGAGCTCGGAGTCCGGCGATAAAGCCTTCCAGTATTTGAACAGGAAGCAAGACAAAGCTCAGCAGGAAGGGGAGCTGAAACCTCAGAGTGCTGAGGTGCCTCCGAAGCCTCTTACAGCTTTACAGAAGGCCTCATAAGGCCGAAGGCCCTCGCCCTAAAGCGAGCTGCGTCAGGAAGCCCAGCACAGCTATTGACCAGCCAATGGCCTTGCAGCCACTTCTGCCTCCCACTGCCCGGCCTGTAGCGGTCTCTCTCCCGCCTCATCGATGTAGGTCTCTTTGTGTTCGACTTGAAGATAGCCCTTCTCGTGCAGGAAATCCACCTGCACCGATCGCACAACCCACTGCTACATCATGTCTCTAAACTACAGGCTCCGCCCCCCCGTCCCCCGCGGTGCCAGGTACTCCGCAAAGATGGTTCCGCCGCGGATCGCGGAGTGAACCGCAGAGATGACCCGCTGAATCCACCTCTGGCTCTTCGCTCTCGGCGGCGCAGCTGCGTAAGACTTTCCTACACAAACTTAGCCAGAAGCCAAGCAAGGCTGATGGCGACGAACTTGCACATCCATCGCGTTATCGTCGGGACCCACTTCTGATACTCCTGGCATTTGCCGAGCTTCCACAATCACCTACGCCGAGCGGGAGCTGATGGTCGCCTCTGCGACCATGGACTCTACCAAGGGCTCTGCTTTGCTAACTGGCTTGTACACTTTGGCACCGATCACCTTGGCATCTGCTCGCATCACACCCGATCCTGTGGTCGTCTGCACCACATTTTGCTGCTGCATGATGAGGCCGATGCCTCGCCCAGCGTTATCGTCCGAGCCTCATTGACTGACTCCATGGCAGCTTATGGGCATACATGCTTTCGCGCAGTTCTGAGCAGTACGATCGTGGGGAAAGTAACCGCAGTGGGACACCTCCGCTGAGGCTGCCACGAATTGAAGTCTCAGTACACCGATCACACCAATCCACCCAATGTAGATGCTGGACTCAGGTACAGAAAACACGCACAGGCTCGTGATGCCCAAGTCCACGGAATGTCTCAAGCAGCACAGAGGTCCAGGCAATGGAGCCACTCACCTGGCTGTTGCAGCCATCAAGTCGCGCATGGACGACAAGGCACTGTTCAACTTGTGGCGGCAACTCTTTGTCCGGTTCCATCACTGCTAGAGCAACTGCCAGCTTCTTCTGGATGATTTGATGAGGCCTCAGAACGAACTCGCCTTCCCCAAGAACTGACCCTGCGAAGGCGAGGCTTCCGCGCTTGCGCTTCTTTGCCATCTTTCTCCTCCTTCTCCTCTTTGGAGGCCTCCTGCCACACGGAAGGTTCGGTGCGTGCAAGTCTAGACTACAGTAGGTCTGGGTGCCCCGCAGCCACTTTCATCAGCTCAGAAAGGAGGACCTTGGCCTGATCCCAAGCCTTGCCGGAGACAAGCAAGGTGTGACGGCCTACCCCACGGCAACAGTCACACATCTATCTCTCTTCCAGCAGCTCTCGCCACATTCTGCATTCGTCGGCGATTATGATTAGACACGAACTGCGAAGACGGAAAGGAGTTCGCGTTCTCGCGTGTCATGCACACCTGGTTTGCACCTAGTAGCACCACAGGAGAACCTGCCTTGTAAGTTCTCCATTGATCCCCCATGAGTTTAGCATCGAGCCTCGCTCTCGCTATGTCAGGCTCTTCGGAAGTCGTACTCTCTCTCGCGCCACATCGGGGTTTTTAAAGGGGGCTCCCGCGCATGAACTTCCATTTGAGGGCGACAGCCGCGCGAGAGGGGGTTTTTGAACAAGAAGGCACGGGTGAAGCCGCTTGCGCTTGGATCCAGACTTCGATGCCCCCACAGGCGGCCCAGGCCTGCGCGAAGGGGATCACTTGGGTCACGGCTGGGCCGCCGGGCCGGGAGTGGGCTAAGCTTTGTCGCCTCTGCGGCTGCAATCGTTGCAGGGAAGATGCCACCGAAGAAACAGACCAAGAAGCCTCTGAAAGTCCACGTCTTGCCAAGCCAATCCCCGAAACGAGGAGGCGGCTGAGGATGGCCCAGAGCATCTTTTCCGGCATCATTCCGATGAGATTCTGAGAATTGGAACACTGTGCAAGGCTTTCTCCATCTGGCGGCTGACCCGCCTGGATCTCTCTAATGGCCTTCACGACGTACGGTAATGCAGTCCTGACCGAAAGCTGGATTGGATCCTGGATGCTGGCTTTCGACATTCATTGCTGCCAAGCCACAGCAGGAAAATCCATGCCTTTGCAAGATATGGGGCTGCCTGCCTGCCACACCAGATGAATTTTCAAGCAGCTCTGAGCAACAACAGTTTTGCAGCTAGTTTCCCCCCACCTTACCGTGTTCCGAATGTTGGGCGGAAAGTTCTGCGCAACTTCCTTCATACAGTAGCTTCAGATGCGATGAGTTCCATCAGGTCGGGTTACTAGATGGGGATGCCTCAATGGCAGCAGCGATACGCTGTAGCTCTGCATCAGACACCTTGCAACAGGATACAAGTAACCTGAGTAAAAGAGGCGAGTGCTTCAAGCTGGCCTGATCCTTGTGCGCGCTTTGAGCTGCGCCCTTCTTTTTTGTTGCCTCAAGAGTCTTGCAGGTGTCCTTGACACACTCTGGTCCCTGTAGGAGCCGGACCATGCGAAAGCCTGACAAGGACTTCCGCTCGGCAAATTGGACTATCCACGTTTCCTGGAGCCCATGCGGTCGCCACGGGACCTGCAGAACCCAGACCTCTCAAGCTGCATGACACTGCTGCAGAACGGTGGAGATGGCAGATGCACGTTGAGAGAATGCTGCTTCCAGTTTTGAAACCTCACCGCTGAAGGCCTCAGGCTTTTGCTTCTGCAGCTTGCACAAGACGCCCCTGCGAGCAAACGATGGGAAAATGGCTGCAGGGAAGCCTTGATGCTGCGAAGGAGACTACTGTTTGAGGACGTCTACTAGCGGCGTTGAGGCGCGCTGGCCAGGGCTTGGCGAACGTCCATGTCGACGTACTCATCGAAGGGGCTTTGCATGGGAACGAGGGCCGGGTCCGCTCGGTAGGAGAGCAGGAGCTTAACGATGACCAAAGGCTGACGATCCGCACGCACGGCACAAAGCAGAGGGGAGGTGCCATCGGCCGAAACCGCGTTTGGGCAAGCCCGGGCCTTCAAGAGCACCTGGCAGTCTTCATGGTTCCCCAGCTGGGAAGCCCACATCAAAGCATTCCATCCATCCGGGCTGGAAGCCTCTGGCTGTGCGCGTGCTTCGAGAAGTGCTGTAAGCAATGAACTGCCCCAGCCATTCTGCCGGCTACAACAAGCTGCAGCAACCAAGGGTGGGCGTCCCATCGTGTCTGGAGACCACAGATCCAGAGACTTGGACTTGGTAAACGTGGAGAAGGCCACGGCTCTGGCGACTTCCGATGCTGCAGATCTGCCCATGCCACGGTTGCCGGCTGCAAGCGCAGCCAAGCTGACAGCAATCTTGCTCTCCTCGCGCTGTGCTTCCATCCACGCAGCGTCCTCGGCCGCCAGCCCGGATGGCATCCCTTTCGACCCAAGGCCAGCTGAAAATTGGGCACCTTTGCAAAGCAGCCGACAGCGGCAGGCAGCTTCCAAGCCGAGATCCTTCACGATCAGGCCAAGGACATCAACCAGGCCTGGGCACCAGGCCTCCAGCTCCACGGAGGGGCCAAGTTGAGTGTCTTCTGGACACTCCTTGCAGTCCTCAGCCTCCGTTGCCGCGTAGCGCAAGTACCGCCGCCGGGCGAACACAGCCAGAACTCCGATTCCAGCCAGGCTCGCTGGGATGATGGCATGACGGTGCTGCAGCACACCCATACCCGACATACCCGCCATACCCATCACCCATGAGGAGAGCTGCCTGGGAGAACTGAGAGTTGCAGTTACAGGCCTTGAAATTTCGGATCTCAGCCACTGTAATCAGCATGCAGGTGGTGGATCAAGGGATAGAGGGGGCTGCAGACTTTGAGAGATCTATCACACTCCTGGCAACCCCTTCTTCACTGTGCCCACCTGCTTCAGAACATCCAGCTCTAATGACCTTCCTAGAGCCCAACGCTTCGTCATCACTGACCATTTTTGCTCTCCAGTCAACATAACATAGGAAGCTCCATTTTGCGACAACTGCTGGAGTCGACGTGGCTCAATGGCCCGTGGCTGAAGTCGCACTCGTCGCACTCAGTTGAAATCGCAGATTGGCATCCAAGCTATGCGACCCCTGGGCTCTGAGACAAAAATTTTGTGGGAGCCCTCCAGCCGTGGCCCAATCCAGGCGAGCAAGCCTCAGCGGAAAGTCTCATGATTTGGACTCTGTGGCGGGGCCCAGACCCAAAATCACACTAAACCCGAAGAGGCTGAGGCCTCAGCCTGATCCTGGCCTGGGCTCCGCAGTCCGCAGCGGGGCCGAAAGGAGGAAAGAAGCCCCTAGGAGGCTTCCCTGAGCCACAGGCAGAAACGTGGCTTGAAAGTCGCCGCAGGGTCGCGCCGAGCTGCAAGGACTGAACGGTATTCTACCGTTTTCTTACAGGATGAACCAAGCAAGTGGATAAATACGCTGGATATAAACAAAATTTGTATGTGTATACATATATATATATATTGTATTAATCTGTAGACTATAGCACAAGATGTCAAGCCATTCAGCGCTAGACCCCGCTCTGCACTCTGTGTGCAACGCCACAGTTGAGTGCTTCAGACTAGCAGTGTGCGTTGCCGAGCACACTCATGCAAACCTCGAGCAGGCTACCTGCACAAGGTGTTGGGTTGGGACCTGCAAGGTCGCAAGGTGAGCTTTAGACTGATGACCTCCCAACAACTAATTATCTCCCACGTACCTTGCTGAGCCTTGCAGAGTCAAAAGGACAGGTGGGGACCGGCCCGTGCCATGCTTTCCTACAGTTCGTTCAAGCATGGCCCTACTTCGGGAGCTGTACCAGTGCACGTCTTGTGCCTCGGACACCCGGACGAAGTTTATAGATGCGAGTGGATCACAACAGGACAAACTGCGACGTGCACAGGTACGCTCCCGGCGGGTGCGCTGTCATGCGTTTTCGCAACGTGCCAGGTCACATCTCGCTGCAGTCTCAATCCGTCTTACGTCCCTAAGTGAGCTCAAGGCTGAAGCCTGTCGCCTGAGGCGCTGCTGCACCGCATCACAGCTCTATGAATATCTAATGTACCTCAACTGCTGCTGTAGCAGGTTGATGACAAGGCTGCACGTCAGTGCTCCATCTCGAATCAAGCGCCTACACTGATTAGTGATTAGATGCCAAAGTATGAGCCATCGTGCACCTCGCCGACCGCTGCGCATGTTCACAAAGTCACCTACACTGTTTCAAACAATGACATCATGACGAAGTAGTTCTTGGTGTGCCCCGCTTAAGCTGTTTTGAAATTTCAGCCGTCAAGGCTCTGCCTCCGCCCGTGTCGGCATGGACAGATTGGAAGAACTCTAAGACATTCAATTCGAGTGAAATCTGCCAGATGCGCAATCAGCACTCAGCCGGATCCACCCTGTGAAGGGCACCACCACGACATAGTCACGACATGCCACTCAGCACTTAGAGCCTTGATGCCGCCTTTGGCCCCTGCTCCTGACAGCCGAGCCGTGACAGCCGCGGGGGGGGCCGGCAAGTTCGCGGGACCCGTCCTGCGCCGCCCCGGCCTCCAGTTGCAGGTCCTGCAATTTGGGGCCGGGGGGCATGCCGGGGCATGCCGGGCCGTGGGGCCGTGCTGGGGCCGTGCTGGGTGCGCCTGCTCCAGTGCCTCTTCTCCCCTTTTTCCTGAGACGCTTTCGAAGTGCCAGAAGATTCTTGAGTGGGCAAGGTGCCTTTGGCTGGCTCCGGCCATGCCTGGCTGGCAACGCTTGCATCTCAGGTCTAGTCTAGCACTCTCTCTGTGGGGATCGGGCCGTCCATGCTCATGTTGGAAGCACCTGTTTGGGAAACTCACTGTCAGGCACGCACCTTGGGCTGGCAGGTCGTGCCGGACACGGACAGGCGGCATTCCCTTTTTTGACATCGCCGTTGCCGGAAACGACAGATGCGGCAGCAATATGTAAATCTATCTGGGCCCCTCCCAGCTTTGGCAAATCTTCGAAGCTCTCATCAGTCAACAGTGCCAATATTCTCGCGTTGCCACGGCTGGGGAAGGCCCCTCTCCACGACTTTCATCGGGGAAAGAAATACTGGAGAGCTTCCACAATGCCCCCAGCGACCTGCAGGTGAGTCGAGACCAAACGGAGCGACGGAAAAGGGAAGCCAGCCTCGCGTCCTGCGAACAGCATGGTGCTTCCGTGGCACGTCTTAAACCTGGCGGAAGCAGTTCAGTCGGAGGTTTTGAC